GTCACACACTAGCACGATATCTGCGATTTCGTAATGACCGTAGTCGGTCAAGTAGGCGATCTGCTTCTTGACCACGAGAGACAGAAAATCCCGGCTGGTGCTGGTATCATAACCAGTATGATAAGTCCTCCAGAAATTGCAGGACACCCTGCAATTATCCTAACTCCAAATACACGGACACGAAAAAACACTCGGGAAACTTTCAAGCCGGCACGCGTTAACGGCAACAGTAGCTGGCGAACACAGCCGTCTGTTATATGTCACTGATGTGACCACGAAAGTTCGCTACCTCGTCAACACCGGCGCAAAAGTGAACGTTCTTCCAGCAAGTCTGTTTTAAGTTTACAGGCGGCAAACAGAAGGCCGATCGCTACATACGCTAAAAGGTATGTCTACCTTGTTGTGGGTTCACGCAAACCCATACACTGGATTTTCGTGGTTGCAGATGTCTCTATGCCAATCATTGGTATAGATCTGTTACAATACCACAATCTACTAGTCGACACACGCTTACGAAAGCTAATAGACGGAAACACCAAGTTATTCGTTTGCGTAACTCCTTTTTCTAGTTGCAGGTTATCCCCAGTCACAATTAAGCACACCACAGACCCCCTATACCAATCTTTACTCGACAAATACCCCGGGATATACCAATCGCAATCGAAATTGCCTTGTGTAACCAGCAATGTTACACATCACATCACGACTACAGGACCACCTGTATTTTCGAAAGCTCGAAGACTCGCTCCCGAGAAGCTTAGGTTAGCTAAAAACGAATTCGACCATATGATAGACTTAGGGATAATTCGACCATCAAATAGTCCATGGTCATCTCCATTGCACATGGTCCTTAAAAAGAACAGCAATGATTGGCGTCCAACTGATGATTATCGGCGTCTGAATGCTAATACCATTCCCGATCGTTACCCGCTGCCTCATATTCACGATTTGACAGCTACCTTGAAAGGTACAACTGTCTTTTCAAAAATCGACTTAGTTAAGGCCTATAACCAAATACCGATGGCAACCGACGACATTCCTAAAACCGCCATCATCATTCCTTTCGGCCTTTACGAATTCTTGCGAATGCCTTTTGGTTTAAGAAATGCGGCTCGAACCTTCCAAAGGTTCATAGACGACGTCTTCCGAGGTCTCAACTCCGTACGTGCGTATGCTGATGACTGTCTAATAGCAAGTCCGGACAGAGAATCACATCTCCAGCATCTGGACATTGTTTTCGAGCGACTCCAAAGGCATGGCATTACTGTCAACATTCAGAAATGCCGAATCGGAACCAACTTCTTAGACTTCCTAGGACACACCACTGATGCTCAAGGCATCCGACCCCTTAGGAGCAAAGTGGCGGCCATTCTGGATTACCCAGAACCGACCACGATCAAGCACTTACGAACTTTCAACGGACTTGTAAGTTTCTATAGACGGTTCATACCTAAATGCGCATCTCTTATGAAACCGTTAACCGACCAGCTTCGTGGAAATGCAAAATCAATTACTTTAGACGACACAGCCCGTAAAGCATTCTCCACAGTTAAGGAGCACATCGCTAAGGCAACCGTGCTTGCGCATCAGGACACCCAAGCGCCCATTAGCATTGCCGTAGACACATCCGACTCAGCAATCGGAGGAGTCTTACAACAATGGGTTAACAACTCGTGGCAACCTTTAGGATCTTTCTCCAGATGGTTGCTAGACGCTGAATCTAGGTACAGCACGTTCGGTAGGGAACTCCTAGCTATGTATTGTGCTGTACGACATTTCCAACATTCCATCGAAGGAAGGGAATTAACGCTTTTTACCGACCTTAAACCTCTTACCTTCTCTTTACATTCATCTTCAGACAAGTACTCACCCCGAGAGTCTCGACAACTGGACTACGTTTCGCAGTTTACTTCAGACATACAACACATTTCTAGAGCTAACAATGTAGTTGCAGAAGCTTTGTCTCGTATTAGTTCCTTGAACAGTTTCCAAGGAATCGACCTTCTTAAACTCGCTCAGCTTCACAAAGAAGACATTGATCTTCAGTATGAGTTATCCTCGACAACTCTAAAACTAAGTATTAAGCAGATGGGAACAGGTGAGGAAACCTTACTTTGCGACAAATCTACTGGTAGGGATCGTCCAATTGTACCAAAACATTATCGACGCAATGTCTTCAATACATTGCACGATCTTTCTCATCCAGGTGTTCGTGCAGCAATCAAGCTTATAGCCGAACGTTTTTGCTGGCCTGGAATGAATAAAGACGTGAGGGAGTAGGCACGCTACTATGTAAGCTGCCAGAAATCTAAGGTCATAAGACACAACAAACGTCCCTTAGATTCTTTCAAAACCCCTGACGCTCGTTTCGACCTCGTTCATCTAGATTTGGTAAGACCCTTACCCGATTCAAACGGTTTCACTCGATGACCAGAAGCAGTACCGATTAAGGACATTACCGCTGAAACAGTAGCCCGCGCTTTCGTCGAACGAAGGGTAGCAAATTTCGGCTGCCCTTCCATGATCACTACAGACCGCGGACGCCAGTTAGAATCTGGACTTTTCCGTTGTCTGACCTCACTATTAGAAATCACCCGCTTCCGAACGACCACCTACCACCCACAAGCAAACGGGTTGGTAGAACGTTTTCATCGACAATTAAAAGCTTCATTATCAGCTACAAACGTTTCACAGTGAACAGACGCTCTTACACTCGTCTTGCTAGGTATCCGCAATGCAGTGAAAGCTGACATTGGATACACGGCATCTCAACTCGTTTACGGAACGACACTCCGACTCCCAGGAGAATTCGTGGATCCTTCAGCTTCTTCATTGAACATGGATCTAAACTCTTACACGAGTAGGCTTACAAACGCTATGCGTTCAGTTAAACCTGCTCACACTCGACCTCAATCAACTGATGTTTTCGTTCAACACGAATTACGACATAGTACACACGTCTTCGTTCGTCGAGACTCACATCGACGACCCCTCGAATCAGCATACGAAGGACCCTTCAAAGTTCTTCAACGCGAACCTAAGTACTATGTAGTCGATAAGAACGGTACGAACGATAGCACCAGTATCGATCGACTCAAAGAAGCTTACTTGGAAGGAAACCCTAGCTACGTCGAATTTCCTTCGGTACAATCCTACGATACGGCTCCTACACTTGTAGTACCCCATACGACAGCCGACACACACCTTAACACTTCGTCAACATCGGACAATAAACCTAAAACAACGCGTTCTGTAAGAAGAGTAAGATTTCCAGAACATCTTAACGACTATTGCACCTAGGACATAAACTTAATCTCGAATTCCCTTTCCATTATTTATATTAAAAAATAATGTTTTTAATATGCTCATTTTTTTATTTCATTAAAAAAAACATTATTATTTTTTTGAGCGTATTTATACTTTTTTATGTATAAAAAACCAAAAAAGAAAAACCTTTTTTCCGATCGCTTTTACCCTGTTTCAAGTGTATTAGTTTATTTATCTTTTTCCCGCTCATCTTGTGTCCTTACGCAAGTACGAGTGTATTTTCGATATGCACTCACACGTTCTATTTTTTTCTTTTTCCAGGACGGCTGTAAAAGAACGACGAAATTTCACAAGGAACCGAAATTTTCATTGTGCTTTATTTCTTTATTGCTATGTTGTACTTCATGGTCCCTTAGTGTAAGGAAAGACGACCAGATGCTGTTAAACGAAGGAAGCTATCAGAAGAGTGATTACCAACGACAAACTCGTTGGGTTTACACTTCTGGCTGGTCACGTCTTAGGGGCATCACTGCCTCACTGGGGAGGGAGTGATCTGTAGCTGTAAATAATTCCACAAAATCAATAGCTCATTAAGTGTTCGACATTGGATGCTGACCACGTTGTTTAAGTGGACTTGTTTAACTGAAGGCTTTCGGTCATGCATCCGCACCAGATCACGTTTCAACTCGACGTGGGACACAGCTCCTACGTTTCTATAGTTAGCTAAGAACGAACGCCTTTCGATATATTGATAACGTATGAAATATATCTTTCCTACCTCTTCTCGTCTGACTTCTGATTTCTATTGGGCGTAAGAAGGTTACGAATATAGAAGGTACTACTGGCCGCTAGTTGTAAAACTAGAATACCAGTCGTATACTTAATACTTTGCCCGGTCTGTTTATCCAGCAGCCTGGTTGGTGGTTTTTCTTATTTCATAGTTGACACTTTAAACGTCTCAAGGGCTAAATACTTACATCTTGTAGACCAAGAACGAAGCTTCCATACGAGTGCTACATTCGTCCAGTCTCAAATAAAACAAAGTTAACTGACAGAACTATCCTATCCCTTGCATTTCAACCAAAGACTAGCCAATCCGTGCACTTCATTCTTACGATACAGGATCTCGTGACAAAAAAATAAAAAATGCCACTCCTTCTTCTTGATGGTGCGTGGTCTGTCATTTCATAATATTGTACATTATAAAAAATGAAATCCGCCTGTGACGCTTAGGTCACTGCTGCTCCTAATCCCGGGTGAAGGAGGAGAGTTGGGCGTGAAATAAACAACCTTATCCTGTGGAAGACAGTTTTGCAAAAAAACAATAACCATAATAAACAAATTAGAACATTTATCACCATAGATTATTTAAATAGATTCAAACTATACAGCGAGTAACTCTGAATAAATTTATTTCCAAAGACTGATGAAAGCGCTGTTTAGGTATTCATCAAATTCAGTTCTGCATGCTGTTAGTCTTAAAGAATAATAACAAAACACAAGTTTTATTAAAAACAAAAATCACTTAGGATCCAGACCAGCATTTAACCTACTTTAAGCATGACAAAAAAGAACCAACAAAAGGTTTGCAAGATAATTTCCCAACTTCATTGACTGCGAGCAGAAAATTGTGTAGAATCTACTTCAAGTAAAGCATTATTCTCAGACGTCCGATTTGTTTGCATCCGTTCAAGGTCATTAGTTCAGGTAGTTACGAACTTGGGCGTGTAGGTATGGTGAAGGCCACAGTGACTGATGGTGCCAAGCACAAGCAAAGACTTAAACGTCCAGGACGACTTTATGTAAAGGCAACATTTACAGGATATCGTAGAGGACTGAGAAATCAACACGAGAATACCGCTTTGCTACGCATTGATGGAGTAGTGGAGAGAAAATCTACAGAATTCTATCTCGGGAAACGCTGTGTGTATGTTTATCGAGCTCAAAAGTAAGTCAGTCCTCGAGAATTATCTGTTCCCTCTATAGAAAGAAAGTCTTTCCAAGAAGGCAAAAGCCAACCAAAATAAGAGTTATTTGGGGAAAAATTATGCGTCCGCACGGTAACAGTGGTGTTGTTCGAGCTCGATTCAAACATAATTTACCGGCATCCGCTATGGGAAAACGTATTCGAGTCATGTTGTATCCTTCACGAGTGTAATTAAGTAAATGTGGTTGGTCTCTAATTTTTGTTCTGATAACTTCAATCCTGGTTAGTGCATGGTGAAGTTCAATGAGTGAACAAGAAAGTTTATGTTGTGATGTAGGCAGTGTGCATTTGGGTCTCCCGTGATCTTAGCCACAAAGTTGTTTTAGTCGGAAGGAATTTCCTCCACGTTAGTCACTAAATAAGGCTTCAACGACATGTCAAGGTATAAAGTTCCACTGGATGATAATGTGGTAGAAAAATAAGTCGCTAATTAGTAATAACTTCTGGGCTAGTGAGGTTTCTTTGAATGCATTCGATAATTACCTGTTATAAAAGACAAGAGATCAAGGTCGTTTGTGGTGAAAACATTAGTGGATTTGATTGCCACGATTTGCCACCTGGATGACTAAGGAAGCAGGTTTAGTTCACCCATTTCCTCATCATTAGGCAGCTTTTAGATGACAGGGGTCAGCTTTAGCAATGCCAAATGAAATGTAATCCACAATTGACTTTGTAAGGGCTGGTTTCCCTTATGAAATACTAGGGTTTTGGTCGAATGGACACTCCATGCAAAGTCATGTGTTTCATCATGTACGTGATTTAAAGCTTTACGTAATAATGAGGCGGTTCTAAAACCTTTGGTGGCCGTTGAACGACAGTGCACAATAGTTTGTAAGACTTGACTGGCAATGACTTAGATGTGTCTAGACAACGGGTAGCTCGATCTCATTGTGTTTGTAACTGTACGATAATTACCAATATGCACTTGAGAATTTATCGGCGAGTTTCAGACCATTCAGGTAGTCTCTATAACATTCTGAAGTTCCAATTTGTCCTCTTGGTTATGTATTACTCTTTCCATATTTTGTTATGGTCAGCATTTAACAAAACGTGGCAGGAAAATTGGGAGGTCTTTTGCATATTAGAGGAATAACACCAGGTACTTAACAAATAATTGTTTTCTAGTAAGACAGCTCTGTTGGTGTCCTACCAAAAATTTACTTACAAATCCATGTCTCTTCTCTTAAAATCGCTTAATTTAGGTAGTAATCTGCCTAGTGAGGCTAATATGATTACCTATTAAGGCACCATCTGTCCACGGCTTTTAACCTTTCAGGGCACCAATATTCTTTTGGTACTTGTTAGTTTGCGATACATGGGTAGCACGTTGCAAAACCGTAAGGCTTTTCAGAGACCGTATATTCTATCTAGATACTCAAACAATGCATGACAAGTCTTCTATACCAACCCGAGAACTATGGTAGTCGTGCCTGCAGGACTAAATCTCAGGTGTTTATTTGGTGAATACTCGTAAGACGGACTACGATAACGTTCTTTAGTCGCTTGGTGGTGTGCCCTAGTTTACACATGATATATGTCTTCAGAGAATTCTCAATTAAGGTGACGAGTCTCCGTAGCTGTGTGGGATGTCTCATCACGTCTCTTAGATTTTCCATAGAGTTTATTCGATAGACCACAGACATCTTGGTATTGAGTGGCCAATATACCCAAAGTATGGTTAATGGTATTTGTTGCTACCAGCGATAACGTCTCCGTGTGTATGTATTGAAAGTTCTGTAAGCGTCTCAGTATTTTTCAGTCATCCACTGGAGACCGCATGTGATCATCCTTACGCTTTCGGTAGACTTCAAACCCTAACTGTTCGGAAAAAAACGCTTCGAAGACAATAGAGTTCACATTTAACTTTGCCTCATTACTGTCTTGGTTTTCATTGGCTATCTGTCCCCAAATCCCCTGGTACGACCGATCCAATCCCGTAGTGCTATTTTACATTTGGAGGAAGAAAACCACTCTAAAAAGCATGTCTATGGCAAAGTTAAATAAAAATGGGGCTGACGGACAACCCTGACAAACATTACTTGAAGTATCCATTTCTGATGACAGCTCATCATAAGCTCCGAATCGACCTATAGTATTCGGGCAGAAAATCTTTACAATGTTTATGGTTGACAGTACAACTTTTTACTCAGACCTTAAGTTGTTGCCTCTTTAGTTTTACTGTTATGCAACCGACGTGCCTGGCATGGTAAGACCTGAAGGAACATGTGTTTCAGCCTATATGACGCGGTTGAGTCGCCACGACAGGCAAGTCTGATCACTGTGTCAAGGTAGCAGCTGCGATTAGCGTTAACTGGGGTCAGTCAGTCACAACGTAGAACTTCGTACGTACGTACATCAGTTCGAGTTGCCATACCACATTAGCACAGAGATGCAGTTGTCGATTCAATTCCCATAGTGGTAGAAGTAGTAGGAGTATAATCAGAAATCCAAAAGATCAGGGTTTGAAGAAATTATTGAAGGAGTATAGTACAGTGAAATAAATTTGGAAAGAGAAAAAGATAAATACATGAGGAATTCAGAAGATTAGAATTTGGGAGAACAAAGAGTGGATCCACCTTCGCCATTGCAAACGATTTTGAGCCATGTCATTCAAGGTCTCTAACCATCGGTTGCTATCATCTCGCGAATCCCAACCAGGTAGTCTACACCTACCAACATGGCCCAGTCCACTTGTCAGTGACTTCATTGATTTGTGCCACGTTCTGGTCTGGCCACCCCTAGCTTTCTTCCAACCTACTCCTACACCATGAAACATTGCACGTCGGGGCAGTCGGTGGTCGGGCATACGTAACACATGTCCCAGCCATCTCAACTGATGAAGTTTCACTACTTCATCAATCGATTTGCCATCCCTACCTAGTACTCGTTTCCTAACAACTGCATTACTTACCCGGTGGTCCCAGGATATACGAGCAATGCTTCGAAGACACCTATGATCGAACACTAGTAGCCTACGAATATCCTCTACTCTTATTGGCCATGTTTCACTGCCATAAAGTAGGACGGGGCGAACTGCTGCACAGTAAACCCGTCCTTTGGTTGCTAGACGGATATCTTGCCTACACCATAAATGACGCAAGTTGGCGAAAGCTAGACGAGCCTTCTGTATCCGTGCTGAGATTTCGTCACATACCAGACCACAAGGGCTGATGAGACTCCCAAGATAAGTGAAGTGGTCTACACGCTCAACTACTTCACTCCCTATCATTAGTTCAGGTGTCGCTGCAACCCAATCCTGAAGTAACATTTTGCACTTCGAGGGAGAGAATCGCATTCCGAACATGCCTGCATAGTTGCTTATAGTAGTCAGAAGACTCTGCATGTTGTCAGCGTCTTCACCGAGTAAAACTATGTCGTCGGCGTATTCTAAGTCAACAAGTGAGCCTCCTGGTAAAAGTTCAACTCCTGGAGGTTTAGCTGATGAAAGTGCTATCTCTAAAAGTATGTCAATGACAAAGTTAAACAAGAATGGGGAGAGTGGACAGCCCTGACGAACGCCACTTGTGGTAATCAGTTCTGATGACAGTTCGCTATAGGCTCTAACTCGACCAGTTGTGTTCGAGTAGAGAGCCTTTATAAGGTTAATGTACTTCTTTGATACTCCTTTCACTGACAAACACTGCCATAGAACCTTACGAATAACGGAGTCAAATGCTGCCTTGAGGTCAAGAAATACTACTATTGTGGGACGTCTGAATTTGTGTCTATGTTCTAGAACCTGACGTAGGGTGAATATCTGGTCTATGCAACCACGTCCAGGTCGAAAACCAGCATGGTTTTCTCTAGTCTGCTCTTCACGAGCTTTGGTTAAGCGACCTAGTATTATTGAAGCTAATATTTTAGACACTATGTTAGTCAAACTGATCCCTCTGTGATTGTCACAAGAGGACTTTTGTCCTTTCTTATAGACTGACACAATCAGTGATTGGGTCCAGTCAGATGGAATTACGTCCAGTTCCCAGATTCTACCTAAGACCTCAGTCAATCTCGTTGCTAGTACTGGACCACCATCCTTAAAAATCTCGGGGGTAAACCTGTCAGGGCCTGCCGCTCTCCCTCGCTTCAGATTTCCTATAGCTTTTTCAACCTCACAGAGGGTTGGAGGGCTTACATCAATTTGCCATTCAGGACGACTGGGGATCGTGGGTAATTGAAGTGTGGCTGAAGGCCAGTTGAACTGATCCCTAAAGTGTTCTGCCCATCTATCCAATCTCCTGGATTGAGAATGAATAATATGCCCATCTTTATCTGAGATGGTTTCACTGATATTCGGGTTCCTAATACCGGTTTCTTTAACAAGTCTGAATAGCTGCCTACTGTTACCTATTGCCGCTGCCTTTTCCATCTCTCTTGCTTTCGCTACCCACCAGAATCAGAATCATGCGATATATCGGCATAATATATTTTATACAATCTGATCGCATATTAGGTTGCTAAGACACACAAAAAAGTACAAATAAGTGAGATTTAAACCACTGGAATGTATAGAAACATCCAAAAATAATAAGAGACTGTTATTCACACCATCCTTAACGCTAAGATTAAAGTCCATATTATCAAAGTTTGGTTTAATTACAACTAGTTTCTGAATGCACCATGAAGGTTTAAATTTTTGTAAGTCTTGGGTTTCAATAAATATAGTTATTTGTCTCAGATCACCTTTATATACCGATATGAAGGGTGTTTTTAGATCAGTCCATGACCAGTTTCGTTATAGGTGAAAACAAATGCTTATAATCCGCTTTTTACTGAGATGCTGGAGTATATTTGTCTCCACAGCAATAAGGGTACATATTCAACCATCATATAGCAAATAAAGCATTTCATTTCTTTAAGATTTTATCCATGTCAATACAAAGGTCGGCAAACGGTTCGTCTATCTAAATCAAATGAACATGCATAGAAAATATAGAAGAAATTATTATTTATTTGAACACATAAATATTGGTACAAGGGGGCACCGGATACATATGCGCCACACAAATCGAATGAGATTTGTGTGAGGGCTGTGATACTGCTCGGGTGCCCAGCCCGAAGCAGGTGGTTTTCTTAGGGGACCACACCCAGAGCCTTTGGCCTAAAAATCTGATCCATAAGACAGTGGAGCATCGTAAGGAGATGCAGTCCCATGGTAGCCAGTGACCAACGATTAATTCATACGCCATTTGTTCCCTCAGGATACTGAAGCCCTTGTGCAGCATTGGTTTGGAATCAGGTTTTTCCAACTCCCCTAGGTAAACTTTCCGTGTTCACCAACCCGGTTAAAGCACCGGACATTCGCTTTTCATTCTCTCATTTTCGTAAACAACATCCCCTGCCACGAGAAGTCAGTGAGTAGGACTTCCCTGGCAGATGCTATATGCGCGTGACCATGTGAGAGCATTTCGGGAGGGAGAGCGGACTCTCCTCACTTTCGGCCGTACCAGGCATTTGGGGGCCTGTTGAAGAAAATACTAATGCCATGAGTTGTACTTCTTACTTCGGAGAAGTTCATATTGACCTTACTGTTGGACTAGTAGTACTCCAGAATAGCATTTCCCAACTACCAAGTGGTTAGGGACGTTTGATAAGGCTACCGAAAGTCTCTCACAGTGTTGCAGTTGGTTTCATTCCTTATCTTCCTTTAAATTTTAAGTCGAGTGTTATTTCTTGCTTCTTATTACTGACTTTGTGCATCCTGCACAAATCCACAACATCGCTTTCAAATTTGATTTTATTATTCAACAAACCAACTTTCTATCAGTTGTACGTACGTGGTGATCTTACCGTACACCAAAAATGCATACTTTGAATTAAATTCCCTTAAACGTTTAATGTATTTTGACTTCATTAGTTATGTTTCCTAGTATTAAAGTATTAAAAAATCACTGTAATTAGCTGATTATTTTATCATAGTCTAGAATGTTCTGCCTACTCTACACGAAACATAAATGAAAAGAAAGTTATCCTTTGTGCCTCCATATAAAATTAACTAGAAACCAGGACTAATGTGATTCTGAAGTTAAGTGAAATGGTCCTTGTACGCAATTAATTTACCACTGACTTTTAACTTAAACAAAGACACAGATTAGTCTGTAAGCAACTTCCTTTATATTTGGGTTGTATGAATAACTCTCCATATTCATATATCACTCAATGTGTTCAGAAGATCACATTTCATTAAAATTCTCATGTGACAAAAATTGTGCAGCATCTAACAGTACGCTTGTTTTTAGATGTATTCCACATTAATCAATATAGAGTCCATACATCACCAAGGTACTAACAGGTCTCTAATAGCAGAAAGCTTAAAAAGTTTATGTAAAGCGTATGGGAATGTTTTATTATTATGTTGAATCCATATCAAGTCAAAAATTCAGAATTACTTTGTTCAGACAGGTCCTTAATATTCTCACTTTACTGATGTCTTATTCTGCTTCATGCCATCCTATTTCGTAAAAAAGTAGATAGTTTTAATAATTAGTTTGTTATTTGTTACAAAATCATGACAATTGTTATGTGAGTTGTGTCCTGTTTTCAAGTGAAGTAACTATTCGCTTTATATATTGTCAGTCAGTCAGTAAGTCACAACGTAGAACTTCGTACGTACGTACATCAGTTCGAGTTGCCATACCACATTAGCACAGAGATGCAGTTGTCGATTCAAATTCCATAGTGGTAGAAGTAGTAAGAGTATAAGCAGTAATCCGAAAGACTAGGGTTTGAAGATGTTATTCAAGGAGTATAGTACAGTGAAATAAATTTGGAAAGAGAAAAAGATAAAGACATGAGGAATTCAGAAGATTAGAATTTGGGAGAACACAAAGAGTGGATCCACCTTCGCCATTTCAATTGATTTTGAGTTATGTCATTCAAGGTCTCTAACCATCGGTTGCTATCATCTCGCGAATCCCAACCAGGTAGTCTACACCTACCAACATGGCCCAGTCCACTTGTCAGTGACTTCATTGATTTGTGCCACGTTTAGGTCTGGCCACACCTAGCTTTCTTCCAACCTACTCCTACACCATGAAACATTGCACGTCGGGGCAGTCGGTGGTTGGGCATACGTAACACGTGTCCCTGCCATCTCAACTGATGAAGTTTCACTACTTCATCAATCGATTTGCCATCCCTACCTAGTACTCGTTTCCTAACAACTGCATTACTTACCCGGTGGTCCCAGGATATACGAGCAATGCTTCGAAGACACCTATGATCGAACACTAGTAGCCTACGAATATCCTCTACTCTTATTGGCCATGTTTCACTGCCATAAAGTAGGACGGGGCGAACTGCTGCACAGTAAACCCGTCCTTTGGTTGCTAGACGGATATCTTGCCTACGCCATTAATGACGCAAGTTGGCGAAAGCTAGACGAGCCTTCTGTATCCGTGCTGAGATTTCGTCACATACCAGACCACAAGGGTTGATGAGACTCCCAACTACTTCACTTCCTATCATTAGTTCAGGTGTCGCTGCAACCCAATCCTGAAGTAACATTTTGCACTTCGAGGGAGAGAATCGCATCCCGAACATGCCTGCATAGTTGCTTATAGTGGTCATAAGACTTTGCATGTTGTCAGCGTCTTCACCGAGTAAAACTATGTCGTCGGCGTATTCTAAGTCAACAAGTGAGCCTCCTGGTAAAAGTTCAACTCCTGGAGGTTTAGCTGATGAAAGTGCTATCTCTAAAAGTATGTCAATGACAAAGTTAAACAAGAATGGGGAGAGTGGACAGCCCTGACGAACGCCACTTGTGGTAATCAGTTCTGATGACAGTTCGCTATAGGCTCTAACTCGACCAGTTGTGTTCGAGTAGAGAGCCTTTATAAGGTTAATGTACTTCTTTGATACTCCTTTCACTGACAAACACTGCCATAGAACCTCACGATCAACAGAGTCAAATGCCGCCTTAAGGTCAAGAAATACTACTATTGTGGGACGTCTGAATTTGTGTCTATGTTCTAGAACCTGACGTAGGGTGAATATCTGGTCTATGCAACCACGTCCAGGTCGAAAACCAGCATGGTTTTCTCTAGTCTGCTCTTCACGAGCTTTGGTTAGGCGACCTAGTATTATTGAAGCTAATATTGTAGACACTATATTAGTCAAACTGATCCCTCTGTGATTGTCACAAGAGGACTTTTGTCCTTTCTTATAGACTGACACAATCAGTGATTGGGTCCAGTCAGATGGAATTACGTCCAGTTCCCAGATTCTACCTAAGACCTCAGTCAATCTCGTTGCTAGTACTGGACCACCATCCTTAAAAATCTCGGGGGTAAACCTGTCAGGGCCTGCCGCTCTCCCTCGCTTCAGATTTCCTATAGCTTTTTCAACCTTGTAAAGAGTTGATGTACTTACATCAATTTGCCATTCAGGACGACTGGGGGTCGTGGGTAATTGAAGTGTGGCTGAAGGCCAGTTGAACTGATCCCTAAAGTGTTCTGCCCATCTATCCAATCTCCTGGATTGAGAATGAATAATATGCCCATCTTTATCTGAGATGGTTTCACTGATATTCGGGTTCCTAATACCGGTTTCTTTAACAAGTCTGATTGGTGTCTGCTGTTACCTATTGTCGCTGCCTTTTCCATCTCTCTTGCTTTCGCTACCCACCACTGTTCACGATCATTACGTAGGCTTCTTATAAGCCTGCGCTTAAGTTGACTCCGCTCTTCGTTATGCTCAGAGCCAGGTGGGATGAGTTTACGAGCATCTATCAGTGCGGTAGATGCTGCCGAGACCCATTGTTTCTCCCTAACGTTATGGTTTACCTTACTAGCGGATATCACCGCTGTTTCCACAGCTGTACAGATGTCATTCCACGCTGCCTCGGGGTGGACACAACTTACATGGCTGCCTAACTGTTTTTCTAGTTGTTCCTGAAATATATTCTTAGCTTGCCTATCATTAAGTAGAACCCTTAGAGGCTTCCCTGCAGTGTCTTTCCTACGACCAGTAAGACGCAGACAGATACGTGCTCGTACTAGAGCATGATCTGAATCTAAACATGTGCCCCAGAATGAGCGACAGTCTTCTATCGAGCCCCTCCATCGGTGGCTGATAGCGATGTGATCTAATTGGGTCCAACGTTGGAACGAATTCGGGGGTCGCCATGTCAAAAGATGTTTTTCCTTATGCTTAAAGTTAGTATTTGCAAGAAATAGGCGGTTATCTGAGCACAGCTGCAACATATGGTAGCCATTATCTGTTCTTTGAGCCATCACACCATAAGATCCACCCAGGTGTCTTTCCCTTTCACTTAGTTTACCTACTTGAGCATTAAAGTCACCTGCTACTATTGCTACATCAGAACGCCTAGCTTTTCGGAGAAGGTCAGAAAGTTTCCTGTAGAACTCATCTTTCATATCGTCTGAGCTGCAGTCAGTGGGAGAGTAGGCAGAGACGACGAAGAGGCAACGACGAGTTTTTCTATCTTTCCGGGTCCTTACTGATCCGTTTAGTCGGACAGCGCATAGACGACTCTCTACTGGGATCCAGTCTAAAAGAGCTAGTTCTGCCCTAGGACTTAACGCTATACCTACTACAGCGAGGCCACGGGAAGCAGCGTCAGGGCTTCCAGATACACGAAGCGTGTATCGAGATGAAACTTTATTTTGATTAGGTGCGGTCAAATGAATGACACTACTCGGATCTTGTATGCGCGTTTCGGAGACGCAGCACACATCAATGGTGTAAGATTCTAGAGTCCTAGCTAAGGAAGCCTGTTGTCCTATTTGGCACAATGTTCGGACATTAAAAGTTCCTATATGTAGTTTAGAGCGTGGTTTCAGGAGACCAGGAATAACGTTCCGTCTACTCGAATCGTTTGCCCTAGCGGTGCGAGGTGATAAAAGGACGTGGGAAGGGTTAGTCGTGGAGATAACAGAGTTATTAGGTGTAGGAAGGATTTGAAAGCGACCAACTTGGTCTTGTGTGCAGTTAAGGGTATGAGGGCTAGTATCACTTCCCGGCTGCCCACACCGTGGAAGGGTATTTCTTGAGGGACCTGAAAAAGAAGTTGGATTAGTGTTGGTCTTAACGACCTGGGAGCGTGACCGCAGTGCCCAAGGGACATCTGCTTGAGGCCGGTCACGCACGGCCTTTTTGTGGGGGATTTTTGATGTGTTAGCTCCGTTCTTCAAAAGTCCTTACCGCCGGAGACGGAAATCCGTGGGATAAGGCGAGGTGTGCATTTTTAGGGTCGACCTTTTCTAACCCCACCCCTCCTTGTGGGAAGGCAGCATCGCTGTCATGCTGGTTGTCTGAAGGAAACACCTTACTGCTGTCACACCTCTGTACAGTCAGCAGTACGACTTCGCCTTCGGACCTTGGGATTGCTGCTTTTAGTCTCACCGCTCTTCAACCGACCTGTCTGGCATGGTAGGACCTTGAGGAACGATTGTTCCAGCCAGCATAGCTCGATTGGATCATCACGATAGGCAAGCCCGACCACCACGTCCAGGTAGCAGCAACGGTCGAGTAACTAGGGAGCAGTTAAAGAACTTTTCGGAGTGTTCTGCTAATCTTTCTAGTCTTCTGATTGTAGTCATATGCCTTGTAATTTCGTTCCAGGAAACTGTTGAGCTTTCGATAAACTGATCTCATCTTATCTACCAAGATAACAGATCTTTCAGCTAAATATAAACAGAAAGTTTTGTGCCAATCAATTATGGGATGGAGACATATCTAGCTAACAAGTTTTGTATGAGACGGGACACTATCCAAAATATAGTTATGAATAGTCGCATATACGGAAAACATTGGGGCATATTTCTAAGAAATCCCTTGTTCCAACAAAGTATGGTCCATTTAGTCTTGAGTTTCAACGCAAATGAAATACTTTTATACCCGAAGTTTTAACTGATAAACTTTACAGTATTAAACTTGTAGCTAAACTAGCAAACTTTTTACACAACAATGAACTTCGTCATTTAATATATATATATATGGCGAATCACACTTGCAAACAAATGTAGATATAATGTTCTACAAAACCAAAACATCCATTAATAACAAACGAATCAACCACGCGAGCACGGATCTGTCTGTGTCTTACTGGTCGTAGGAAAGACATTGCAAGGAAACCTCTTAGGGTTCTACTTAATGATAAGCAACTAGAAAAACAGTTAGACAGCTACGTAAGTTGTGCCCACCTCGAGGCAGCGTGGGATGACATCTGTATAGCTGTGGAAACAGCAGTGATATCCGCTAGTAAGATTAACCATAACGTTAGGGAGAAACACTGGATCTCGACAGCGTCTTCCGCACTGATAGGTGCTCGTAAACTCATCCCACCTGGCTCTGAACATAACGAAGAGCGGATTCAGCTTAAGCGCAGGCTAATAAGAAGCCTACATAATGATCACGAACAGTGGTGGGTAGCGAAAGCAAGAGAGATGGAAAAGGCAGCGACAATAGGTAACAGCAGACACCAATCAGACTTGTTAAAGAAACCGGTATTAGGAACCCAACTATCTCAGATGAACATATCATTCATTCTCAATCCAGGAGATTGGATCGATGGGCAGAACACTTTAGGGATCAGTTCAACTGGCCTTCAGCCACACTTCAATTACCCACGACCCCCAGTCGTCCTGAATGGCAAATTGATGTAAGTACATCAACTCTTTACAAGGTTGAAAAAGCTATAGGAAATCTGAAGCGAGGGAGAGCGGCAGGCCCTGACAGGTTTACCCCCGAGATTTTTAAGGTTGGTGGTCCAGTACTAGCAACGAGATTGACTGACGTCTTAGGTAGAATCTGGGAACTGGACGTAATTCCATCTGACTGGACCCAATCACTGATTGTGTCAGTCTATAAGAAAGGATAAAAGTCCTCATGTGACAATCATAGAGGAATGCGTTTGACTAATATGGTATCTAAAATATTAGCTTGAATAATACTTAGGCACCTAACCAAAGCTCGCGAAGAGCAGACTAGAGAAAACCAGGCTGGTTTTCGACCTGGACGTGGTTGTATAGACCAGATATTCACTCTACGTCAGGTCCTGGAACATAGACACACATTCAGACGCCACAAAATCGTGGTATTTCACGATACTAGGGCGGCATTCGACTTCCTTCATCGTGAGGTTCTATGGCAGTGTTTGTCAGTGAAAGGAGTACCAAAGAAGTACATTAACCTTATAAAGGCTCTCTACTCGAACACAATTGGTCGAGTTAGAGCTTATGGTGAACTGTCATCAGAATTGATTACCTCAAGTGGTGTTCGCCAGGGCTGTCCATTCTTGTTTAACTTTGTCGTTGGCATGCTTTTAGAGATAGCACTTTCATCAGCTAAACCTCCAGGAGTTGAACTCTTACCGGGAGACTCATTTGTTGGCTTAGAATACGCCGATGACATAGTTCTATTTGGTGAAGACGCTGACAAAATATAGAGTCTCCTGACCAGTATAAGCAACTATGCAGGCATGTTCGGGATGCGATTCTCTCCCTCGAAGTGCAAAATGTTACTTCAGGATTGGGTTGCAGCGACACCTGAACTAATGATAGGGAGTGAAGTATTTGAGCATGTCGAACGCTTCACTTATCTTGGGAGTCTCATCAGCCCTTGTGGTCTGGTGTGTGACGAAATCTCAGCACGGATACAGAAGGCTCGTCTAGCTTTCGCCAACTTGCGTCATTTATGGTGTAGGCAAGATATCCATCTAGCAATCAAAGGACGGGTTTACTGTGTAGCAGTTCGTTTCGTCCTACTTTATGGCTGTGTAACATGGCCGGTTAGAGTAGAGGATATTCGTAGGCTACTAGTATTCGACCATAGGTATCTTCGAAGCATTGCTCGTATATCATGGGACCACAGGGTAAGTAATGCAGTTGTTAGGGGACGGATACTAGTTGGAGATAGCAAATCGATTGATGAAGTAGTGAAACTTCATCAGTTGAGATTTGTACTGCATGGGTTTAGAAGGTTTTACTGAAAGCTATTTTGTCTCTGTTTATCAAAGATAGATGAAAGCTTCTTAAGTTATGGAGCTAATCTTAAAAACATTCATCCACCTGGAGGTCTTATGTAACCATGCACAAACATTCATCCCTTGTCTCTGAGATAACACTTCAAGATCGACGTGGTCTTCAATAATAATCCGGTTTCTTCCGCAGGTCTGTCATGGATAAATATTCCTACACAGTGTTGGCAGCCGCAAGGCGAAAATCACTCATCACTTAACAGCACTCGAGTTCATCTCATTCCCAACCAGACTTTATCCTCGCTTCCTGCTATATCGATCATCAATCCTTCCAATCCGCCTACATACATAAGGACTTCTAGACTGGATTTCAGTTCATATTCACCTGTTTTATTCCCGATTAAAGAAAGTGAGAGCTGAGAAGTATGAGGAAACATTCTACTGACTCTCCATTGATCCTGTTTACGCTCTCATCGACTGCAGTCAACATGGATCAAAAGACGAGCTCTAACAAAAGCCTCTAAATATTCAGTAAGTTAAGCTCCCGGATATAATTGAAGTGAGTGCATTGAGCCCGCAAGTAGTGAGGTCAAATGAATGTAAAAGAAATATAAAGGTGGGTCATTTACCGTTTCAACCAATCAAATAGATAACGGCGGGAGTTTGCTTTAATTATGCCCGAAAGTCAATCACTTACTCAGTTATATACATTTTTCACATTGGAGTCTTGATTTAACTGTCGTTCCTAAATATTTCTTCTTTTTCCTCGTCTTTTCTTTTTGAAGTACATCTATCATAACTAGATTTCTATTGCAGTGTGAACTAATTCTCCTGACCGCCAATGTCGGGGAGACTACTGTCTCAAACATATCCCATTACATTAAATAAGAATTTTTAATAACTATAAGTGTTTCCTATTAAAAAAACTGAACCGTTCGTAACACATGTAAAATGTCAGGCAAAAGTTTTCAAAGTAGGTTAAAGAATAATAAGTCAACATCTGTGCAAAAAAACAAGTACGAAAAAAGGAACAATAACAATTCTAGGTATGAAGTAACAATCGTAACTCTAAAATAGCAGAAATGAGATTGATAACATTATCATCGAAACAAAGATAAACGATAAAAAAACAGATCTAGTGAAAGCACCGCAGTAAAAAACAAATTTGCCCAGTGAATATATTTCACTCCTCGTATATATATGCCATAAGCGCACGCATGAACTCAGCTTGTGCTCTTAGTATGGTGGAAAAGTCTTCGACTCGTTCTTCTGCAAGAGAAATGTGGGATGACAAACAGGCGAAATGTATATAGCATTTGGTTTGTAACAAATAAAATCACTGATTGTACGAAGGAATAGATTTATTTTCAAACATTATGAAATAGTTGTGGCAATGACGATATAAACTAAATTATAGATATACCCTTTAACTTGTTGGTGAACGAGTAATTGTTGGAATTCCATTTGTGGTTACGTGAAATTCGACTACGTTAAATCAAATAAATAAGTAGTTTATGAAGATGGAAAATGAAACAAATATCCTTTAGAAAATATTACGATAACTATACATATCAATAACATAACGCCAATTCATAATCGTCAACACCATGTGTAGTCATATAATGAAAAATACAACATACAGTCGATGTTATCAGATATATCTTATTGTAATGTTATACAATAAATAAATCATTACTACGCAATCCTTCATGACTAGACTGATCTGAATAGCGAAATCGATCAGCATTGCAGAAGCTAAGTACTTTAAAGCTTCAGTAAACTTAGTGATATCTTGCGATCATCAGCTTAGATTTACTGATCAATCTTCGATGAAAGCTAACTAGCAGTAAAGTTTTAGGCTACTAAGACATATCTTAAATGTTCAATATGCTAGAGATTACAAAATCTACAATTTATTTAAAAAAAGAACAATATACATATACTTTTCTCTGATATAATTGTTTCTGTCTGCGCGAAATGTTACTGCTTACATCAATAAAATTAGTTTCTTGAAGTCATTGTGAAAATAAATTCAAAACAAAACCGCTGAACTGTTTAAAACCACTGGAAAAATGAAATTCACATGCCATATGTGAGTTGTTTTTTTAAAACTTGTTTAATGAATTCTTTTTCACAGTTGAATCCATGAGTCAATTGAAGCTAGACCACCATCGAAAACCTGGAAGAACTGCTCGACGGCCGTTTCGTCCTATTACGGAACTCCTCAACAGTGCGCATCCACAATCCCGCACTCGCGAGATTCGAACACAGGACCTACCAGTCTCAAGCCGGAGCCCTTAACCGATAGACCATTGAGCCGGCATCCATGGTGTTAATATCTAACTTCAACCAATCCACGATTTTGAGCGACCGTTCACCAATTGGCCAGTGGAGTTCTACCAAGTCTGTTGTAGAGATACCAGCTCACTGAAGACAATTGATGAACGGTCGCTCAAAATCGTGGATTGGTTGAAGTTAGATATTAACACCATAGATGCCGGCTCAATGGTCTATCGGTTAAGGGCTCCGGCTTGAGACTGGTAGGTCCTGTGTTCGAATCTCGCGAGTGCGGGATTGTGGATGCGCACTGCCGAGGAGTTCCATAATAGGACGAAACGGCCGTCGAGCAGTGCTTCCAGGTTTTCTATGGTTGTCTAGCTTCAATTGACTCATGATTTCAACTGTAAAAATACTAAATTCTCCACAAAACCCCCTCTGATCTATAATGAATTCATGGCAAGTTGGTATCATCGAATTTGTGAATATGAAATAAATGGGAGGCTACAAATGATGGATTTCAATACAAGAAGTATGCTTTCAAGGTTACTAAATAAGGTTTATAAAAGCCAATACAAATCAGATTAAAACAGAATTTATTAACTCACCTAGTTCATCAGTCTCATACAGATCAACTATAACATCTTGAAAAGATCGAGCTAACTGATCAAGAAAAGCAGTTCGATCTTTTTCTTTTGTGGCTTGAAATGTAGCATTGACAAGATTAATGAGTTCTGTTAATTTTGCACGAATTTTCACCTAACCATAGATTAAAATATTAGGAATTGTTATAATAATCGTTGTGTAGGTATGAATGAGCTGCATAAAGTGTATCGTATTTAAATGTCTAACAGATTTCAAGCTGCATCCCAAGTTTATTGTTTCTTTGTGACTATACAAGAAAACCGATATAGAGTTGTAACTACACACCTCTGTTGTAATACCTGCTTCAGTCTGGGCACCTGGGCAGTATCACAGCCCTCACACAAATCGAATGAGATTTGTGAGGCGCATATGTATCTGTTGTAATACCTGAAGTTCACCACCAGTCCTGAATTTTGAGTCGATACCTCATGGAAACAGTATCTACGTATGAAGCTTTCATATTTCCTTTTGTATATCAACATGACCCTCCAGACCAAAAAGTGAAAGAACAGTACCGTTTGAGATCCTAGTTTTCTGTACGAAATACCTAACCTTCACTACACTAATGCAGTCACCGATCAATTCAGTTCCCACAATCAATATTTAGACTGCAAGAAGAATACTTTTTAGTTCTCAAAACGGTCCAGTTATTTAGATTTTCTGAAAAATAATAGTGAAGTACTAAGGTATAAAATCAAATATACCTGAACTAAGCATAATGAAGTGAGAGTAACAGCAACTTCAGCAGTTTTTCCACTGTGGGCTTTATTCGTCACAGCAAGTAACGCTATTTCAGGTCCTACAAAGAAAAACATAAATACAATTGTTGATAAAGTCAGACCTATTCCTAATCAAATGAGACTGATTGTAAACAGACTACAGATAAAGATGAACGACCCATAAACAGACTACAGATAAAGATGAACGACCCATAAAGAATAAACCATATAGATGCAAGCGTATTCTTCTAAGTTATAGAACGATTACAGAAAGAAGCTGGAGATATATGGACGGGAATATACTGGTGTAATGCATCTCCAAATGTCAATACAATGGCAAGAGTTGGAGAAGCCTCTAAACGACATCGTTGAATATATTTGTGCGACAACTAAACACACTTCAAACTTATTATTAATAAATTTCTATTATCACAGTTGAAATCACAAGTCGATCTATGTTTGATCACCATTAAAAACCTGGAATTGCTGAATGAACATTTCGTCCCCGTGTGGAACTCCTCAGCAGCGCGTATCCACGAGGAGTTCGATGCTAGAACGGAATGGTCATCCATTGTTTCCAGGTTTTCAGTCTTGGTCTAGCTTAGATCGACTGGTGATTTCAACTGTGAAAATACTACATTCTCTACTAATCTCCATACTGGTAGAAATTTCTATTAGCCTGAAAAGAATATATATTCTTACAAATTTGTAATCATATAATCAGGAACTAATTTATTACACTTTCATAGGGTAATAAGTTAAGCTAATATACCTTCTTTAAAGTGTTTACAATTCAAGTGTGTACGAAGTCAAAATGAACAAATAATTTACTATAAACAAGAAGAAAACATACCTGATGTATGCAATAAACACGCTACATTTTCTGCTAACCAATCCTCAGGCGTTATTGTAATTTGGTCAATTATATTGATGATATCATCAGATGTCCATAAACCAGAATGAAACATATTTGACAGAACACTTCCAAGCTCGCCAAAACAAGCAGATAATTGTTGAGAATCAGCAGCTGTATTTTCACACATTGTACGCCACATAAGATTCCCTAGTATTTAGAACAAAATACTGATTGTTGAAGAAGCATCAAGAAACATTAATGCGAAATATTTACATGTTAAAATTTTAAAAAGTGGCTGCAAATAAAGATGCCTTTCTTAAGTCTTATTTAGCGTCAGATTGAACGGATGGATCTACAGCTACTCAAAACAGTATTTTCTATCACCGACCATATTGGTTAAGCTCAATGAAGAATTATTTTTCGTAAAATATTCAAAACAACTGTGTTGCTGATATTTCATTTAAGGATAAATTTCAATTGGTTTGATTATTCAGCACAAGAAATGTGAGGTCCGGTCATAACGTAAATATACTATGGGGAAAGTTTTATCGTTCTCATAAAGTGGTCACGGGTTTCCTCTATAGTTCATACATCTGCGGTAACCACTTTCATATAAAATTGTCCAGAAATAGTTTATATGGTACGGAGGCACTACAAACAGATAAGCAGGAGCAATACTTTCATCCCTCCTATCATTTAGTCTTATCAGTAGTACGTTTTCTGGAGCAACTTGTACTAAACAGTCTTAGTGATATTATTCGATGATTATAAACATGAGTTGACAGTCATTGAATATGTTCTACATTTCTTTAGTGAAATAGTGTAACTCATATGTATAGGTATTTGCGTTAAATTTATCATAATTGTTTTCAACAAGCCATGGTTATGAATGACTCTTGCATTATCTAAACACTCTTCTGGCCCGCTTACAATATTTTCTGAATACTATTGGTTTTTTCAATGAACAGATATTTTTAAGGCTGAGAAATTTCAATGTCGAAATTTCCAAATTTCATTACCATTGTATGAATACAAAATGCTTCATGATGAGCATGTAATGAAAATTCATTATAAATTCCTAGTCGTTTGCATCTGCTACCATCCAATTAATTACACATATGTATACGATTCCCAGTGAATATTAAAGAATCCCTACAGTTCATTTTCCACGGGAAAGTTGTTTCATGGATATTTTCAGATATAATCTCATAATACTGATCTTTATGATATACAGCTGATAGAAGATTTAACAGACTTGACAGCTTGAAAGTGATGAACATTATAGTCATATTTATTCTCACTAAAACCCATATTTTTAAGTTAGCCTATTTAAAATCAGCATTAATAAATAGAATTGTTAGGTAATGATAGAAAGACTTAGAAACAGCATATCATGCGGTTAATAACAAGAAATATGTTCAGAATTACCTCTATGTAATGGTCCATACAAAATAAATAAAATTCTAGCTTGATGAGTGTACGAATAAGAATGGAGAATCTCCATCAAAATGTTTGAAGCTGGCCAGAAATATGTATTTGTCAGTTTACTCGAGGAAGCTGATAAATTCTGCTTGACCAGGGTTGGAAATGTTGATAACGAATATCCTGCAACACCACTGTGAGTAATAAATAGTAGATTAATGATACTGAAAAGTGTAACAGAACCTACTAAAAATAGTTCTAATATCATCATTCTAAAGAGGTGAACTTAGATCCACAAAAATGTCCAGTATACATCATTGCTAACCATCACAAAGTAAAATAATGAATTAAGAAATATAAATGATAGACTAAAGTTCCTAATACTAAACGATCATATATTTTGCAAGAATTATTCAAGTAGTAGCTATGGGAATTAAAGTGCTGTTAGAATTAATTTAGTGTGTGTTGCTGAGCTGAAACATTTTACATCTCTTCTATAGCTAAATTCCTAATTGTATGCTTCAAAAAAATACTGTTTTATTAATCGCAGATAGATGAAAAAAATTCAAATTATACAGTTTTAATAACAGTGGGTAAGTGGTTAAGGCACTTAATTTTCAATTACAAAGTTTCAAGTTCCAGCCCTGCTCCAACTACTTTGCTTTGAGCAGCTGGGTAGTATCATCAACCTTCACATTTAGAGTGTGACCCATACTCAAGTACCTGAAGAATTAGTTAATTTCCACACCAGAGAGAGAAATATCGAGCTGGCAGATATTTCTGTTTACACAACATGACAACCTTCCAGAAAAAACTGGGACCAAAGACAAGACCATCAGCCAGAAGCATGCTTATATACAAAGTACTGAGCAAAAGAATAAACGTCAAATGAAACAATGAGTGATTGGAATACACTGATTTCGTAGATTACTTAAGTCTTAGTGATTTTAAGACCTAAATATTACCTTCAATTCTTGTTTGATAAATCAAGTAAACTGGTAAGGGACTATAATTAAAATTTGATCAATTGAATAAGGAAATAAAAAATTGCTAGGAACTAACTTTTATATATACAGAGACTCTTATTTAGCAAGCAACTATAATATAATCTTTTCCGTTCTTAATGTTTTATAAAATACTGTATACCAATCATAAGCAACCTAGAACTAGTGTACATCGTTTCAAGTTGACATACTCTATTAGCACAGTGAGATGAAACTTTCAGAACAAATGACAGAGTAGTGCAGGTAGCAACAGTATTAGTGATGATAGAAAAGGTTAGATATAGAAGACATTATTCGAGAAAACACGGGATAGTAAGAGAATAATAAAATTATAGGGTAATTCAGGAACTTAGGGTCTAAGAAAGAACAAAGAGTGGATGCACCTGCACCATTACGAACGATGTTGAATCATATCATCTAAAGTCTCTAACCATTACTTATAATTATAATGTGGATCCAAAACAGTTAGTGTTATATCCTAGTGAAGACATAAGTACAGGTAACTTCCGGGACCTATATATATATATATATATATATATATATATTTGGCTTGATCTTGTACAAATATTGTTTTCTACTTTAGGGTGTGATGCGGTCTGTCTGGCATATGAACCAAGTATGTTTGAAACAAATGATTTTCATAGCAGAAGCTGTAATTGGTGTTCTGGGCTAAAATGGAAGGGCTAGGCAGACAAAGGAACAATAAGGAGGCTAGACTTCTCATACCAGTCGAACGTCATTGTTTTGGCACAATGTTAAGATTGGAAAAGTCGTATTTCGATGGGTGAATAAATCACGTAACAAAAAGCCGGACATAAAATTACAACAGTTAGTCTGTGTTTAGTACAACACTCAGCGTATTCACGGACTGATGTCAAGTCTTGGTTTTGCCGCCTCTACTTTTCCAAAAAACTAGTCATACTCAAGCTGTCATCGTCCGTCGAGGTGGTGGTCACATGTAATATATGTCCGATGAAAGTTCCCTGCCTTATTAATCTTTTTGTCATCCTTGTCTGGTATCCTGCGTCTAACTTCAGAAATGTTTCTTCAGAAGTCCAGAGATGCGCGGGTAATAGTTTGACAACCTTTACAAACCTAATATTATTAGCCTACGATATCTTCTGTTTTTAAAGGCTATCTTTCTCAGTCAAAAAGTAGACTGTAAAGAACGGCTGCGCAGTATACTCGTCCTGCAGCTCAGATGGATATCTCGGCTCCTCCACAAGCAGGCAAAACCCGACTGAACTTTTTGTATTCGTGACGAGATTTCATTATACGCCAAGACATCAGCACTGGTGAGACTACCAAGATTAGTGAAGTGATCGACATGCTCAACTGCTTCACTCTCTATCATTAATTCAGACGATGACGCAAGCCAATCCCGTAGTGCTATTTTACATTTGGAGGAAGAAAACCACTCTAAAAAGCATGTCTATGGCAAAGTTAAATAAAAATGGGGCTGACGGACAACCCTGACAAACATTACTTGAAGTATCCATTTCCGATGACAGCTCATCATAAGCTCCGAATCGACATATAGTATTCGGGCAGAAAATCTTTACAATGTTTATGGTTGACAGTACAACTTTTTACTCAGACCTTAAGTTGTTGCCTTTAGTTTTACTGTTATGCAACCGACGTGCCTGGCATGGTAAGACCTGAAGGAACATGTGTTTCAGCCTATATGACGCGGTTGAGTCGCCACGACAGGCAAGTCTGATCACTGTGTCAAGGTAGCAGCTGCGATTAGCGTTAACTGGGGAGCAGTTAAAGAACTTTTCGGAGTGTTCTGCTAATCTTTCTAGTCTTCTGATTGTAGTCATATGCCTTGTAATTTCGTTCCAGGAAACTGTTGAGCTTTCGATAAACTGATCTCATCTTATCTACCAAGATAACAGATCTTTCAGCTAAATATAAACAGAAAGTTTTGTGCCAATCAATTATGGGATGGAGACATATCTAGCTAACAAGTTTTGTATGAGACGGGACACTATCCAAAATATAGTTATGAATAGTCGCATATACGGAAAACATTGGGGCATATTTCTAAGAAATCCCTTGTTCCAACAAAGTATGGTCCATTTAGTCTTGAGTTTCAACGCAAATGAAATACTTTTATACCCGAAGTTTTAACTGATAAACTTTACAGTATTAAACTTGTAGCTAAACTAGCAAACTTTTTACACAACAATGAACTTCGTCATTTAATATATATATATGGCGAATCACACTTGCAAACAAATGTAGATATAATGTTCTACAAAACCAAAACATCCAATAATAATAAATGAACCAACCATATTTTAGAATAAGTACACTAACCGCGGTAATTGTGTGACTGTCAATAAATCATCTGATGAAAATCCATTATCACTATAACTGCTAGATGAGGAGACTGAAGTTAGTAGGGCATTATCAGAGGGATATCTGGGTGATACATGGTAACTGATTGTTTCACGAGTCCAAGAAGTTTCTGAATGGGCTTCAACTGTATGTAGATTTTGGAGTGCGTCATATTGAATAGTTAAGGAACTGTTATCCGATGATAAAAATTGCTTCGTATTGGAAACGGATGACGACGGTGAGCTGATCTTATCATACATTTGTGGTAACGCATTAGGGTCTAAAAATGTTTTTCTTAGGAAAAGGCGAAGCGTCAGTTCGGATTGAGGATCTACACCTGAAGCAATCAAGGGCGCAAAGTCAAATATTTCTTGCGAATTTATCAAAAAATACAAATCCAGGAAATGATGTTTATCATCTAAACTCTTAGAACTACTTGAGTTACATGTACAATCGTCAAGTAAATTATTGAGGGGTAGAACTACTGAACTCTATGAAAGTTGTATGAATTCAATTTTTCAAGTAATTAAATTTAAGTCCCGAATGTAATTGGCATTCTAATTGTGAATACTTAATTTTGGTGAAATCATCATAACCACGAACTTATTCAAGTAAAACATCATTATGATAAACGCTGGAATTCAGACCGTAAAATAATGCAGTGTATTTAAAGTTTAGCATTTGAATATTTCTTCAGGTTGGTCGTTTTTAATCTGATGCATCCGACACACACTACGTTTTCGTTTTATGTCGATAAAAAACAATTGAAAAGTATTTATTCTCATGAAAAGATGTCTGGTCAAAAACGATGTCAATTCCAAATTTTAAAAACTTACCATAAAAATAAGTGGATAATTTGAATTTATGGATATTTTAGAGCCTCCAAAAATATAATGTATTTATAATATTTCTTCAAGTAAATAAAACAACCATTGCTTAATAAAATAACAAAATGTGCAGTTCTCTACTATACGATCTCACCCATTCTTGGGTAGAAAAAGCACGTAACTGGTCAACATGAAATAATTCAAACATACTTGACGGTTACTCGATGTTGTTTTATATATTTGTTATTCGCCTAGAATGGTCTTGATCGTCTTTTAAGAATATTTACTGCTTGTGTTAAACTATTTAGTGTGTCGCAAGTGATCACAAAACAAAAGAGATGTTTATTAAGTATTTAATATCAGTATTAAATAAGTAGAGTTTATGGCAGCTTTTACTTTTTTGATAGACAACAGTGGAGGTTTCTGTACTCAAGATATAGACAAGGAAAGTAAATTCAAAATGGAAGTTAAGCATAAGCACACAAATTGGTAACAACACATGAAAAGCCTACTTTTAAAAAAAATGACAATGTAAGTATGATCGTGAAAGATAATTTTAAGATGAACAGATTATATTCCTTCAAGTGAACTTTTAGGAATAACTATTCTGACGAAGCAGGTATAAATGGTTTTTCATTTTTATTTTTGAAAGCTCCTCTTATTTCAAAGAGTTGCAAATTCTACAGAACGTTTATTAATCTAGGCTAACTAATGTTTTCTAATTAAATTACCTTTCTGACTCGTTTTTTCTACTTTACTCTAGTGTTAACTGTGCTAAGCAACTGAGAAAAAACATGGGAATTGTTTTTCTTAATAATGGTTAACTGGGATAAACTCCTTTACACTGATTTTTACTTCAAATGTACACATCTTCAAACTCATTGATACATACGCACGATTTCCATACAATTTGTTAGAGAAACTATAGAGACTATATTTTAACACAAATTGGTCAGTTATTATAAGCTGACAGAGTTTCCACGTCAAGAAATAGAAAAAATGGAACAGAGCAAATATAATCATATGAAACTCTGATACAAGAGTGGTCCACGCCAGTTTATCTTTTATGAAAAGTGATACTGGCAGTAACAATTTTATGTATATCAGGTAAACTAAGAATAGACAATGGACAAACAAAAACATCAAACGGCTACCTGGTCTCTGACAGATCAAACTTGATAGGCGAAACCAGAAGTTCTCATTAAAGCATACATGCACAAGAGTGTGAAAAACCCGCTGGATATTTTGCTCTGGCCACCCAAAGATAAATTCTTTCAAGAAAACGCCATATAAAAGTAAGGCCAAACATTTTAAAGGACCTACGGAGCAGATGCTCAGATAACGATCTGGTTCCTGTAGGTTCTGACTAGTTCTGGAAGACTTTTCTAGATTCGGCATATGCTAAAACAAAGATAATTGAGTTGGAAACTTTTAACCATCAGACATAAAAGCAATGGACGCTGACGATTATCAGATGGATGTAAAACGGTTGCAAAATACGGCATATTTGAGCTTAAAACTGTAGAAGCTACCACGAGTTTTAGTGTCCTACATCAAAAGCTTGTGCACGTGAAGGTCTAAAAAAATCACTCAAGATTTACCCTTGAGTGATGAGTCAGGATAGAATGAAGAACATAACAACACAGAACGAGAGACATTAAAGTATAGGAGTATCAAATGCTGGATGATAAAATTCGAAGTGCGGTATACTTGTCAATAACAATTTTAATCTAGACATTGAATATCACATACATCTACTAGAAACCTATGGTTAAGAATGGGGTTTTCTCATCAAATAATTGAGTTAGAGGTTAAATTTTGTTTTTCTAGTGATTTTCCAATTTAAACAAAATATATAGAGCATTTATCAAATCATGTGTCAACTGAATAAAGAAAAAACACCTATTTCAAGAGTGAAAAAGCTACTTGTTTAGTGTTGCAGAAACCAAACCAATTTTTTATTAATTAGTGATGTGAACCAAAAAACAGGGTGGAATTCGTTATTGTAGATAGTACTATTTGGGAGCTTTGTGGGATATCACTATCGTGAATTCCTCTGTAAAAACACGACATATGGTACTGTAGTCTCGAAAAGTTTGATACAACACCAGGTCTTTTCGATCTTTTCTTGTGTGAATTGAAAAAGTGTATCAAATCTGTTTTGAAATAAGCAACAAGGCTTCTAAATATGCAATAAAAACGCAGGTTTAGTAATAATTCAAATATTTGATCACTCAATTATTTTTGATTCAGTTTGGAAAGCACAAAACGGTAGGAAATATTAGGTTAAAAAGTAACTTACTCTTCGTAAACTACACTCCAAAAACTGGAGTTTACGGCAAAGTGGTTGGTATTGATAAATTCTACGGAATAAATTTCCTAATGCTGTCACAAATAGCGCCTAACTCACCAGCGTGTTTGTACAACGTAACGGTGCACCTGGAACTGAAGGCTGAGTGAAGTTCGTGATTATGTGGGTTGTAAAACTGTGATAACTGTGGACATTGACTACTGTTACAGTACTTTTCAATCATAAGCTGAAATTCCTTGGAAACGTCCCAAAGATTTATCAGGTCGCTGACTAAGAATATATGAAAATTTAGAGAAAAATACTTTCGACTAGTGATAGTATCTGACATTTGATATCAAAGGGTAAAACTGAGATTCCAGAAAGGCATATGTACGAATATAAATCTGAACACCGATGTCGCAGTTGCTTCCCTCCAGGAACGCACAATCCGGGTACTAAGTCTGCGCACCGCTTCATTGAGCGGAATCAAGTTACGGATTTGGATACAGCGCTCTTTGGTAATTAAAAGCAATTTACCGGTTGGTCAAGTTCACTTAGGCTGACATTAGCTGATGTATATATCAACAAATCATTATCAAGCAAAATTTTAGATTAGTCCTCACTTGAAATTTTTGTTATTAGAATCACATAAAATTTTGCCTTTACTTCTCAGTAATGTGGATAGTTGATCAGTCTACTTGTTCAAATGGTTGAGGACGGAATAGAAGAAGATTTCACTTAACGGGCTTCCGTGTCTGGCAGCAGTGGATCACCAATACCTCCAAGCAAGAACCTAGGTATATGAACGATAATAGAGGGAAAAAAAGAATATGGTAAATCATAATAATATGTTATCCTTAGTCCTTAAGAATAAGTCAAGTTTTCTCTTAAAGGACTACTGGGAGGTCGCTTGGACTAGCTCAGTCGGCAGCGAATTCCAACACTGGACAACTCTAAAGGAGTAGAAGTTGTGTCTGCAGTCTGTTCTGCTATGTAGGGTCTCCAATTTCTGGGTGTTGCCTCTCAGGTTAGTGTTATGACTAAGCTTAAGAAGATGTTTAAAAGGATGACCAGAAGTATTAAGGATACTATAAGTTATAAGAATGTCACCTCTAAGATGCCTGAGAGAGAGTGAAGTTAACCCTGACCTTAAAGTGTCGGTTTTCTAGGTATGAAGTGAGCCAGTCAATCAGAGGGGGTTTGATACCCAATCGTCTAAGCTTATTGATAAGGCATATGTGGTTGACCCTATCAAAAGCTTTTGAGAAATCCAGGTAAATTATGTCAACCTTCCCCTTGCGATTGTAGCTGTAAATAATTCCACAAAATCAATAGCTCTTTAAGTGCTCGACATTGGATGCTGACGACATTGTTTAAGTGGACTTGTTTAACTGAAGGTTTTCGGTCACGCATCCGTACCAGATCATGTTTCGAACCAGCGTGGGACACAGCTCCTACGTTCGCTAGCCAGATCAGAGTAAACGCTTCTCGATATATTGATAACGTATCAAATATATCTTTCCACCTCTTCTCGTCTGACTTCTGATTTCAACTGATGGGGAAATGATTCCAATATAGAAGGTGTTGCTGGTCGCTAGTTGTCAAATTAGAATACCAGTCGTATCTTCACGAACAAGGATGGTTGTCCATCTATCCACCGCAGTCAGCAGATTAGTCATACAAGAATGACCCTTTCTGAAACCGTGCTGTTGGGGTGAGAAGAGCCTTAAGGATAATAAGTATTCTTGTATACCGTCCTATATTAAAGATTTCATAATTTTAGAAGGTATGGAGAGAAGGGTCACTGGTTGGTAGCTTGAGGGTTCACTGCGTCGACCTCCTTTGAAAATTGGTGTGATGTGAGCAAGCTTCTGAATTTCCGGCAGTTTGCCCCAGCTTAGCGAGTGTGAAAGCATCACGCTAAGTGGTGATGACAGGATTAAAGCTGCTTCCCTCAGTATAGCAGAATGAACCATATCCAGACTGGGAGAAGTGTCTTTTCTAAGGTACTTCAGTTTACGGAGCACCAGGTCAGCACTCAGGTTCACTTCGGAAAGTCCTGTACAGGTGCAGGTGAAGCTTTCGTCAGTATAGTTGATGTGGGTCGGCTGGAATGTCTGAGAGTATTGTTCAGCCAAAAGGTTAGCGGCATCACCGTCGTTATTGGTCGGACCTTTAGGACCTAGCAATTGGGAAGCTCCAGTTTCGCCTTGCCGAAGAGAAGATGTGTAATGGAATAAGCTTTTCGGATTGGAGACAAATTTATCGATAAGCTTGGTCTGGTACTGAAGCCTGTCTTCTCTTATCGCCTTTGAGCATATGGCTCATGGGAACTACATTAGTGACAGGTTTTTACAAACTTTCCTATGATAGGCGACTAAAACTCTTATCGTATCGTAGAATTCTGAGTGACCCTCTATTGGTGTTGTGTATCTTAAATTGTGATTTAGACTTAAACGGAGGGAATACTCTGAAAATCCCTTCAAAGTGGTTTATCGGACAGCATTGTTATTACTCTCTCCTTTGTTCGCGTCTTGTATTTCGGCTTTTACCCAGTTCATTTGTAACTACTCTTTATGTTCCTCAATTTTCTGTGTCCGGGCTTTTATTGTCTGACTTTGGTTAAAAATTTACCCTCACTACTCAGTTTTACTGTCGCATGTTTCCGGGACATAGACAATAAGGTCTTGTTTGACTAAACTCAGAGTTAAGGAGTGGTCTAGTTGATGACTGTTGACTTTCGACTACCTACTGGAAACGGTTACCCGAATCCTTACAAATAGAAATTTAATATTATCTTGCAGGGGATACTCTTTTTCATTAACAGGCACCAAACACATTTGTCAGCTATCCCTTTTTCCATTAAATACGTTATTTTTTGTCAAAGAAACGTTTGACTGTATACCACAGGCTGTACCATTTGAGGCATTTTGTACTTTTGGATACAATTTATTTGCTTTTTTAAATTGGTACCCTTTAGATTGAGCACAGAGTTTCTGTCTTGGTATAAATTAATACGAGTTTCTGTGATGTTTGTATGGAATAATAGTTCATTTGTACTTGATTTTCCTGGTTGGTTTCGAATTTTAAATGCACTATGTTCGTTTGTGCTCACTTAGCTCTATTTGGCTTAAAATTCACTGTTCCGGAAATTCCTAGATAATACGATAATTTGAATACCTCTGATCATGATAGTCTCCGAGAAAGATTTTGCACTCTATAGGTAAGAAAATAACTTGGTCCATTCAATAGACCTTCGTCCGCTAGCTCTGTATTTGGACCGAATGCTGGAATTCGTTTTGCTACTGGGTTTTAATATTTCTTATTATTTTCTTCCTCTGGTGATAATATTCTCCTAGGTCATTGCAAAAGTTTTCAGAGACCGCAACCGAGTAAACACGGCGTGGAATTCTCGTTTGCCAAATTAGCGATCAGTCTTCAGTCTCTAGTATTAATGATAAGAGGTCGAACAACCTATATTGATCCTTGCAATTTGTAGTGCAGTGGAGATCTAGTCTCGCTCTAAGTTTATTAACAGGAAGTTCTGATAATATGTGTTCTGGTAGAGTTCCAGTAATTCGCCTTTTAATGCGAGTAAGTGAAATCCAAGGGCAAGCAAATTGATCATAGCTTTCGAGCTTTTTAGAATGTCTTATCAGATGACCCACCCTAGATGTAAGGAAAAGATAGGACACTAATACCGAAATCGCTGCTCAGTATATGTTAAACCGTGGGTTAAACGTGGGTTTAAGCCTTTCAGTCTGTCAGTATAAGATGGAACAGTGGGACATTTCACCATATTGATCCCTCACAGTTGAATTGGTTCTAGTATGTTTGCTTCAGACTCGAGACACGTACCCGCTGCTTGAATCTCATTTTTCATATGCGGCCTCACAAGAGTTTCGCACAATAATTGCTGACTTACTCCTGTTACCCCTCGTGGAGGAGCATAGGCCACCCATCAGCATTCTCCATCCAACCCTGTCCTAGGTAATCCTTTCAAATTCTTTTCAGTTGTTATTCATTCTTTTCATATCTGCTTCTATTTTCCGGTGTAATGTGTTATTTGGCCTTCCTCTTTTCCGCTTCCCTTCACCATTCCAAGTTAGAGATTGCCTTGTAATGCACATTGGTGATTTTCTTAATGTATGTCCGATCCACTTCCAACGTCTTTTCCTAATTTCCTCTTCAGCTGGAAGCTGGTTCGTCCTCTCCCATAAAACACTGTTGTTGATAGTATCCGGTCAGTAAATGTTGAGTATTTTGTGTAGACAACTGTTTATAAATACTTGTACCTTCTCGACGATGGATGTAGTAGTTCTCCACGTTTCAGCTCCGTACAGTAAAACTGTCTTGACATTCGTATTGAAGATTGTGAATTTGATGTTGGCTTACAGACAGTTGTTTTTAGTTCCATATGTTCTTCGTTTGTAGAAATGAGGTCCTTGCTTTGCCAATCCTCACCTTCACATCTGCATCCAATCTTCCTTGTTCATCAATGATGCTTCCCATATGCGTGAATGTTTCCTCCTTTTTCCAGAGTTTCTCCACCAAGTGTGACTGGATTAGTGTTGTATTTGATAATCTTGCTTTTTCATTGTGTATGTTGAGGCCTATTGATGCAGAAGCTGCTGCTACATTTGCTGTCTTCGTCTGTATTTGTTCATGTGTATGAGATAGGAGGGCTAGGTCATCTGCGAAGTCCAAATCATCTAATTGATTCTGAGATGTCCATTGTATTCCGTGTTTCCCCTCCGATGTCGAGGTCTTCATAATTAGTCAATCACCAGAAGAAAGAGGATGGGAATGGTAGACAGCCTTATCTGACTCTGGTCCTTACTGGAAATGCATCTGTCAGCTGTCCTCCATGCACGAATTTGAACTGTAGCCCGTCGTATGGGTTTCGGATAATGCTGACAATCTTTTGAGGAACTCCATAATATCGAAGAAGTTTCCATAATGTTCACCTGTCCACACTGTTAGACGCCTTCTCATAGTCAATGAAGTTGGTGTATAGGGACGAGTTCCACTGAACTGGTTGTTCAACGATGATCCGTAGTGCCGCATTTCGGTCTGTACTTGACCGATCCTTACGAAATGCAGCCTATTGATCTCGAAGTTGGGCGTCTACTGCGTCTTTCATCCGGTTCAGTAACATTGTTGAAAACTTTTCCTGGTACTGACAACAAACTGATGCCTCTGTAATCCTCACATTTGCTCAGATCTCCTTTCTTTGGTATTTTGTTGAGTTATACTACTTTCCAGTCCGTTGGCACTTGTTCCTCTTCCCAAATCTTCTTGAATAGAAGGTGAAGCATATTTGCAGTTAATTCAATGTCTGACTTCAGTGTTTGACAGCTGACATGTTTCCTGGTACCATTGTTTTCCCACTCTTGATCTGACTGATGACAACAAGTTCTAAATATGAATGATAAGAGAACATCATCGCTATTCACTAACGATAGGGGAATACGTGGACAGTATATATCCTGGGCTACATGTATGATCACGGAATCTAAAAAAGTAATCCTGTATGAATATCAATGTGTGGGTTTGGATACGTACCTTATAATGTGTGTAGAGGATGCGTACAAGATATCATGTGAGATCATTTGTGGAAAGAAATTATAGAGATAATGCAACATGCTAGCAACGTTTACGACATATATAAACTATCTCTGCATATTTGTTGCACGGTGGTCTTTATTGATTGTAGAAGTAGGAAGGTCAAACAATAAGTGCGTTACAGTAAATCTTGATTTTAACACTCAATCTCCCTAGAATCAACTTCGTGGAACATACATACATTGGTGGTGCCAACTCTACTGAAGCTCTGTTCTTCAACCTTACCGGCGACCTGGGATTATTTGAAAATGTGAAGTCGGCAACCCGTTGGAGAAACAGTCAGACGCCGTCACGCTTAGTCTGGGTAATCACAAATGAAGAATTCCTAGTTGACGACCTCTCAATCCTGGCTCCCCTGGGGAAATGTGATCACTCCGTCTTGTCATTCAGCTTTGTCAGCAAGACGGAGTTACGATATCCTACTAGCAACAAGCGCTGGAACTTCAAACGGTTGAATGTGTTAGCTTTACAGGACTATCTTCAACAGGTGGATTGGGATGTTCGCCCTCAAATTGAAGTGGATGCTCATTGGCATTTTTTACTGCACACGATCTTATGTGCTACTGAGCATTCAGTTACTAAAATGGTCCCAAAAAGCTACAAGCAACCTGCAATCATCAAGAACCGCACTCGTCGTTTGCTAAGCCGCAAAAGGCACTGTTGGCCTGAATATAAACGAACTGATAACAACGGCGCATACAGGCAATACAAACATATAAGGAACATATGCACAAAGGCGATAAGAGAAGACAGGCTTCAGTACCAGACCAAGCTTATCGATAAATTTGTCTCCAATCCGAAAAGCTTATTCCATTACACATCTTCTCTTCGGCAAGGCGAAACTGGAGCTTCCCAATTGCTAGGTCCTAAAGGTCCGACCAATAACGACGGTGATGCCGCTAACCTTTTGGCTGAACAATACTCTCAGACATTCCAGCCGACCCACATCAACTATACTGACGAAAGCTTCACCTGCACCTGTACAGGACTTTCCGAAGTGAACCTGAGTGCTGACCTGGTGCTCCGTAAACTGAAGTACCTTAGAAAAGACACTTCTCCCAGTCTGGATATGGTTCATTCTGCTATACTGAGGGAAGCAGCTTTAATCCTGTCATCACCACTTAGCGTGATGCTTTCACACTCGCTAAGCTGGGGCAAACTGCCGGAAATTCAGAAGCTTGCTCACATCACACCAATTTTCAAAGGAGGTCGACGCAGTGAACCCTCAAGCTACCAACCAGTGACCCTTCTCTCCATACCTTCTAAAATTATGAAATCTTTAATATAGGACGGTATACAAGAATACTTATTATCCTTAAGGCTCTTCTCACCCCAACAGCACGGTTTCAGAAAGGGTCATTCTTGTATGACTAATCTGCTGACTGCGGTGGATAGATGGACAACCATCCTTGTTCGTGAAGATACGACTGGTATTCTAATTTGACAACTAGCGACCAGCAACACCTTCTATATTGGAATCATTTCCCCATCAGTTGAAATCAGAAGTCAGACGAGAAGAGGTGGAAAGATATATTTGATACGTTATCAATATATCGAGAAGCGTTTACTCTGATCTGGCTAGCGAACGTAGGAGCTGTGTCCCACGCTGGTTCGAAACATGATCTGGTACGGATGCGTGACCGAAAACCTTCAGTTAAACAAGTCCACTTAAACAATGTCGTCAGCATCCAATGTCGAGCACTTAAAGAGCTATTGATTTTGTGGAATTATTTACAGCTACAATCGCAAGGGGAAGGTTGACATAATTTACCTGGATTTCTCAAAAGCTTTTGATAGGGTCAACCACATATGCCTTATCAATAAGCTTAGACGATTGGGTATCAAACCCCCTCTGATTGACTGGCTCACTTCATACCTAGAAAACCGACACTTTAAGGTCAGGGTTAACTTCACTCTCTCTCTCAGGCTATGGAATGTCCTGGTGGGGTCCCCCAGGGCTCAATACTAGAACCTCTTCTCTTCTTGATTTACAATAACGATCTTCCTCAACAAGTTTCATCTGACTTATTGCTTTTTGCTGATGATGTGTAAATTTGGAGAGAGAGAGTGTGAGACGTAACCAAAAGTATATACGAGCACCTCAGGAGGATCTGACTCGACTTCAAAGTTGGCCAGATGACATAGGACTTACCTTCGACACTTCAAATTGCAAAGTAATCCATCTGCGACATGTTGCAGACTATAGTTATAACTTAGGTTACTCCTCTCTAGAAGTTTCCCAAGTCGAAAAAGATTTAGGAGTGTTGGTATCCTACTACCTGAAGTCGTATGCGAACTGTGACAAAAACGCCTTTCAAGCAAACCTTGAACTGATAACATTGAAGAGCATTTTTGGCCAGTTTGACCGTCGAACCTTCCACATAATCTTCAACAGTTTTATTCGTCCCCATTTAGAGTACGGACACATAGTATTCCCCTCCTCCAAAAGTATAAGAACATTCTGGGACGTATTCAACGTCGAGCCACGAAATCAGTTCGGGGCCTCAAATTCAAACCTTACGAAGAGCGCCTCCAATCACTAAGCCTTTACCCGTTAGAGTACAGGCATCTTAGAGGTGACATTCTTATAACTTATAGTATCCTTAATACTTCTGGTCATCCCCTTAAACATCTTCTTAAGCTTAGTCATAACACTAACCTGAGAGGTAACACCCAGAAACTGGAGACCCTACATAGCAGGACAGACTGCAGACACAACTTCTACTCCTTTAGAGTTGTCCAGTGCTGGAGTCCTTTAAGAGAAAACTTGACTTATTCTTAAGGACTAAGGATAACATATTATTATGATTTACCAAATTCTTTTTCTCTCTGTTATCGTTAATATACTTAGGTTCTTGCCTGGAGGTATTAGTGATCCACTGCTATTAGACACGGAGGCCCGTTAAGTGAAAGCTTCTTCTATTCCGTCCTCAACCATTTGAACCATTTGAACCATTTAGTTCGAAATTGGCTCTTTTACAGTACGCGCTCGGTATGGTTCATCTGGCACTTTCTCTAAATGCCGTCCGTAAAGCTACGAAGTTGAAATATTTAACCAATATATACCAGTCTTTTAAATGCCGAAACCTAAGTTACACTAGCGGATACACCATTATTGACCATTCATTCGATGCGGTAGTTGTTGGTGCAGGTGGGGCGGGTTTACGTGCAGGTTTCGGACTAGCAAATGAGGGTTTCAAAACTGCAATTATAACAAAATTATTTCCGACCAGATCTCACACTGTTGCTGCTCAAGGTGGGATAAATGCTGCTCTCGGGAATATGGAACCTGATGACTGGCGTTTCCATATGTATGACACAGTCAAAGGTTCCGATTGGTTAGGTGACCAGGATGCCATTCATTACATGTGTGAAGAAGCCCCAAAAGCCGTTATCGAGTTGGAAAACTATGGAGTACCTTTTAGTCGCTTGGAGAACGGTAAAATATACCAGCGAGCATTTGGTGGTCAAAGTATAGACTACGGGCGCGGTGGTCAGGCCCATCGCTGTTGTGCAGTTGCGGATCGGACTGGGCATTCACTTTTGCATACATTATATGGCCGGTCATTACGTTATGACGCCACTTACTTTATTGAATATTTCGTATTGGATCTTCTCATGGAAAATGGAGAGTGTCGGGGTGTCATTGCTGTGTGTTTAGAGGATGGGACTTTGCATCGTTTCCGTTCTAAAAATACAGTTCTTGCTACAGGGTATGTTATTTGTCTTTGCTCTTATGATATAGGGGTTATGGTCGTACATACTTCTCCTGTACTTCAGCACATACTTGCACAGGTGATGGGACGGCAATGGTCACACGGGCTGGGTTGCCTAACCAAGACATGGAGTTTGTTCAGTTTCACCCCACAGGTAAGTGTAGATATTTTCTGTAACTTCAAAGGAATTTATGGGGCTGGGTGCTTAATCACAGAGGGCTGTCGAGGTGAGGGTGGTTACCTCATTAATAGTAAAGGAGAGAGATTTATGGAGAGATATGCTCCTAATGCTAAAGACTTGGCTTCTCGGGATGTTGTGTCAAGAGCAATGACGATTGAGATTCGCGAAGGACGAGGGGTTGGTCCTAGGAAAGATCACATATTTTTGCAACTTTCTCATCTTCCAGCGGACCAATTACACAGTCGACTTCCTGGTATATCAGAGACAGCAAAAATATTCGCAGGTGTTGACGTTACAAGGGATCCTATTCCAGTGTTACCAACCGTCCACTATAATATGGGGGGAATTCCTACAAACTATAAAGGACAGGTTAGTTAAATATTTTCTCTAAGAAATTCTGTCGGCATACTATTTTTCCCCATATTATTCGGGTTGACAATATATTGGTTCATTTGTTGACCTTTAAGCTCTGCCGTTTGAAAGTAAGGGCTAGGTGTTTATAGTTTTTATTACTATACAGACTTTAATGAAAAAAAACACTTAGATCTGGCACATTTCTCACAAGTAATAAAGCTAAACTATACTTTGTAAGCACCTTAAGTGATAATCTTAGGGTGCCATTTGTTTTGCACCTGTCAAATGTAAGGTGGCACTTCATTTAATTAAAAGCTGCATAGTTTTTCAACCCCAGCTATTTTCTATCTCTGCCAGTTAAATGTATTGAGTTAAAGGGATGAGCAATGTTTCACTGATTACTACTCTGCTTATGATGGTTGACAGCCAAATGCCCTGGTGCGGCCGAGAGTGGGGAGAGGTCACCCTCCTCGAAATGCTCTCACATGGCCACGCCTATATAAATTCTGCCAGGGAAGTTCTACTCACTGACTTCTCGTGGCGGGGATGTTGTTTACGAAAATGAGAGGATGAAAAGCGAATGTCCGGCGCTTTAACCGGGTTGATGGACACGGAAAGTCTACCTAGGGGAGTTGGAAAACCCTGATTCCAAACCAATGCTGCACAAGGGCTCCAGTATCCCGAGAGAACAAATGGTGTATGAATCAATCGTTGATCACCGGCTACCATGGGACTGCATCTCCCCACGATGCTCCATTGCCTTATGGATCAGACCTTCAGGTCGAAGGCCCCGGGTGTGGCCCCCTAAGAAAACCACCTGTTTCAGTCTGGGAACCTGGGCATTATCACAGCCCTCGCACAAATAAATGAAATAGCGCTTTCTACTGACAATACTATTCTCGCTCCCACTAAACATCAGACAATTTGCATTATTATTATTATCTACCACGTCGCTTATTCACTCCCTTTTATTCTTAATTTATGCATCCTTACTTTTCAACCTATGCAGCAGCTCGTCCATGATGGAAACTTGCGTGGCGCATATGTATCTGGCGTCCCCTTGTACCAATATTTATGTGTTTAAATAAGTAAATATTACCAACCTATAAAAGAGGTTCGAACATTAACATTTTTTCTGTCCATTTCCTCTCCGAATAAAAAAAGCCTCATCTTGATTTTTAAATGCTTATTGAAATCATCCTGCTTGCTAAAACATTCTAGGGTTGCGTGCATTACGAACTCCCCGTTTGTCTACAATGTACGTGAGTTCTCACTTAGTAAAACCTGTATTTTGCCAATCACTCTTCACGTCATTGAACAAGAAACCATTTTGTCATTACAGTCGCTTCATACATAGATTAAGTGATGTACCTCAAAACCGATCGCAAATGTTTTCATTCTCTTAAGGTTTGGGCATATTATTGTGTTCAGTCTTGAAAGTTTTTCAGTCTACATTTTTTCTCCTGTTTTCAGTTTTCTCACAAATCTCTTTTTATGCCATTGTAAATTCCTATACTGGTCTGAAGTCTAGCAACGTAAAATGATGTACGTTTATGCTTCAGTGTACACTGATTATCTCTCTTTACCTTTCTATGCTGGTAAACCTCAACCATTTTATGTAGACATCGCTCGCATAAATTTGAGATAATTATGACTGATATTGGAGCAGATTAGTCCATAATCATCATGTAAACTAGGTGGAGCAATATAACGTTCAAGTTCACACCAGAAGACTTTCATAAGAATAAACTAATGTTCACGATTAAAAACAAGTGATTATTTTATCTTCAGTTTTATTATTATATAAATAACGAACTTGAATTTATATCAGTACATTTTGCATTCCTCTGTAGGTGCTGACATATGATCCGGTTGCTAAGAAAGATAAGGTTGTTCCTGGACTATATGCTGCTGGCGAAGCTGCTTCCGCATCGGTTCACGGCGCTAATAGACTAGGTGCTAACTCACTACTTGACATTGTTGTATTTGGTCGTGCATGTGCGCTTGACATTGCTGCAAAAAATAAGCCTGGAGATGCAGGTCCAGAGTTAAAACCAGATACTGGAGAGGCCTCCATCGCTAACTATGAAAAACTCCGGACCGCAAATGGAAATTATTCGATTGCACAAGTGAGTTAGCTTTATTATTCGTAGTATTTTATTTTTACTAATGTGTTTTCAATCTTTCCGATTTTTCATTTCATGTTTTATGTACCACTTTCCAGTTTAGTGTAGGGTTCGAGCCACTTGATAGTACCATTTCGCTGTCAAAACTCTGTAGGTAAAAGTGAATTTAAGCATATAAGTTACATGTTGAAATAGGCACCCATACCAAGGTTAGCCTTGATATTTTCAAATAAATTGAGCATTGGGTAGAGAGTTAATAATAAATATATTTTTGTTATATCCCAATGAGTAAAAAAATTGTATTTTTGACGTTTCATGACCTAATTTAAGCTATTACTCCAGAGTAGTTCACACTAAGTCACGAAACGTCAGAAATACAATTTTTCTACTCGACCATGATAGAAACCAAGCTTTTGTGTATTTTATTATAGTATTTTATCAGCTGGAACAGAATTATGCTAAAAATAAATGGATAAATACAGTCAACATGGGTGAAGAAGAAAAGTGCATTAAATTCAATATTCACTACTCTATAAAAAGTAATAAACTCACCAGTCTCTGTTGTGATAAACTTGGATGTTTAATTAATGATATCTGTCATCCTGAGGTCAGGGGAATTATACTAGGAACCTGCATCTATTTACATTAATCCAGGTGAAAAATCTATCACTTCGCTGCCACCCTTAGTTGCTCCCTAAACTAATCATAATGACATGAATACAATATAATCCATCTATTTCAGTTGATTCTGGTCTGGACATTTATCTGTTGAGATTAACTTACCCACTTAGGGTTTACTCTGAACCTAACATTCCTCAAACAGTCTTCCTTGATACACAAGGTACCTTTGGTTAATTACCTGTAATCTATGGATATATCTTGGGCCCAGTGGATTGTTTTATTATGGAGCAGCTCTAGATAAACTGCTGAGTAACATACATATCCCGTAGATATTTAGGTACCTCTTAGGGCTAATCTGACCTTATGAATATGAAATAAAGGTTTATGCGATCATTTGTTTCATTCTGTCTTTAAAATAAGGGTATGTGCAACTAGTTTTTAAAGCTTTATTTCAAATTTGACAAATGAGAAATGTTTACTGAATACTCTGATAGTTAAGAATGTACCGAACACACAAACCATTTGCCTATGTTCATGCATACTTTTTACATTGTTGAATTTTCTGTTATAACGTAGGTTCGGTTAGACATGCAGCGAACAATGCAAGAGTATGCTGCAGTATTTCGTGATGGTTCTACTCTCAAAGAGGGCTGTAAAAAAATGTATGATTTATATGCTTCTCGAATGAATGATTTAAAAGTCAGTGATCGCAGTAAAATATGGAATAGTGACCTAATGGAAGCATTAGAATTACAGAATCTGATGCTAAATGCTTTACAGGTATGTTTCCTTATGGTATAACAGTTTTCTAGGTATAAATGTTTATAAAGTTGTACGTAATTAATTTTGCAGTGTAAAATTATAACCTGTTGTATTAGTCTGTTCTTTTGTTGAACTAATCTGAACCATTTACACTGTGCGTTAACTGATTGGTCATCAATAACATTGTATAGTCGTCACACGATATCGCGAATTGATCTGAGTTGAAATTGTATCATTGAACATCGGCCCAGTAATTCTAACGGTTAAGCGTCCGCTGCAAGACCTAAAGGTCCTGGGCCGAATTGCAGGCAGGTCCGTGGTTGTGCATTGCTAAGGAGTCCCGTACCAGGGCAAAACAGCTGTCCAACATTCCCTAGTTTTATATGGCTTCCCAATTGCAATCAATCTGTAATGAACACAACCTTCAGATCATTAAGTCCATAAACCATAGTTCCATATAACAAAAACACCACAGTCAATTCAGTTTCACAACACTCTAAATTGAGTTTGCTTCTGTTATTTGATGAAGGTAATGGTATATTCGGGCACCAAACTTTTCATAATTACTCATTACTACAGAAAGCTCTTATTATGTTTTAATATGGTAAAATTAAGTGCTACTTCAATAAGCGAGTCGATTGTATGCATCAGTTCGAACTGACCACTTGTTTTTACTGCATTTTCAGTACCTTATGTTACATTGCACCGTAAGAATATAAAATCTGAGTAATTTTATTGTAAGCATAAAAATTATTTACTTGGTGAAGAATTACACCACCTTACAGGGATTTTAGTACTGAACATAACCCAATAGAATAGATTATTTTCTGTGAACCTACTGTTAATCAATCTCTAGTTCTGTCGAAAGTATTAGGACAGTTAGTTGCAACGTAGAACTTCGTACGTATGTACATCAGTTCGAGTTGCCATACCACATTAGCACAGAGATGTAGTTGTCCATTCAAATCCCATAGTGGTAGAAGTAGTAAAAGTATAAGCAGTAACCTAAAAGATTAGGGTGTGAAGATGTTATTCAAGGAGTATAATCCAGTGATTAATTTATTTATTTATTTAAACACATAAATATTGGTACAATGAAGCACCAGATAAATATGCGCCTCACAAATCTCATTCGATTTGTGTGAGGGCTGTGATACTGCCCAGGTGCCCAGACTGAAGCAGGTGGTTTTCTTAGGGGGCCACACCCCGAGCCTTTGACTTGAAGGTCTAATCCACAAGGCAGTGGAGCATCGTGAGGAGATGCAGTCCCATGGTAGCCGTTGACCAATGACAGGTTCGTCCGCCATTCGTTCCATCAGGATACTGGAGCCCATGTGCACCATTGGTTTGGAATCAGGGTTTTCCAACTCCTCTAGGTGGACCCTCCGTGTCCACCAACCCGAGTAAAGCGCCGGACATTCGCTTTTCATCCTCTCACTTTCATAAACAACGCCCCCGCCACGAGAAGTTTGAAAAGAGAAAAAAGATAGAGACATGAAGAATTCAGATTAGAATTTGGCAGAACACAAAGAGTGGATGCACCTTCACCATCGCAAACGATTTTGAGCCATGTCATTCAGGGTCTGTAACCATCGATTGCTATCGTCTCACGGATCCTAACCAGGTAGTCTACACCTACCAACATGGCTCAGTCCACTTGTCAGTGACTTCATTGATTTGTGCCACGTTTAGGTCTGGCCGCCCCTAGCTTTCTTCCAACCTACTCCTATACCATAAAACATTACACGTCGGGCAGTCGGTGGTTGGGCATACGTAGCACTTGTCCCAGCCATCTCAACTGATGAAGTTTCACTACTTCATCAATCGATTTGCCATCCCTACCTAGCACTCGTTTTCTAACAACTGCATTACTTACCCGGCGGTCCCAGGATATACAAGCAATGCTTCGAAGATACCTATGGTCGAATACTAGTAGCCTACGAATATCCTCTACTCTAACCGGCCACGTTTCACAGCCATACAGTAGGACGGGGCGAACTGCTGCACAGTAAACCCGTCCTTTGATTGCTAGATGGATATCTTGCCTACACCATAAATGACGCAAGTTGACGAAAGCTATACGAGCCTTCTGTATCCGTGCTGAGATTTCATCACACACCAGACCACAAGGGCTGATGAGACTCCCAAGATAAGTGAAGTGGTCTACACGCTCAACTACTTCACTCCCTATCATTAGTTCAGGTGTCGATGCAACCCAATCATAAGGTAACATTTTGCACTTTAAGGGGGAGAATCGCATCCCGAACATGCCTGCATTGTTGCGACCGTTGCTGCTACCTTGACGTGGTGGTCGGGCCTGCCTATCGTGATGAACCAATCGAGCTATACTGGCTGGAACAATCGTTCCTCAAGATCTTATCATACTAGACAGGTCGATTGAAGAGCGGTAAGACTAAAAGCAGCAAACCCAAGGTTTGAAGGCGAAGTCATACTGCCGACTGTACAGAGGTGTGACAGCAGTAAGGTGTTTCCTTTAGACAATCAGCATAACAGCGATGCTGCCTTTCCACAACGAAGGGTGGGGTTAGAAAATATCGACCCTAAAAATGCACACCTCACCTTATTACACGGATACCCATCTCTGGCGGTAAGGTCCTGTTACCTAGACCGAAGCAGGTGGTTTTCTTAGGGGCCACACCCTGGGCCTTCGACCTAAAGGTCTGATGCATAAGGCAGTGGAGCGACGTCAGGAAATGCAGTCCCATCGTAGTCGGTGACCAATATTTGGTTCATACACCATTTGTTTCCTCAGGATACTGGAGCCTATGTTCACCGTTGGTTTGGAATCAGGGTTTTCCAACTCCCCTAGGTGAACTTTCCGTGTCCACCAACACGGTTAAAGCACCGGACATTCACTTTTCGTCCTCTGAATTTCGTAAACAACACCTGTGGCACGAGAAGTCAGTGAGTAGAACTTCCCTGACGGAGGTTGTATGTACGTTTTCATTTGAGAGCATTTCGAGAGAGATAAATGACTCTCGCCACTCTCGACTCTACCAAGGCATTATGGGGCTTGATTGGGTCATTATGATAGGCAAGCCTCAGCATCACGTTAATTTAGCAGCTACAGTCGGGAGTTAATCGTATAGATACTTGATCTAGTTGAAATGTTTAAATCAAGAGGCTATACGAGTCAAATTACTAGAAACTTTCAACTCAATGGTCAACAATATGAAGTCACTATTTTAGTTTAAATCACATAACAGTATTTACTGTTTATATGGTTAGGATGAGTGTATTTCCCGAACTTTATTATTTAAATTGATGGATTTTGTCATCTTTATTAGTCGTAAATGATGCTCACATTAAATGTTCATTACTATGTTACCATTCAGTATTTATTAGAATTCTTGTAGAAAGTACGTTTCCCTGAATACTGACTATTTATAGATTATTTCTTTTGCGAGCTGCTTGGTTAATTACTTACTTACTTACTTACTTACTTACTTACGCCTGTTACCCCTCGTCAAGGAGCATAGGCCGCTCACCAGCATTCTCCATCCAACTCTGTCCTGAGCCTTCCTTTCCAGTTCTTTCCAGTTGCTATTCATCCTTTTCATATCTGCTTCTATTTCTCGGCGTAGTGTGTTCTTTGGCCTTCCTCTTTTCCGCTTCCCTTCACCATTCCAAGTTAGGGATTGAGTCGTGATGCACATTGGTGATTTCCTTAATGTATGTCCGATCCACTTCCAACGTCTTTTCCTAATTTCCTCTTCAGCTGTAAGCTGGTTTGTCCTCTCCCATAAAACGCTGTTGCTGATAGTATCCGGCCAATGGATGTTGAGTATTTTGCGTAGACAACTGTTTATAAATACTTGTACCTTCCTGATGATGGCCGTAGTAGTTCTACACGTTTCAGCTCCATACAGTAGGACTGTCTTGACGTTCGTATTAAAGATTCTGACCTTGAAATTGGTTGACAGTTGTTTTGAGTTCCATATGTTCTTTAATTGTAGAAATGCTGCCCTTGCTTTGCCAATCCTCGCCTTTACATCTGCATCCGATCCTCCTTGTTTATCAACGATGCTCCCCAGGTACTTGAATGTTTCCACCTCTTCCAGAGTTTCGCCGTCAAGTGTGATTGGGTTGGTGTTCTCCGTGTTGCATTTGATCATCTTGCTTTTTCCTTTGTGAATGTGGAGGCCTATCGATGCGGAGGCTGCTGCTACATTTGCTGTCTTCATCTGCATTTGTTCGTGTGTATGAGAGAGGAGGGCTAGGTCATCTGCGAAGTCCAAATCGTCTAATTGATTCTGAGCTGTCCATTGTATTCCGTATTTCCCTTCAGATGTCGAATTCTTCATAATCCAGTCAATCACTAGAAGGAAGAGGAATGGGGAGAGTAGACAGCCTTGTCTGACTCCGGTCCTTACTGGAAATGCATCTGTCAGCTGTCCTCCATGCACCACTTTGCACTGTAATCCATCGTATGAGTTTTGGATAATGTTGACGATCTTCTGAGGAACTCCATAGTGTCGAAGAAGTTTCCATAATGTTCTCCTATCCACGCTGTCAAACGCCTTCTCATAGTCAATAAAGTTGACGTATAGTGATGAGTTCCACTCAACTGATTGTTCAACGATGATCCGTAGTGTCGCAATCTGGTCTGTGCACGACCGATCCTTACGGAATCCAGCCTGATGATCCCTAAGTTCGGCGTCTACTGCGTCTTTCATCCGATTCAGCAGCACTCTGTTGAAAACTTTTCCTGGTACTGATAACAAGCTGATACCTCTGTAATTCTCACATTGGCTCAGATCTCCTTTCTTTGGTATCTTGATGAGATATCCTTCTTTCCAGTCCGTTGGCACTTGTTCCTCTTCCCAAATCTTCTTGAATAGAAGGTGAAGCATGTTTGCAGTTATTTCAATGTCTGACTTCAGTGCTTCTGCTGGTATATTGTCAGGTCCTGCCGCCTTCCCACTTTTGATTTGTCTGATGGCCATCTTGACTTCTTCGATCGTTGGTGGAGTGACATCTATTGGAAGGTCTGTGTGGGCTGCTTCGATGTTCGGTGGATTCAATGGGGCTGGTCTATTCAGCAGTTCCTCGAAGTACTCTGCCCATCTTTTCCTCTGTTCTTGAATCTCAGTGATTGTCTTTCCTTCTTTGTCCTTGACTGGTCTCTCCGGTTTGCTATATCTCCCTGCCAATTTCTTCGTTGTATCATATAGTTGTTTCATATTTCCTTCTCTTGCAGCTTTTTCGGCCGTCGTTGCTAGTTCTCCCATGTAGTTCTGCTTGTCGGCTTTAATGCTTTTCTTCACTTGCTTGTTTGCTTCTGCGTAGTCTGCTTGTGCTTTGACTTTCTCTGCTCGTGTTCGGCTGTTGTTAATTGCTAGTTTCTTGTTCTTCCTTTCTTGAATTTTGTCCAGGTTTCCCATAGATATCCATTCCTTGTGATGATGCTTCTTAGGACCAAGAACCTCCTGACACGTTGAAGTTAGTGCTTCTTTTATCCCTTTCCAGTTGTCCTCCAAAGTAGTTTCTTGTTCTTTCAGTAGATCCTGTAGAGCTTGGAACCTATTGTTGAGAATTATATTGAATTCATGGAGCTTGTCAGTATCTCGAAGGAAGGCTGTATTAAACCTTTGTAGTGCTGTTTGTCCAGTTGTCCAGTGTTTCTTAAGCTTCAGTTTCATCTTGGCCACAACCAGGTGGTGATCTGAAGCTATGTCAGCTCCTCTCCGGGTTCTCACATCTTCCATTGATCTTCGGAATTTTTTGTTGATACATATGTGATCTATCTGGTTCTCTGTGGTTTGGTCCGGTGAGATCCATGTAGCTTTGTGTATGCGTTTGTGTGGGAATATTGTGCCGCCTATAACCAATTTGTTGAAAGCACATAGGTTTGCAAATCTCTCCCCATTTTCATTTCTTTCTCCTAGTCCGTGTCGTCCGATTATATCTTCATATCCTGTGTTGTCCACTCCAACTTTAGCATTTAGATCTCCCATCAGGATGGTGAGGTCCTTTCTTGAGCACTTTGCTATAATTGATTGCAGCCTTTCATAGAACTGATCTTTATCATCGTCGTTGCTATCATTGGTGGCTGCATAACATTGGATAACGTTCATTGTGATCCCTTGCTTCTTTGTTCTGAATGATGCTTTGATTATCCTGGGTCCATGAGATTCCCATCCCACAAGTGCATTTCGTGCTTCTTTGTACAGCATTAGAGCAACTCCCTGAGTGTGTGGAGCACTTTCCCCTTCGTGACCGGAGTACAGCAGCATCTCTCCTGTACCCAACCTTTGTTGTCCAATTAGTGTCCAATGGGTTTCGCTGATTCCGAGTACTGCCAAGTTGTATCTCCTCATTTCCATTGCTATTTGGCTGGTCTTTCCTGTCTCCCACATTATCCGGACGTTCCATGTACCTATAAAGAGTGTTGCTCTGGTTGTTAGAAGGTGCATCGGTCTCGTGACTTCCGAAGAATTTCGGCTTTCATCATGAGACGTCATTATTCCTTCAACTCCCAGAGCAGAGTTTAAATGGTTTGAATGATTTTTTCTGGTTAGCGTTTTTTTAGCGAATTAGCTTTTCTACGGGATGGGGTCGCTAACCCCATGCCCAACCCTCCTCCTTTACCCGGGCTTGGGACCGGCAGTAACTCTAGAAGAGATACAGGCGGAGTTGCTTGGTTAATTGTATGGTACAAAAGTGCACTGTTGTATTTATTAAATTTCTTTTGGAAGCGATCAATGATTGTCACTACATTTCTAATTATACGAAGAGGTCGTTTATCGTAAGAAATATACCAGGTCTCATGTGTTTTTAACTTTATGTAATTTTAGACTATTGTTGGAGCTGAAGCCCGTAAAGAATCGCGTGGTGCTCATGCACGTGAAGATTTTCCTAATCGAGTAGATGAATTTGACTACTCTAAACCTATTGATGGACAAAAACCTAAGCCATTTGAAGAACATTGGCGAAAACATACTCTATCTTATCAGGATGTTAAAACTGGTGCTGTAAAATTGGAATATCGTCCTGTAATTGATGCCACCTTGGATTCTAAGAGCTGTCCATCTGTCCCTCCAAAACTACGCACTTATTAGGTTAGTACGACTTTTTAGCCGTTTGAAAATTGATAATAAGCTAAATATTTGTGAAACTCACATTATTTATAATTTTTAATCCTCTTTAATGCTGAACAGTACAGTTCTGTTTTGTTTCATGTTCGTAAGTTAAAGTGTTTCTCGGAGTTATTCATACGTTTTTATGATACCATCGAGTTTCGTGGATGGAAATAAGATTTGTTTAAGTATTTGAGCTTGATTGTTATTTCTCGGGATAAAATTTCAGTAGTTTGTGTGTGTTATAACTTGTGACCGCCTGGATTCCCTGTTAATGTTAAACGTGATAGTACGGCCAATTAGAGGGCAGCGAATTATCGATCGGACCAATGACACGAAACCTGTACGAGCAGTTTAAAGTACTCATCGGTCCTGCTTTCTGCTTAGCCCAGCCAGTTAGGTCCAGAACACCAACAACAGCCTCTGCGGTATGAATCATTATATTTCAAATATACTGAGTTTATATGCCAATCAAACTGACCATATCGTATCGTAAAATAGAAAATAACATTTGTACAAGATTCAGCCAAATGTGGCTGTGAATAGGGGGAACACTAATTAATGAACAGGGCATAATTCAAGAATGATAAATCGCATAATAATAGTCTATGGGTCAAAGCAAAGCCCATAATAAGGGGACATGAATATGAATAGTTTAGTTATTTAGCAATTATACGATAAAAAATATATGCACAACATTGGTTCATAAATGAGTCCCAAAATTACCATTCACTTTTGTTATCGGGACACAACAATGTGATTGGTTTTTATTTACAAATATTTATTCTTTGAGCTTTCAAGTTACATGTGTAAAGATATCCTAATCGCCTCATTCGATAAATGTTCATAGCAGTTTTTAAGTTGACGTAGTAGCTCTGACTTCAAGTTAATTCACTCAGTGGCTCCACCTTATGCAAACATCCAAGGGAATTTACGATTGACTAAACTTTCATTTTAAATGAAGCAGTTGTTGTTACTCTTAACCACTTCGCTCGCTATTGAACGTATTATGAATGCTAATTATCCCTGAAACATTACTATGTACTAGGTTGATGAGACCGTTCACAATACTTTTGAGTTTGTTATTCAACAATGTATTTTAACATCTTCACTAAATCAAACCACAACATTTACTCCGTAAAAATATGGGAGTATATTCACAAGAGGTTTGGAAAAATGCAGAGTTTACGGTATTTTTGAAAGCATGTCTGTACTACAATTGAATAAAAATGAAAAGAGTGGATTGGCGTAGTAGGTAATAGGTGCTTGACATTGTCGATTTAATTAGTTATTCTCGGTAAACTGGTCGAACGAAGGATGTTTGAGTTAAAAAAATCCAACAGGGTTATTTAAATCACTGTCAGATGTTGAGTAAACAGCCTACTGTATGTTAGAATAAACTGAGTAACAGTTCTAATCTCTTGTCACAAGGGGTTTTTTGTGGAGATTTTAGTAATTTTATAGCTAAGATCATGAGTCAATTGAAGCTAGACCACCGTGTAAAACCTGGAAACACTGGACGGCCGTTTCGTCCTATTATGAGACTTCTCAGCAGTGCGCATCCATGACCCCGCACTCGCGAGATTCGAACCCAGAACCTACCAATCTCGAGCCAGAGCCCTTAACCGATAGACCACTGAGCTGGCATCCAACGGTGTTAATGTCTAACCTCAACCAACCCACGAAATCTAATCTCTTGTACGGTATTTCTAACTTATAATTTAAGTGATTTATCATTAAAAATAATCTTTAACATATATTTTGCGCAAACGGTGATAATCACAAGGGCAATCTAGATCACAGAAAAGTACGAACTGAATAGTTGGTGATTTACAAATCTGTTGACACTGTATCTTTTCGATTACTTACACTCTCGGTAGACAAATATTAAGTTATCGAAATAGACGTACAATGGAAGTTTTAATGGGAACCAATCAGGTTATTACACCGTTCACTTATCTTGTATAGTTTCTTGTATAACATTCTACTTATCCTTACTCTTTTATTAAAAATTTGCACTGTCTTCATGTATCGTATAGATCGAAGTGTTACTTTATAGTTTATTGGCTTGGACAATAGGCAATTTGACATTGTGAACTCATTGAAGGATAGTCAGCTATGGGTATACAAAGATAATGTAGTACGAATTTGTTTATTTATTTAAACACATGAATATCGGTACAAGAAAGTACCGGATAAATATGCGCCTCACAAATCTCATTTGATTTGTGTGAGGGCTGTGATACTGCCCAGGTGCCCAGACTGAAGCAGGTGGTTTTCTTAGGGGGCCACACCCCGAGCCTTTGACTTGAAGGTCTAATCCACAAGGCAGTGGAGCATCGTGAGGAGATGCAGTCCCATGGTAGCCTGTGCCCAACGGTTGGTTCATACGCCATTTGTTCTCTCGGGATACTGGAGCCCTTGTGCACCATTGGTTTGGAATCAGGGTTTTCCAACTCCCCTAGGTAAACTTTCCGTGTCCACCGACCCGGTTAAAGCGTCGGACATTCGCTTTTCGTCCTCTGAATTTCGTAAACAACACCTGTGGCACGAGAAGTCAGTGAGTAGGACTTTCCTGGCAGAGACTTTATATTCGCGTGGCCATGTGAGAGCATTTGGAGAGGGAGAGCGGACTCTCCCCACTCTCGGCAGTACCAGGGCATGAATACAACTAACACTAAAATTAGTTTAAATCTATCAAAACTGTAAAGTAGCATAACTAATAAATGACATTTAGAAAAATTGCTAGTTGAATTTTTGCTGTTGACTATTATTATTCTTTCGGTTTTCTTTATCATACTACTGACTAGTGATTTCTTGTTTTGTTTTCTCAGCATACTTATTGCTTAGGATAAATTTTTCAAATGTGTAGCTTAATCAACTGAAGAACTTCCGTTCATATTCAAAATAACTTCGATATTACCTTTTTACACTATTTACTTGTTGTTATAATTTATCTGTGAATGCTTTTGTTTAAATATCATTTTCAATAAAACATCTCTTTACCAAATGTATACTTGGATTGTTGCCTTTTTTATTTCTTGGTTACATAGTTCACAAATAATAATCTACTTCTTCTTTTGAATGTAATAAATTCTTACCCACTTATGAATATTTATGCAGTAGTTTATTTGAATGTGACCAACTTGGTCTCGTGTGATGATTCGGGTATGAGGGCTAATATCACCTCCCGGCTGCTCACACTGTGGAAACGTATTTCTTGGGGGACCTGAAAAGGAAGTTTGATTAGCGTTGGCCTTAACGACCTGGAAGCGTGACCGCAGAGCCCAAGGGACAACTGCTTGAGGCCGGTCACTCACGGCCTTTTTGTAAGGGATTTTTGACGTGTTAGCTCCGTTCTTCTAAGAGCCTTACCACCGAGGACGGAAATTCGTGAGGTAAGATGAGGCGTGACATTTTTAGGATCAACCTTTTCTAACCCCCTCCTTCCGTGTGAGAAGGCAGCATCGCTGTTATGCTGGTTGTCTGAGGGAAACAACTTACTGCTGTCACACCTCTCTACAGTCGGCAGTACGACTTCGCCCTCAGACCTTGAGTTGATGCTTTTAGTTTTACCGTTTTCCGATCGACCTATCTGGCATGTTAGAGCCTACAGGAACATACTTTCCAACCAACATAGCTCGATTGGTTCATCACGATAGGTAAGCCAGACCACCACGTCAAAGTATCAGCCACGGATTACACTGCAAAGTAGTGCATAGAGGACAGCTGACAGACGCATTCCCAGTGAGGACCGAGATCGGATAAGGCTGACTTCTCTCTCCTCCCTCTTCATATGGTTGACTGCATTATGAAGACTTCGTCATCGGAGGGAAAGCACGGAATACAATGGACAGCTCGGAATCAACCAGACGATTTGGACTTCACGGATGACCTGACCCTTCTAGTGAAGTGACTACTTCTATGAATTTGGTGCTGATCTTGTTGTGCTAATCAGGTGTGGCAGCTGGCAGCCTGGTCCTACGTTTTAGCTGACTGACTGTGTATTGAGACCTGCTGCCACACTGGCTGTCTTCACCTGCATTTGCTGCTTTGTATAAGATAGGAGGGTCAGGTCATCTGTGAAGTCCAAATCGTCTGGTTGATTCCGAGCTGTCCATTGTATTCCGTGCTTTCCCTCCGATGTCGAGGTCTTCACAATGCAGTCAACCATATGAAGAGGGAGGGGAGAGTAGTCAGCCTTATCCGATCCCGGTCCTCACTGGGAATGCGTCTGTCAGCTGTCCTCTATGCACCACTGCAGTTTAGTCCATCGTATGAATCCCGTATGATGTTGACGATCTCAGCTACTTGCTCCATAGTGTTGAGAAAGGTTCCATGATGTTCTATCCATACTGTCAAACGCCTTTTCATAGTCAAGGAAGTTGATGTGTAGTGACGAGTTTCATTCAATTGATTGTTCAACGATGATCCGTGGTGTCGCGATTCAATCTGTGCACGACTGGTCCCTACATAATCCAGCCTTATGATCTCGAAGTTTGGCGTCTACTGAATCTTTCATCCGGTTCAACAACACTGTTGAAAACCTTTCCTGGTAGCGATTGTAGTGTGATGCCTCTGTAGTTCTCACATTTGCTCAGAATTCCTTTCTTTGGTATCTTGATGAGGTGTCCTTCTTTCCAATCCATCGGCACTTGTTCTTCCTTGCAAATGTTGAACAGAACGTAAAGCATCTTCACAGTTGCTTCTTTGTCTGACTTCAGTGCTTCACAGCTGACATGTTTCCTTGTACTACTGTTTTCTCACTCTTGATTTGTCTGATGACCACAACTGATTTCTCCGATCGTGCATGCGTTTGTGTGGGAAATTTGTGCCGACTATAACAATTTTGTTGAATGCACATAACTGTGTAAATCTCTCACCATTGCCGTTTATTTCTCCTAGTTCATGTCGTTTCATGATATGTTCATATATATTGCTGTCCATTCCGACTTTGGCGTTTAGATCTCTCATCAAGATGGTCAGGTTCTTTCCTGAGCACTTCGCTATTATTGATTGCAGCCTATCGTAAAGCTGTTCTTAATCGTCATCGTTTCTACCATTGGTGGATGCGTAACATTGGATAACATTCATTGTGGTTCCCTTCCTCTTTGTTTTGAAGGGTGATTTGATGATCCTGGGTCCATGAGATTCTAATCCTATAAGTGCTTTACGTGCTTCCCTCAACAGCATCAGAGCAACTACTTGAGTGCGTGGAACATTTTCTTGATAACCAGAGTACGTGAGCATCTCTATCGTGTCTAACCTTTACTGTCTAGTTTGGTTCCAACGGGATTCGCTGGTTCCGAGAACCGTCAACTTGTACCTTATTTCCGCAGCTATTTGACTGATTCTGCCGGTCTCCCACATTTTCTGAACGTTCCATTTACCTATATTAATTGTTGCTCTGGTTGTAAGAAGGAGCATAGGCCTAATGACTTCTGAAGAATCTCGGCTTTCATCCTCAGACGTCACAATTCTCCCTTTAACTCACAGGGAAGAGTTTAAATGGTTTGATTTGTTTATTCTGGTTGGCGTTGTTTTAGCAAGGTTATTTTTCACGGGATGGGGTTGGTGGCCCCATGCTCAACCCTCCTCCTTTACCCGGGCTAGAGACCGACAGTAACTCTAGAAGAGCTACAGGGAGAGTTGGTTGAACAAATAATAACGAGACAATATCTCTTCACATTTGTTTCGTTCGAATTTCGAGACTAATCTGTGTCAAGAAATAATTGTATTCTGTCATAATTACACAACTGATGACATATTTTACATCAAGCTGAACAATTAATTTGTAGTTAATTGACTGTTTAATCTAAATGGTTGGCGATGTTACCATAATTAATCAGTCGGAAGACAGTAATCTGAATTATCATATAAAGAAAATGCTTATAATATATATTTAAAGATATACTGTTATATAATAAATATATATTTTGTTATATCGCATTGAGTCGTAAAATTGTATTTCTAACGTTTCATGACTTAATGTAAGCCACTTCTTCAGAGTAGATAAGTAACCAAACTAAATTAACACAATACTTAATTTACTTAAAACTACCAAGTGCGACTTTGTTATCGATACCTACAAACACTGAATTTTTATAGTTCACATTACGGACTGGAATTAGAAAATTATTAAAAAAAAAGAAACAATGGGCAGCTATTTCGACTTAGAAAGGGTTCTATTGCCGGTGGTTCATGGATGAGCACTACCAAGTCTCATAGCAGAACAAAACAAACGTCCAGTATTTCTTAGTTTTTTAGTGATTGTTTAAATAAAGTCAATCTGTGTTATAATTTATAGCAGTTCAACAATCTTGAAAAAAACCCCCTTCATATATGAAGAAATATCAGATGGATTCGAGCATTCGTACATACATTACTTAAAAGACATCAATTTTATACAGTAACATTTTAAGTATTAAAAAATAATAATAATTAGTAAAATTGAATTTGTTTAATGTGTACAAAGTAAAAGTGTAGAGTGATTCTTTCCAGTTTTATAAAGGATCATAAACATAATAATCAATAAGTGGTTTGATCATTCTGTTTTTTTTCCATTCATTTATAAACATATAAAAACGGTTCTTTTTGTTTTTTTTTTTAAAAAAAAGAGGTAATACAGATAATTTACATCCAAAAAAGCGCTGATCAATAAATAAATAGGAAAAAGAATAATTAGGAGTCGTGGTAACAAAACACAACCTGTCTGATATGTTATTAAGTTAAGGCATATTGGTTTTTGAGGATGACAATAATTAAGTTAATAATACCCATATTAGTTACAATAAATAACAACATCCTTATACTGAAGTATGATGTTTTACCTAGGAATAGATAGATGATCCAGAAAAAATCAAAGAAAACATCACCAATTAATTATAATCATATTTGTTGATTTTATACAAATTCAATATAGATATATGAATGTAAACATTCACTTAGAATTATCATTTATAAAATACTTTATTTCCATGGTTACAAAGAAGATAAATTATAAATCAATGATGAATACGTTGTAATAATAATAATAGTAAGGAGTACAGATCACAATAAAAATAACATGTTGCCAAAATAATAAAAAAAACAGGGTTCAAAAATTAGGTGCTTGTTTGTATTTCTCTAATAAACACATAAATTACAGAATCTTGAAATGTAACCCAGTAATTAAAAAGGAAATAAAAATAAACTGTGTATCACATATGAGGATTTTGATAACAATATTATTATTAGTAGTATTACTAATGTCGACGAAAATTGAAACGTAAATTTTTTGTTCGAGATTGAGATTTTTTCATTTCAATCTCTGGTGGTGAATTATGACTAGTATCTAAAGTAGTATTGAATGTTGGAATACTTATTCCATTGTTAGAAGTATTAAAAGTATTATTAGTATTCGTAGTAGTACTATGATTGTCAGTACTGTGACTAGTACTATTCACTGTATTCGTATTGGAATTATTGAATGAAGTTAATTTAGTCCAACGGTTGGATACACTAGTACGTATACCGGTAGATGAATTTGAATTGCTGAAGATTAAAAAGGATTTATAAAAATGTGTACTGTAAAAATAAGGTTACAGGTAGTTAAAATTAAAAATGATACATTATTCCAGTCTGCTTTAATGCTGACTGAAGTTTCTAATGAAAAAGAATTATAATTATAAAGCGTTCGTGGTGATTGGCAAGTTTCATATTTTACATCAGGGAATGATCTTAATTAGACAGCCACTGAGAAACCAAGAAGCACTGGGCTGTTTTACCTTAGTAACACTCCACACTCACGACCTTCAGATCACGTAGCGAGAGTTTAACCGAGTTCAGCTACATTGAGTGTGAGGCAGTTACCCATCAATGACAATGGAAGATGATCGTGTGATATCACCGATTCAATTGGATTAGCGAGGTAAACCACTGGATGCTGATTCAGTAGTCTAAAGGTAAGCGCTCGCTGAGAGGCCAGATGGTCCTAGGCTCGATCTTTGATGGATTTGTTGGTGTGTACTGCTACGGTGTTCCATACTTAAACGGAGCACTTATTTAATGCTTCCAAGTTTCGAATGGTTGTCTAAACTAAGGCCAGTTCGTGGTGTGAACTATGAAAAAATAAAATAATTATTTGAATTTGGAAAATTCCCATATTGTGATTTAGAGCACTATATATAAGAGAACAATATTGTTTTCGATTAGATCCTCATCAGGCTTTACTACATGATAGACTAACTAGAGCAGTGAAGAGAACGTTTAATGCAGCCGACCTCTATCGTACTCGGCCTGATCTATGGTGATTCCTCAACTAAAGGATAAGTTACCTGGTTATGCCACTTCTATGTGTATCCACGAATTCAGCTGCTTCCGACGATACAACTCTTATAATTAACACTGTTCATCTAGACTCAATATCAATGGAAATGTCTACTGATCAATAGGTAAAAATGTCTGAAACATGAATTCTCAGTTCTGATCAGTAGCCAATAAGAATAGTTAATGGATTTCTAAAAAAATGACATTATCCATGTTTAGTACAGAAGTGAACACCTTTCTATATAGTGTATGAAAAGTGTAGGAAGGATTTGAAAGCGACCAACTTGGTCTTGTGTGCACTTTCCAAATTTATTTCACTGTACTATACTCCTTCAATAATTTCTTCAAACCCTAATCTTTTGGATTTCTGATTATACTTCTACTACCTCTACCACTATGGGATTTGAATCGACAACTGCATCTCTGTGCTAATGTGGTATGGCAACTCAAACTGATGTACGTACGTACGAAGTTCTACGTTGTGACTGACTGACTAAGTGTATGAAAAGTAGTCTCATTGTAATTGTCAGATTACTCTTGTTGTAACACATTTAGTTTATGACTCGATGTTAGGCAGTTGAAAAGAATCCTTAAGAGCATTGGTTTCATGTAAATAAACCACTAAGTTATAAGCAACGTAGAAACTAGAACATATGCGCATCACTTAAAGTTATTCCACCACACTGTGAGATAAAAGGACTAAGCTAAATGTCATAGTAGCAATAGTATCAGTGGAAGTAGGAAAGATTAGGTATAGACAGTATTATTTGAGAAGGTTAAATTCGTGGAATAAGAAAGTACAAGATAATTTCGAAACTCGGCAATTTCCTGGTTTGGATTCTTTTCTATGGGATGGGGTTGCTAACTTCATGCTTAACTCTCTTTTACACAGACCTGAGACTGGTAGTAACTCTTTAAGGGCTCCAAGCACCTAAAAAATAACAGAGTGAGTGCATCTGATACACTGCGACCGATTCTGAGCAACGTCATCTAACATCTCCGATCATTGGCTAAAATAATAACGCGTACTTCAAGCAAGTAGTCTAAGCTCAACTGAACGCCTCAACCCAACTGTTAATAACTGTCATGGACTGATGAAACGTATTAGTTTGCCTATACCTAGCTCCCAACCAATTTCTTCACCAGCAAGCGTCATGCATCTAATTGGGTGGTGTTTAGGCATGGGTAATCCATGTCTTAATCATCCAATTAGTACTTGCTAGCAAGAGGTAATCTACAATTGATTGAAGGCAAATAAATAATAATTTGTAAAAATAACTTACGAAGAACGTCCTTGATCATTTAATCGAAGATTTGAGTATAAATCAGATATGAATTGTTCTACCTCACGAACACGACGATTATCTCCACTTTCAATTAAATCTAAACGTACACGATCTAAACCTGGAACTAACCACTGAAGTAAACTTTTTTCATTTTGTACAGCTTAATTAAAGTTAAACAATTGTGTTTATAATGTTGCAAGATAATTTAATTGGATTAAGGTTATAACTCAAAAAAAAAATTAAACAAATTATTAAAAATACGAAGTAAAACGTGATTATATTATATTCATGGCTAGTGAAAGTTATGGTCAACTACTATAGAACGTGAACTGACAGATACGGATAATTGGCCATTTAATTTGTGATTTTTTCCTGGACTCATTGAATGTAGACTACTTTTTAATTGTGTTGAATGGAGTATTGTCTAGATTATATACTCTGGTTCTCGATTACTGGTCATGAATTGGATATCTGATATGTATAGGGTATCTGTAGGGTAATCTAGTCTAATAGTAGCAAAATTTTAGTAATCGGTTGTACTATAGTAGTGTATCGTAAAGTCAGAAAATAATTTTATTCGCGATTATATTAATACTACATTTTAATGGTTGCCTAACTTACATCGATTTGTGATATCACTAAAATTCAACAACCTGATAAAGATAACTGAAATTCCTGTGAGTCAATTTTTTTTTCCGAACATTATTCTTAATATACAGTCTTTCTCATTGTCATTGACAGTACATTATTCCGGTATTTTCTGTTATACATTGTATTAATTTTATCTTGTACTATTATGTTATGGCCATTGTATATATTGGCCATCAGAAGGGATTTTTGCGGATATTATAGTAATCTTAATAGTTCGGATCGTGAGTCAATTGAAGCTAGACCACCGTGGAAAACCTGGAAGCACTGGACGGCCGCTTCGTCCTATTGTGGGTCTCCTCAGGAGTGCGCATCCACGATCCCGCCTCGCGAGATTCGAACCCAGGACCTATCAGTTTCGTGCGCGAGCGCTTAACCACTAGACCACTGAGCCAGCATCCAACGGTGTTAATGTCTAACTTAAACCAATCCACAAAATTGAGAAACCATTCACCAATGTTGTCAGTGAGTTGATATCTCACAACAGACCTGGTTGAACTCCACTGGTCACTGCTTCTCACTAGAACTCCAGAAAATACCTTATGGAGCCAGTGACTAGTGAGCATATGATCATTATTAAAAGGGGGTTTTGTGGAGATTTTAGTAATTTTATATAGTTGAAATCATGAGTCTTTAAATTAAGCGATAATCTATATGTAAATATAAGGCTTTTTATTTAAACCAATGTAGACATTTCCCTAATCTGATGCAATTTATATTTTAAATGATTTAAGTAGGGTTGTCTTTTATCTGTTGAGTTTTTTTAGTTGTTTTTGTTTTGTGAGCGATATCAATCCCATGATGTTTTAATATTCTAGTGTAGATTTTTGCCATATTTTTAAAGAATTATACATTTCTTAACAGACCTGGTTGAACTTCACTGGTCACTGCTTCTCACTAGAATTCCAGGAAATACCTAAGTTTAGAGACTGACCAGTTGCAGTCCTAACAAATCGATGGGAAGATTCAAACAAACAATACTGAATGAATTTAAATATTATGATAGATTATAAATTTACTCCAATGACAAAGTTACCTATGTTTTAACTCAGATGCGGTGATATATGGATGAGGTTCTGCTGAGATGAGAAGCATGATATTTGGTGCTTATTGGATATTTGTTTGCTTTCAAATAGTTGATATTCAATTTAATGATGTATAAATGTGTTCTTGTACAATTTTTCACATTCCGTGACGAAAGGGGTTTGGCATTGTCACGTTTCATATGTTGTGATATTTTAAAATAAATGTATACCTTATTTAAATAAGAAAGGGGAACGAGCTACAAGGGAAAATCTTCATATTCAATGAAAGAAAATTAGTCAGATTAATAAAATGTGAATAATTGTCTAATCGTTAACAATACAAAAAGGATACAATATGCAGCTGTCGAAAACACTGTGAACAAATGATTAGCTAATTCAACACGTATTTCTAAGCTTGGTAAAGAATTATTCATTTCAGCTAAATTAAAAAGCCATGGTAATATATCTAAAAAGAGATACAATAAAAATAACAGCATGGATATTGTACATTTAAAAGAAAACGAACAGTTTAAACATGACTTCGGAGATTAATCAGTAATTAATCCATTATAAATATTTATTCAACAGAGGTCATTTGGTGCCCGAATATTTCAGTGGTAATATCTAAGGCACTGAAGTTGGGTGGTATGTGTTAAAATCCTGTGAGGAGAACCAGTTTTATCGTGATTTCCGGTATACTTTGCTAATCTAGGTAGATTTTCCTGCAAACTACTTCTAATCACCGAACAACTTAATATTAGTTATCCAAAGCACGAGATAAGTTCCCTAATTTTACTTCACGAGAAGTTACGATCAATACTGAAAGTAATATATTACAGATAGCATTAGATAATTAAGAAGTTGAAAAAAGAACTAATGAATCAGGAATTGGTTATTAAACACTGACTTATTTACTAAAAAAAGAATTTTTTGAAAGTTATAACAGCTAAAAAGACCTCAGGTTGTTTAATTTTATGAATAAGTTTTAGCTCTTTCTTGTAACGATAACCACGAGTACAATTTTTTCAAAGTTCGTACTCCACATGACCTTTGCCTGGGAATGGGAACAAAACAGGTACGTGTCACTTCTCTTTTTTTCACTCAGTTCCCGACATAATGACAATATATGACTTAAGAGTAACTTCAGATTCAACAATATTTATGAACCGTTCATTTTTAGACAAAGTGTCTTTACATTTTTCATCCTAACATATATCGATGGCTTGCTCACACTTTCGGGGGAACATTTTTTCAAACAAACATTTATTGTCCCAAATTTCCGTTTTTTCACATTTGTTCTATTTGACTCAATAAGTATGATAACCATATACACCCACGCGACTTAACAAAAGTGTTTACAAACGCTATTGTGAATTTAGCTGCAGAGAAATTCAAGAAGAACCATCAAAATGGTTGGTACATTTTTCTCTGTCTTTCTTTCTTTTTTAAAAAAAAGAGAGCCGACTACCATAGCATCCATACATCAAATAAATTCGGAGATGAAACGAGATATTATTGGAGCAAGACTTGTCGAAAGATTCACGGATGTATATGAGTGTCAGTTGTTCATTGTTTAAAAACTTTCTGTAGATATTTTTCTGAATTTCATAAGTTGAATTCTTAAAAAATAGGGATATTATGTCATTGCTATCGGACGCCACGGCTATTTCCATTGCTCCCAAATGCCCTGGTACGGCCGAGAGTGGGGGGAGTCCGTTCTCCCTCTAGAAATGCTCTCACATGGCCACGCAAATATATAGCCTCTGACAGGGAAGTCCTACTCACTGACTTCTCGTGGTGGGGATGTTGTTCACAAAATTGAGAGGACGAAAAGCGAATGTCCGGCGCTTTAAACACGTTGGTGGACACGGAGGGTCCACCTAGGGGAGTCGGAAAACCCTGATTCCAAACCAATGCTGCACATAGGCTCCAGTATCCTGAAGGAACAAATGGCGTATGAACCAATCGTTGGTCACCGGCTACCATGGGACTACATCACCTCACGATACTCCACTGCCTTGTGGACTAGACCTTTAAGTCAAAGGCTCGGGGTGTGGCACGGCCCTCACACAAATCAAATGAGATTTGTGAGGCGCATATTTATCTGGTTTATCTTTGTACCAGTATTTATGTTTAAATAAACAAATACAAATATATTATTCCTATTTAAATAAATAAATTGTTTTGAGAACACTACTGTAATCAAAGAGTATAGTATTGACTGAAGCGAGTATTGTTATCATTATGTTACTTACTATTTTGTTGAAAATTTTCACCACATATCGGAAGAAGACGATTAGTTAAATCTAGGAGATTATTAACTAATGTATTCCAAAATCGACGTTGTGAAATTATCAATCGATCCATTGTATAATCTATGCTTGTAGTTTGTACATTAGAATTAAGTTGTTCATTGGAATTCCTTCGACCAACAACCAAATCATATTGTAAACTAAGTAAATCAAATGCCTTTTGAAAAGAAAAAGAAAACTATTGAAATAAATATTGTTCACTCCTAATTCTTATTCTGATTTTGAAAGAGCAAAGTTTAATGTCCAAAGAATACTTGACAGTGGTGAGTGACTCGGGTTATCGTTGGCAACTGAATCAGTAGGAGTATATGACACAGAATATGAATTAGAATACTGGGTAATGAGATGTTGAGTCAAGGCTTTAATCGATAGAAATTGGTTGCCTAGTTTGAAGCCTGCTGAGTTCGTTTTCTGTGTCCGTCGCTATAGTTATGCTCTCCTATTTGTCTTGCATCCCTCGAAAATTATACTTTACTCTATTCTTCTCATATTCAAACACGAACTTTAAAAAGATTACTGATTTACGTTAAAAAAAGTACAATTTGTATTGGTAACGACAGTCAACTTTTATTCATTATGTTACAGTATATTAATGTTTGCGGGTGTTGAATTGTTAAACGTTGCTAAACGAAATACATGATGTAACCGACTCTAATTATCATTTTCTTAGAGCTGTGTTTTAAAAAACTGAAGTAAAGGAATCAGTTGTACATAATCGATATAGTTTCTATTTAGTATTATGGAAAAAGAGACGCTCAAGGCTATTAGTTATGTAATACATACGAATAACAGAAATTACATGTAAACTTCTTACCATAATACGATAATTAGCATATTCATTAGATGCGTTGTTTGTTAGTGTATCTGTTGTTGAAACTAAAGTTGTATCCATTGTTGTTGTAGAAGGAAAAGACGAAGAGTTTTCTACTCTAGAACCTCCAGAAGGATCACCACCACCAGCAACAATAGTAGCAGAAGAAGAAGACACAGTCGAATTTAGATATGGTACACATATTAACATGAGGAAACTGTACAATGGACCAAGTGAACAACATAACACACTCCAATCAGCTTGATCCGGTGTAATACGTTTACGTTGACCGGTTAAATCATCTCTAGTCACTTGACTAATAAATGGCCATATTAATCCTAATAAATTTGATTTGCAAATATCATTATGTGTTGTGAATGTTGACGTTATTGCACTGGTATGTGAGATATCATTGTTACTATACGATCCACTGATAAATCGTAGAATTTCGATTAATCCATGAAGTAGATTAGCTACTGCTCGACGAACTGAACTATCAGCGCAACTTAAACATGGTCGTATTGCTGGAAGTAAAATTTCTTGTACAGCAATATCCAAATTAGTAGTTAAGCTATAAATTGAAAAAAGTGAAAAAGAGAACGAAAAAAACTGTTATTAATCATAAATAAATTATATATTTGTAATATCCCAATGAGTAGAAAAATTAGATTTTCTGACGTTTCGTGACTCAGTGTAAGCCACTTCTTCAGAGAATAAATAACCAAATTAATATTAATCCAAGTTTAAATAGTACAACGGAACAATCAAAGAATATTAGGTGATCAATCAAAAACAGGTCTGAATAAATCACGGTCACGTCATTTCATTTCGGTCAAGGTGATTAATCATATGTACTATCATCAAGTTATATCGTAAACTGACCGAAATTATAAATGTAAACCACTCAACGCTGAATGATCCGGTGTGGATTCAATGGTTAAACATTCGTTGCAAGACCTGAATGCTCTGATATTTGATTCCTGGCGAGGTGATGAATAATTATTGTTCAGTCCAATACTAAGATGAAACAGCTATCCAGTCATCACTGATTTTCAATGGTAACCTAACTGAAATCGATTTGTGACGAATACAAACCATAAACATATTATCTGTTAAGACTGCGCGAATAAATAACAATGAGGGACTTTGAAAGCCATTTTCAGTTTCGGTTTATATGTTTTTAAAAACTGGTATTTTTCCATACTGTCCTAATTGTCAGTTTTCAACTCACTAACTGTTCCCATATCTCACCATTCGCCAATTTCAGTAAATTAATCATTAACTTATTAATCTGTTTTCTGCTCTAAATGTATATGTAGAATTAGTATTTACAATACTTCATATTAGCATATTGATTCTTTTTAAAGTTAGAATTATAAACAATAACAGAATGAAGGTATCATTACCAAGACTTGATTTGATAATTTTGAATAAATTGAGCATTGGGTAGATTGTTATAAATAAATTATATATTTGTAATATCCCAATGAGTAGAAAAATTAGATTTTCTGACGTTTCGTGACTCAGTGTAAGCCACTTCTTCAGAGAATAAATAACCAAATTAACATTAATCCAAGTCTAAATAGTACAGCGGAACAATCAAAGAATATTAGGTGATCAATCAAAACCAGGTCTGAATAAATCACGGTCACGTCATTTCATTTCGGTCAAGGTGATTCATAAGCGACATGGATGTAATTTTGTGTGTATGTATGCACTGTTAATAATGAAAACTGTGTGGCCTTTATAATTACAAAGGATAGAGTTTGGTTTGTAATGTAATGGTGTGAAATTGTAAATAATATCAGACTGAGTGACTAAGATAGATGGTCCAAGTAGGCTGTATGGTAAGGCCTTCCTTTCTATTGAGAGCTGTGGGATTAAGCATCATATGGAAAGCTTCAGCTACTCTTCTTTCTTTGTAGTTAGAATGAGATTCGTTAGTCTTCCTAGAGCCCTGTTGGTACATTTAGGATGGGTGAGAATTATGTATAGGCTCTGAATTGTTCGATGCAAACAGTCCCCAGTGTTAGTAGAGAGAAAATAAAAAAGTAGTAACATTATCATTAATAATAATGATATTCAGTGTAGATTAGGACAGCTCTGTGTGAAAATATGGGCTAGTAACGCCGCTTGATTGCTTAAACTGAGGAGAATGGAATGAGATTCAAGTTAGCTGTTGTGAAACTCATTACTTGAAATTTTCAAATCGTGCAGGTATCGTTGAATTAGGCACCATGAGTCTCGCGCCCTGAACGGCCGATTCTCAAGGATAATCTAAGTAAAATATATAAATAACCATGGAATTTACTGTCTACCATTGTTTGTTGGTGCACAGACCGAATTGCGACACTACGGATCATCGTGGAACAATCAGTTGAGTGGAATTCGTCACTATACATCAACTTCATTGACTATGAGAAGGCGTTTGACAGTGTGGACAGGAGAACATTATGGAAACTTCTTCGACACTATGGAGTTCCTCAGAAGATCGTCAACATTATCCAAAACTCATACGATGGATTACAGTGCAAAGTGGTGCATGGAGGACAGCTGACAGGTGCATTTCCAGTAAGGACCGGAGTCAGACAAGGCTGTCTACTCTCCCCATTCCTCTTCCTTCTAGTGATTGACTGGATTATGAAGAATTCGACATCTGAGGGAACGCACGGAATATAATGGACATCTCAGAATCGATTAGACGATTTGGACTTCGCAGATGACCTAGCCTTCCTATCTCATACACACGAACAAATACAGACGAAGACAGCAAATGTAGCAGCAGCCTCTGCATCAATAGGCCTCAACAGAGAAAAAATGAAGATTCCCAAATACAACGACAGTCAGTGACTTAGTTGTAATCAACGTACAAACTGTTAAAAATGTGCGGTAGCCCAAGTTTTTATAATATTGTGGCATGATGAGCAGAAATTAACAAGATAAACGGTAACGGATTTAAATTGACTGTGGTAACCATGATAATGAAGAAGACTAAAGACTGAAAATGTATTTCGAAAAGACAGAATGAAAGGGTAAAACTTAAGATCTAGAATAAGAAAAAGGGTTGGCAAATCTGGTTCATTGTGATCACTTTTGAGCAACATCACACAATACCTCCAATAAATGATCAAGGTTATTGACCAAACTGGGGTCCATGAGATTCCCATCCCACAAGTGTATTTCTTGCTTCTTTGGACAGCATTAGAGCAACTCCCTGAGTGTGTGGAGCATTTTCCCCTTCGTGACCGGAGTACAGCAGCATCTCTCCTGTACCTAGCCTTTGTTGTCCAGTTTGTGTCCAATGGGTTTCGCTGATTCCGAGTACTGCCAAGTTGTATCTCCTCATTTACATTGCTATTTGGTTGGTCTTTCCTATCTCCCACATTATCCGGACGTTCCATGTACCTATAAAGAGTGTTGCTCTGGTTGTTAGGAGGTGCATCGGTCTCGTGACTTCCGAAGAATTTCGGCTTTCATCATGAGACGTCATTATTCCTTCAACTCCCAGAGCAGAGTTTAAATGGTTTGAATTATTTTTTCTGGTTAGCGTTTTTTAGCGAATTAGCTTTTCTACGGGATGGGGTCGCTAACCCCATGCCCAACCCTCCTCCTTTACCCGGGCTTGGGACCGGCAGTAACTCTAGAAGAGCTACAGGCGGAGTTTTCAACAGAGTGCTGCTGAATCGGATGAAAGACGCAGTAGACGCCGAACTAAGGGATCATCAGGCTGGATTCCGTAAGGATCGGTCGTGCACAGACCAGATTGCGACACTACGGATCATCGTTGAACAATCAGTTGAGTGGAACTCATCACTATACGTCAACTTTATTGACTACGAGAAGGCGTTTGTGTTATGACTCGTAAGTTGAACGTTTTATTCGGATCCCAGCTATTCGGATAACCCCAGGCTAGCACTACTCAGCGACTTGGAAGACCAGAGAGAAGACACGAGTATCAGAGAAGCACTTTACTACAAGGTTCAATTATGTACAGAAAAACAGGGGTTTTATAGTAGCTAAAAGACCTTGAGATCCCATAGTAACAGCATGTTAACAGCCAATCAGGACCTTGTTATTTTAGTAGCATAGCTTCTAACTAATCGCTGATTGGTTGGTCTCTTTATGAGCCTCTCTGGAGGCTCTGATAGAGTTTATTGTAAGCCGATCTAACAGTTTGACAGCGTGGACAGGAGAACATTATGGAAACTTCTTCGACACTATGGAGTTCCTCAGAAGATCGTCAACATTATCCAAAACTCATACGATGGATTACAGTGCAAAGTGGTGCATGGAGGACAGCTGACAGGTGCATTTCCAGTAAGGACCGGAGTCAGACAAGGCTGTCTACTCTCCCCATTCCTCTTCCTTCTAGTGATTGACTGGATTATGAAGAATTCGACATCTGAGGGAACGCACGGAATACAATGGACTTCTCAGAATCGATTAGATGATTTGGACTTCGCAGATGACCTAGCCCTCCTCTCTCATACACACGAACAAATGCAGATGAAGACCGCAAATGTAGCAGCAGCCTCCGCATCGATAGGTCTCCACATTCACAAAGGAAAAAGCAAGATGGAAACATTCAAGTACCTGGGGAGCATCGTTGATAAACAAGGAGGATCGGATGTAGATGTAAAGGCGAGGATTGGCAAAGCAAGGGCAGCATTTCTACAATTGAAGAATATATGGAACTCAAAACAACTCTCAACTAATTTCAAGGTCAGAATCTTCAATACGAACGTCAAGACAGTCCTACTGTACGGAGCTGAAACGTGGAGAACTACTACGGCCATCATCAGGAAGGTACAAGTATTTATAAACAGTTGTCTACGCAAAATACTCAACATCCACTGGCCGGATACTATCAGCAACAGCGTTTTATGGGAGAGGACGAACCAGCTTCCAGCTGAAGAGGAAATTAGGAAAAGACGTTGGAAGTGGATCGGACATACATTAAGGAAATCACCAATGTGCATCACGACTCAATCCCTAACTTGGAATGGTGAAGGGAAGCGGAAAAGAGGAAGGCCAAAGAACACACTACGCCGGGAAATAGAAGCCGATATGAAAAGGCTGAATAGTAACTGGAAAGAACTGGAAAGGAAGGCTCAGGACAGAGTTGGATGGAGAATGCTGGTGAGCGGCCTATGCTCCTCGACGAGGGGTAATAGGCGTAAGTAAGTAAGTAAGTATTGACCAAACCCCAATCTCAGCTAAATAGTCTGCACGTACCAGCAAAGCTCAGATTAATAATTAATAACTTGATGAACTGATGCTACATTTCGGTTTGAACGACTGTATCTTATTTTCGACTTACTCTTGTACACTAATTAACATCGCCTGTCAAAGTAGGCGATAATTAGGGAATACATAAACACATGTCCCAATACAATCAGAACACTATAATAGAATCTAAGATGTAACTGATAATTTTGAGAAAAAAATAAAGCACTATTGATAAGGAATGAGAAAACTTACCAAAGACACCAAGCTGTTAAATTTATACAATGAAGTGGGAAACCTTCACGTGCATGTAAAAATATAGCACTTGTCAACAGCATTCTTACTTGACCTATTTCTGATTTCTAAAATGTAATAAAATTTTTTACTCTTATTTATTTATTAAAAGCTAATTATAAACTGAACGGTATAAATGTATCAAAATTGAATAATAGCTAGAAGCAGAAATATAGATGCACATTTCATCCTATACCTAATTCATCAGCAAAATGTAGTTGTATTTCAGTTATAGCAGATTTTCCGTTAGTACATGCCTACGTACTTTTATTTATTTATTTAAACACATAAATATTGATACAAAAAGGCACAAGATATATGTGCGCCACACAAATCTAATTTGATTTGTGTGAGGGCTGTGATACTGTCCGGATGCCCAGACCGCAGCATGCGGTTTACTTAGGGAGCCACACCCGGAGCCTTCGACATAGAGGTCTGATCCATAAGGTAGTGGAGCGACGTCAGGAAATGCAGTCTCATCGTAGTCGATGACCAATAATTGGTTCATACGCCATTTGTTTCCTCAGGATACTGGAGCCTATGTGCAGCATTGGTTTGGAATCAGGGTTTTCCAACTCCCCTAGGTGGACTCTCCGTGTCCACCAACACGGTTAGAGCGCCGGACATTCGCTTTTCGTCCTCTCACTTTCGCAAACAACACCCCCGCCACGAGAAGTCAGTGAGTAGGACTTCCCTGACAGAGGCTATATACGCGTGGCCATGTGAATGCATTTCGAGAAGGAGAACGGATTCTCCCCACTCTCGGCCGTACCAGGACATTTGGAGGCTACGTGATTTACCCTAACTTTTTTTTGATAAACAAAATAATCTAACCCTTTTTGAGTTATTGTGAACACATATATTTGACATTGTTAGTTAGTTGACTTGTTAACTGTTTTCATATGAGCGTATGTTTGTTCATTAGTTATTCCATTGATAACTTGTTGTTAGCTAGCTTTTTCTATCTGATTATAAATGCTGAACCATATTGGATGAAAATGAGTTGGCTATTTCTACCACCCTAGTTCACATATATTTTGACTTGTTTCTGGTTTTTCGCCCGTATTACCAAATGTCTAAACTATATACGTTATTCAATTACTTTATATGTTCGACTTTTTATATCTACGCTGTTATTAACGGGATTTGTCAACAGAAAATAAACAAAGTCATATAGGACATATTCACATTACTCTCGTCCAACTAGTTTAGGAAGTCAGCAACGGACGCTTAGTAGAGTTGATGTTCGCACTAACAATAGAACACAGTACTTTTCGTTACAAATGCCAATGTGTTATCCATTAAGCTACTGAATCCAGGTAGCCATTACTAGCTTGTGCAGCGAATATGGATTTCAATTGTACACGAAGGAAAAATATCAATATGACTATCCTGTTGGTGTGTAATGTTGATTGATGTTAGTCAAAGATACATGTAAAGCTAGAAGTTAGTTTATTACATATCACTATTAATATGAACTAAAGGATTTCAATAATTAAAGGTGTAAAAAGCCATAACGTGCTTTAAACAGATTGAGTAGTTTCAAACTGAAATATTGTTTAGTGGCCACTGAAATGATGATAGCAATCTTTTATGAAAAATAGGTCGAATCGAACATTAGATAAGTTGGTTAAAAATTAGATTCAGGTCATAAAACAAATGTCATTTATTCATTGATCAATTAATTAACGTTAGAGATCAATGAAAACACACTGTTTAACATTATTTATTTGACTTGAATATTATCTTAATGGTTTTTAGATCAGCACTGAACAAGTAATTGATTAAAAGTTTCAAAATGTTGATGTAATAAGCTAATGAATTACTGATTCATGGATGCAAGCGTATTCGATAACTTTCCACTATTGAAATGCCAAGTTAACAGACAACTAGAGATTCTTATTATAATGAACGAAAATTTGGGTAAGATATACCAATTTATTGTATTATAAGCGAAGATGGATGGTTGCTAGCAGTGGAATCCAGGACGCGCGTTTCGTCCTATTTGGGGCTCGTTAGTTGGATGTACCTGCATCCCAAATAGGATGAAATGTACATCTTCGCTTCCACTGCTAGCCACCATCCATATATGCTTATAATGCTTGTGATTTAAGGCAATACGCACAGGATGCACATATGCCAATAAGAGATTGATCAATTGCAGATCTAAACATCAATAGGAAGATTTTAAGCAAACAATACCAAGTCAATTTATTGTATTATGCAAAATCACACAACTGAATTTGTATAATATACTATTTGCATATCTTCCTTTAGTTGTCCCCTACAACTTCATCGTTCTCCTATTTCTGTTATTATTTCAATTGTTTCATGTTTTAGTATATCTCCTCATTTTCCTTTTCTGTCTATAAGAATTCTACTTTCAGTTCCTGATACATACTGCTTATATCTGTCTGTACGAGTGGCATACACCACAGCGGTATTTCAATTTTCCTGTGACAAGACATTACTTCTAATTTTTTTATATACTATAAGAGTACTGTTATAACGTATGGATTCGTAATATATATGAACATGCAATTAGAGAGGAGTGAATTTATTGTTCGGACGCAAATGATACTTGAAATCGTACGAGCAGTCTTGGGTGCTATTCGGTCCTTCCTATCTGCCTAGCGCAGCCAGTTAAGTCCAGAACACAGATAACAGCCTCGGCAATATGAATCATTATTTACAAGCACACTGGGTTTTTATACAAACCAAAGTAATCAATAAACTGATTATAACTCAAGAATCGTATGATAATAAGTCAAAGGTTAAAATAAAGCTAATGATAAGAGAAACACGAATATGAATAGTTCAGTTACGTAATAATTGTACAGTAGGAAATAGGCATATTACATTGATCCATAAATAGACCTAAAAGTTACCATTCGTAATTCACCAGGGGATATAACAAGTACCTTAAAGCCTAATGGATGAATACGATATGAAGTTATATAATCAATATTATGAGATCAGTAAACAATTTACATTTTCATTTCGTTTCGATTGCAAATCTCCCATTTTAATGTAGATTGTATTAGCTGTTTACAACTTTTTCTCAGAAAGCAATATTTCACTCAATGAAAATACTCCTAAGGAAACATATGGAACTCAAAACAACTGTAAAACAACACCAAGGTCAGAATATGAACGTAAAAACTGTTCTACTGTAAAGCGCTGAAACTTGGAGAAATACCACAACCATCATCAAAATGGTACAAGTATTTATAAACAGTTGTCTACGCAAGATACTAAATGTCTTTTGGCCGGAAACCATCAGCAACAACCTACTGTGGGAGAGAAAAAGCCATATTCCAGCTGAGGAGGAAATTAGGAAAAGACGTTGGGAGTGGATTAGACATACATTACGGAATTCACCAAAGTGCATGACCACCAAGTGCATTAACTTGGAATCTGGAAGGGAGACAGAAGGGAGAAGGCCGAAAAACACACTGAGTCGGGAGTTGGAAGCAGGATGAATAGTAACTGGAAAGGATCTTCCAGGACAGAGTTCAATGGGGAATGCTGGTAGGCAGTATATGTTCCTCCATGAGGGGTAACGCGAGTAAGGAAGTAAGCAACATTGCATTAAATTAAAATAAACAAATTGTTCATATTGAGGTTTTCACTTCACGTACCGATTGTGTAGAAGAAAGCAAACAGCAATAACCAGCTAAGAGTCCAGTTTGCATAGAACTGTGATCATATTCATAATCTGGAATATAATAATAATAAATAATCATGAAAGAGGAATATTTAGACACAGTATTTCCCATCCCTGAAAAGTTTATTCAAAAAGAAAATGTTAAAAATAAATTGAAGTTTCATTAGCTAGCTGGAATGATGAGCCAGAATCACAGTCCTTCTAAATGATGAACGTTGAAATATTTTAAAATATCATTAGTTAACTTTTTGCAGATACACGATAATCGATATAAAAACATAAAAATGAAATATATGTAGAGTAGATAGAGTAAGGCTATTAGTGGAATATAGGACGCGCATTTCATCTTATTTGGGACTCGTCAGCTGAATGTGCTTGTATTACAGAATTGATGTTCACTCTGGGACTCGAACGGAGTGCAATAAATTTGAGACGGAGGTACATCCAAATGACAATTCCCAAATAGGTAGAAACGCGAGCGTCCTGGATTCTACTGCTAGCTTTATTTCATATATACTAAATCGTATCATAATGGCTATGTCAAGGTGATCTTCACCGAATGCGCGTATATCAACCAGCGCTACAAATTTCGGTTAAAATATCAACAACGGGACAATCCAAACAACTTCTAATGGAATCAATGAAGCGCATGGCTTTTACAAATGAATAACATTTAGCTATCCTTTAACTTGTGTAATTACTTAACAGATAGAATGTGTACAACCACTGAAGAATACGGACACAGGAATACTATTTCGTATTTCACTACCAATTAGTATCAGTACAAAAATTACAACTGCCAAAACAACATGTCCAGGTGAATTTAAACAAAAATGGAATAATATTAGATGATACTTCGACAGGAGATATGTGCTAGTATAGGATTAATCTCGAAGAGAGCTACGGACGGTCAAACAAAAGCATCATATCAGTAGATTAAGTCACCGATTGTTGAGTTTGAGTAATTTTTGTGGGCATAAACTACTTCTACGTGGTTTTATTCCGAGCGACTATAGTAAATAATGAGTTACCTGGCCCAAAACTAATCATATTAATTTTTAAAGTAACTTAATACTTTCTCATTGTGTAAACTTATCTTCTTTTCGAGAATAATAATGCATGTGTTTAATGTTTCCAACTAACGCTGATACAATTGCTATTTCTATTACGCTGCAATGTGTCTTTATATCTTAACTTGCTGTTCTAATATAGTGTGGCGACTTAAACCGCTGACCATGAATATTAGGGTTCTACTTTGTTTATGAATAATTGATTGAGCACTAAAAAGTCTGGTTCTATATAGAGTTCTTCAACCACCGCCTATATATACACACAGAATAATCTAACTGGTTAGTTTAGGTGTTTCACTAATATTTAACGCGGAAAATGAAAAATACGATCCATTAATTTATCGCAAGCTACCTAATATGGAAAATACGTTTCGCAACTCCACTAATGAATATGTAATTCAGTGATCGATCAACCAAGCTATTACAACAAACAGGACAGAAACTTATACAACTGTATCTATTCAAGTTGACTAATCACTCAGTAAGATAAAAAATACGATTTTATATAAAACGACTATAGTATACGTATCCTTAAACTTGCGGATATTGTTTTTAAAGTGCAAAGTCAATCATAAGGAAAGCTGTAGTAAATAGATGAATCAATAAATCACGAAATTGTACATAAATTTTGGTAGTGAATATTCTTAATCGGAACAATTTATAATCCTTTGTGATGATAGCAGGTATTCATCTACCTCCAACCACCGCCTAACATCTTAACATAGTGCATAGGATGTTGAGTCGCCTAGACTAGGCCAAATCGCGATTTGATTAATAAAATTGTATCTGCACTAAGAAGGACCTGAGACACATGAAATTAATTACTACTCAATCGTAAATTTGATGATAGCTTCAATAAAGTCTTCAAATGGCTATCAGAGATAAACCAAAAAATCTTCAGCATGCTGATAAAATTATTCAGTACCGGACAGATTTCTGAAATCCGGCTAAACAACATCGAATAATTTGGAACTATATACTTTTGACGCCTATTTTGTCTATTTAGTTCTGCGATGAATACATGAAAAGAGTTGAGTTAATTTATACAAACGGTAAACATGATTAGAGCACAAAACTTAAAACTTGATATGATGAACACGACTGCCCTCTCAATCTAACATCATATGTTCAATATCTGTTTGATTTTAAGTTAGTTGAGGATGGAAATTCCAAAAAACGAGTTTCCCATCCGTTTAATACAACAAGGGAATTATTTTTATTGTGAAAAAGCGACTACTTATGAGTAGATTGATTCGTGTAGTACAAATAAAACGGATTGGTCAGTAGAGATTAAAATTCTAACTATGAACTAAAATCTAATTTCATAGCATAAAACTTACTTCCATGTTCTGTTTGTTTCATTAATTTGACTTTAAAATGTGGTGCAATTAGTTTTGATACACCATATGATTTTAATGCATTACCAATTGAAACAAGAAATCGACATACTGAAAAAGCTACTTTAAAATTATTCGATTGTAATGTTTCTGTGCATGGATAAGCGAAATATTCATCAAATTGATGCTATGGAAAAATGATAAGAACAAATCAATCAAATGAGTTATATGATGACAAAATATAATAAAAGCGATGAAACAACGAAATCCAATAGGAATTATTATGTACACTTGGAAATGATCAGTAGGGGAGACATATTTCCATTGTTAGTAAAAAAGTGTTGTTTTTTCAAAACACAGTAAATCGTTATGTAAATATTTTCAAAGGGGGGAATTCGTTATAAACTGAGATTGGTTTCAAAATCATTGGAAATCAAGGAGTATTGGATAATCATCTCATTCTGCTTTATAACTTTGCATATTGAAAATGAATAAATGTCAGTCAGTACACACACTGCATCAAACATATGACCATCAAGTCTAAGAGTCAAAATGATACTGTCAAGTTACTGGAGTTGAAATCTCATGATTTAAATTCAGTGGTGTCGTGATATCTAGTGACCAATGCTTATCCACGTCGTTGATGGGTGGTGACTTGTTGAGTAAAGCATTAGACTTTATACTAATAATTCGTAAGTTCGAACGCCGTTTGACTTACTGAGGTTTGGGGAGTATCAATAACCAGCGGATAAACCATGTAACTCAAAGCCGGGTAAATGAACCTGTAGATTTTAAATGATAATGTCTCATCCCGATTTGTTCGAAATTCACAGGTCACAGCCTCCCATTAAAACCTCAGAAAAATCATATCAAAACTCATTACCGTTAAAAATTTGTATTATCATCTCATGTAATTATCTAGAGGTTTTGTATAATTTGAAGATCACGTTACGTATAGAAAATCACTGAATTTAAAATTAATAGTCTAAATACATCGTGTCTGTCGTAAGATACGAATCTCATTTGTTCAATATCATCAGCGACCAACGGTGAACATTGTTAAAGATGCCTGTCACGTAAACGAGAAAAGCTATCCACTGTTAATCGGGTTTAATTAATTAACTCTTCACGTGATGTCAGTTGGCTGTTGTTAACATCGACAATTTCGATTTTAAATAACTGTTGTATCTGACATTAAACCATTTTTTCGTTCATTTAGTGAATAAAATGTTAGATATTCATATGATATTTTCAATAAAGATTTCATTTGCTATATGAAGTTATTCACAAATATCTGCTTTGAACATGTCGGCGTGGCACAGCCCAACATGATATATGAACAACAAGAATACGGTGAAAGTTAGGTTTCGAAATAAAATCTATAACATTCAGCGCCTCATCTCCATATGAAAGGTAAAATGATCGAATGTGTTGGGTGCAATGTACTGAACATTGGTAACATTCCCGGATAACCTCAATCGTGTGTCTATTTTAAATTGAGAATGACCTTTAAATTTGAAAAAATTCCAAAGCTTACAATTTGTAAGTTTTATATTTTAAAAGATAGAAGAGAAAATCAATTGATGGAAGCCAACAGTGATAAATTGACGTTCCAGACAAACAGGCACTTAAAGTTTGTCAAGGGAATAAGGTAGTTCCCCTTTCCCCGTAATTCAATAGAATTCGTTCGTATTTGGATTAATTGAGTATGCACAAAACTCATCTCTAAACATTACAAAATTGGTAAAATACACATTGTTTAAATTAATTAGACTCACTTTAATTACATCATCAAAACAACCATTAGCATAATCCAAGTCAAGAAATGATTTCATTTTTAAACATAGATCACCATTATTACAATAAGGTAATTGTTCTAACAAGTCAATTAATTTACAAATTAAATGTTTATCAAACCATTGTTTTGCTATCCATTTATCGATTTGACATATATGACTAGAGTAAAATGATTGTTCCAAATCACCAGTTTGATTTGATGATAACGTTGAAGGTATGGTTGACATTGGCATGTCTGACTTACATATATATTTCATCATTTCTGATAGTAATTCAAAACTATCTTGTCCAAGAATTATTGATGCATCAATGAAATTCAACGTGTTGATGTTAGTAATGATGGCGGCAGTAGTAGTGGGGGAAGATTTCACTAAGTCAGGTTCTGTGTGATTCATAGTGTGGAAAATAAAAAAACAAAACAAAAACATTTTTAGATCGACAAAACAAATAGGTAAATAATAACGGCAAACAACAGTAATATATCAGTAAAGGGTTGTAATGACTGTCGAATTTTATCTATATCAAGAATCGAGTTAAGTTAGACAGTCATTGAAAATATGGAAGAACTGGACAACTGTTTCGTCCCAATGTGCGACTCTTCAGCAATGGACATTCACGGTACTTTGACCGATAATCGAAAACCAGGACGTCCAGTATCTCACTCCAAAATTTAACCTCTGAATCACTGAATAGTTATCCAATGATGCGTAAGTTTAACTTCAGTCAGTCCACGAACTTGTCTTTGAGGAGTACTTTTTTCAGAAATGAGACGGCTAAACTCCACTGGTCACTAAAATTCCAGGAGTAACCTCTAGAAGCTGGTTGCTAATGAGGACATAATTAGCAGTATAGGGTTATGGAGATTGTCGAATTTTATCGACATCAAAAAGGGATTTAAGTTAGGCAACCATTACAAACTTAAAAGCACTGGGCGACCTTTTTTTTAGTATGGAACTTCTCACTAGTATGCATCCATGACCATGCGATCGCGTGTTCCATGGGTGTCTAATTTAGGTCGATTTGTAGCATCAATAACATAGTAGTATAACTGACATAGGAAAACGTTACAATATACCAGTAATTCTTGATATAATATAAAAAACCTACATTTTTATGGATAAAACAAATAAAAAGAAAGTCTTATATAGTCAAATCTTAATTCCACTGACGTGTCAATGACCCATAAGATATTTACAACTTGTAACTGCCTACTTTTGCGTTTAATATTTTATATATGGGTGGATGTTCATTTTTATTTATTAAGGAAACGCAAGTACATAATTCATTCGTGTAAAGGAGTTGTTGTTTGGTCAGCCACATTTTATAGTATTAAATATCGTCAATGGACTAGTAATTCAATCACTATTTCGACAATTCAGAAACGGCCGTCCAGTGCTCTTAGGTTTTCCATGGTGATCTAGCCTCAATTAACTCATGATTTTAACTATGAAAATTCAGAAAGTGTCCGCCGTCAGTCTTCAACTGATTGCGAAGTTGATCGATCTAACGCCATCACAATTAAAATACCATATACCAAGCTTGCTTGAGGACAGAAAAGTACATGTAAGTTCATATTATCGATCGTAGCTACGCTGATTACCACAGAATGTACAGCTGGTCCGGGTGGTTAGCAACAGTGATGCCGACATCGATGAAATCGCAAACTCGGCTGACCGGATTTCCGAGGAGACAAAACAAACGAGCCCCAAGTGGATGAGACGAAAATAGACAGGGTCAGAACATTATGGAAAACAGTAAATAATTCGCCGCAAAATTGACGTCAAACGACAAACTACAAGGGTAGTTATGATTACGTTCAACATTCTCAGCCGAGTTTATATGTTGGTATTATATGGCGAGAGAACGAGATGTAGACCACCCTATAAGTTTAAGGCCACACAAAATGAGAACCAGTCTGTCAGTCTTCCATGATGACTTCTGGACCGGTGCGACTTAATGGAACAGTCGTTTGTTTTGTGTCCAGGACCGAATGACAGGTGCGCAATTTCTAGCAGATACTGAGGCTGAAATAAGTGTCATGCCAGATGTATGCAAAAGGAATGGAAGAAGGTGTAGGCAAATCATTACTGAATACAACGATACTGTCTGTTAAATAAGTTAATTACAGGGTTTAGTAAATTTAACCATATACAAACACAAGTGAGAGTGACAGTGTTATAACAGATTTTTGAAACATTGGTGGTTAGTGTTTGAATCTGTAGCGGTTCTATTGTTGGTGTATAAATAAGTTTAAAAATCTCCATAGAATGATCAGAAACAAAGGGCATTTTGACTACCAGCATAAGTATCTCTTTTATTCGTTTACTTGTCATTCTATACTTATACATATTATGCGTGTATCTGTATACTTATTATCTTATACATGTTTCCTTGATCGCACTATCCGCTGTTTATTTTGAGTGACATTAACGCTTATAATGAGTAATATTTTGAATAGTGTTTTGCCTGCTCCGTTTTGCATCCTTTATTGTCTGTTTATATTAACGGCTGCATGAAAACTACGCAGCCAAAATCCCTCTTCTAGTTGACTTATTTTATTCCGTTATACGCTAACGCGATTAAGTTCATGACAATATACTACATTATTGAGTTTATAGGTATCATTACCAAGGTTTGACAAGATAATTTCGAGTCACGAAACGTCAGGAAATCTAATTTTTCTATTCATTGGAACATTACAAATATATTATTTTATTTATGGTATACAACATTATTCAACGACTTATAATTCATCATCTGTCCGTGATACTAAATACAGTCAATAGTTGGCACTAAATTGATGAGCACATACTTTTCAGGGCCAAAATTAGTATTTCACTAAGATACAACCTACCTGTCAAAGTTCGAGTAAATCATGTTCAATGTTATCTATGAATATAACAAATTACTTGATGAGCAGAGAAAAAGAAAGAATTCACTGAACTAATTAGTTAACATATATGAGTTCATTACTTTTACCTTTAAAGGTGAAATTCTTTCGCAAAAGACGTTCAAATTCTGAAGTTGAATTACGATAAGCATGAAGTAGATTTTGCATAGATAACCATGAACTTTCATCAGGATTTGATTTCTTTATTAACGATAATAATAACCAAGAGTGAAGAAATGGTGTTAAATAATATAAAGTATTTAAATAAAGCAATACCATATCAGGTGCGACCTCATCTTTAGTATTTTGACGTGCCTAAAAATAAAGAGAGAGATAGAGAAAATCGTTTATAACGGAACAAATATTGAAAGAGCTGGAAAGGGTTTTATCGAACTTACTTATTGAAAGTTTGCTGTAATGAACAACTAGATTACTGTGCGTATATATTCCCATTATCATAATATTTCGCCTAACTACTGTCATACGACTTACTATTCTTAATGTTTCCAGTCTATTAATCACAGTTTGGTCTATTCACAGTCACTTATCGCTCAATTATGTACGATTTTTATTTTTCACTTCACAGTGTAATGTCGTTCAGGGTGTCTGTATCTAAACCACGTCTATTCAAAATATGAATACGGTATAAGCTGGTTGCTGACTTTTGGACTTAAGGCAGGGGATAGAAAGGAGTTTACGGATAACAGACTTTATATGCATTGGTTCAAATTCGATAGTACTGATCGAGAATTTAACTGAATGGGCCGGAAACACTAGGCGACAGAAGAAATAATAGACAGGTGTGATGATGTTTGGTCACGTGAAACATACAACTTTAATCATTTGCCCAATGATCAAGAAGCAGAAACAAAGGCACAAACGAATGCTTATAAACACACAATACAGAGAGCCCCCAAATGCCCTGGTACGGTCGAGAATCAGCTCTCCCTCTCCAAATGCTCTCACATGACCACGTGCATACAGCCACTGTCAGGGAAGTTCTACTCACTGACTTCTCGTGACAGGGGTGTCGTTTACGAAATTGAGAGGACGAAAAGCGAATGTCTGACGCTTTAACTGGGTTGGTGGATATGGTGGATTCACCTAGGGGAGTTGGAAAATCCTGATTCCAAACCAATGGTGCATATGGGCTCCAGGATACCGAGGGAACCAATCGTTTGTCACCGACTACCATGGGACTGTGTCTCCTGAAGTAGTACCTAACTGGACTCTGGTCATGCTCTTGTTTGCGCTCATCTTACCTTACTTTTCAGTGGCCAACACTACTCTATATAGCCGAAGTCATCTGCATCAACTCCGAGAAACCGAACTTATGTATCCAGAAAAGATATATCAAGCCTCTATGTCTACATTGACCTACAACTGGGCCACCGGATACCTCAAGCGGATATTACAAACCTCTTAGCCCCTTCCCTATTTTTTTGGTTACATCTTTCTTAGTCTTCCCACTTAACTTTCCAAATTCACATATATCTTTTCTATTGTAATTATCTTGATAACACATCTCTCACTACATATTATATTCATACAGAGATATTATTATTATTACCTCAATTAACAAGATGAAATTCTCCTACAACGCATTTTATGTGTATGAAATTTGCCATTTTTATTTTTTCATATTGCTATTAAACTGATTGTGACTAGGTTATGGTCGATAAAACTTTTTTGTCGTAAGTTCATTCCTGAATATAAACAATGAAATAATACAAATCCTTACGAATAAACGAACAACTTTGTAGTTATACACAACCATCAGCTCGATGGATCACAAGTTGACGTTTGGAGAGATAGGTTTACGTCTTGGTGCCAATCATCATCACAAAAATCTAGAATAATTCAACAGACTAGATACCCATCCTGTATACCCCAAATTCATTAACTGAGATGTTTAGATCACGTATTACGTATGCCTGAACACCGACTACGACGACACGCAATGCTGACTAGTGTTGGAGATGGTTGGGAGAAAGTTAGTGGCGGCCAAACCAAAACGTGGAATCAGTTCACTAAGTCACTAACTTCTAGTCTAATGAGGTGTAGCAACTTGGATCGATGTATATATGTGCCTGGTCCTACGTTGTAGATGATTGATTAATATCCCAACACTGCTTAAGTCATAATCTGAATTTTTGGTATGAATTTTTTTTAAGAAACAGAGAGATAATATAAACTTACCAAAATATAATTATCGAAATGAATTAACCATGGATCAAGTAGAATTTGTTGAATCGAGTCTAATTCTAAACACCATTGAGCTACAGATGATAAGAAATAATTCATAGTAGCATTATATATGGGATTAGATAACGATTGCACTGCTGTCATTGTTGTTCCCTCTGATGATGAATTTTTATTTGATAAATAAAATAGTTTCAACTGTTGCGCATCACTGAATATATTTGCAGTTTGTATAAGAAATGAATTAAGTCGACGTATAATTTGTGGCAACTTATGAGAATCCGACATTGAACTAATCAAACATGACAGAGAACGTATACTAGCTGCCAGTACTGTTGGATTACGTTCTTCATCCAGGTTGGATTCCATGATACATAACATTATGGAAGATTGTAAATGCGACTACAGTAATTAATAATAGGAAGAAAGTGAAGAAATAGGAAAGGATTGGAAAAATAAGTGGAAATGGATTGATAATCGAAAACGTTAATTTTTGCTCAATGATTGATTAGGTAGAAATTTTTACGTAGGCTGAGAACTTTATAGATATGGTGGGATGCCGGAACTGTTAATTTATACTTTAGATTGCCTAAGTTTAAAATGAACCCAACTAGGAAGACTATTTTTTCATGAATGATCTCCATCTTTAGCTCAGTTGGATATGTAACTGAAATGATCTCATTGACTAAAGCGATCTTATAAGGTGCTTATCTATGGAGCGCCTCAAGAGGTCAGATTGTTGGTATAAAATTATAATGGGCCTAAACTTATTGTGAATATCATGATGTTTTATACCAGAGTCGTTTATACCATCATCTGTTTAGACGCATTACTTTGCTGACGTTTCTGAGTTGGTGCACAGTATCGTAGCGTATTTTCGTTACGAAGGTTGTCTGAGGAAAAGTATTGTTCATTTTTATCAGCTAAGGTCAAGATGGCTAGACTGAAGCCAGTAACTATATCTAGAATGAAATTGAAAACCTTTATGTTATCTTTTATTATCGGAAGACATACAGGATAATAGCTAAATACTTGCATTTCGTTTGTTACCTATTGGATGGAGTCTCTAATTGTATTTCAGCGTATGAGAAATAAAACTAGAATAGAATAGACGATGACAGTGGCACTGTTACTACCTCTACTAATCTGGAATTCGCCCTTAATACTTCGTCTTACTGTGCTAATGAGTTATGGCAACTTCGATGTACATACGTACCAGGTTCTACGCTGAGTTTGACTGTGAGTAAAAACATTAATCTAGTTATTTGATATAGTAAGACTAGTTCTAGAATGATCCTAGCTTAGTTGAAAAGACAACAGATGAGGGAATATCAAAAGTCAAAAGTTAGAAAAGTGAAGAATAGGGAGAAAAAACTGTTGCATTTTCAGAGGGAGTTAGTGTCGGTAAAGCTAAAAGAAAATATGAGTGATGAATCAAATGCTGAGGAACAGCAGGAATATGTTTGCCGTCTTGTTGGCCATCCTCAAATTGATGTTGACCGTAACCTTAGAGGCAACTTTACTCCTAAGGAACTTTGTAAGTTGGATAAAACCGAAAGATAGAAGATAAGGGTAACATTATCATTTACCAGTATGGAACTTGAACACCCGAAGGTAGGATTTTGTATTTTTCAGGGATAACCAGCAAAGCACTGAAAATCCATTAGATAATTTGTATATTACTTTTTTAAAGGTTGAAGATGATGGACAGCGGTTTTTATACTTGTTATATTACTGTAAAGCAAAAACCAGAGAGGCTTTAGATGGATATTTCATGCTCCCATTATCATCTAATTATCGTGAAGCTCACGATATACTGAGACACTTGTTTGGAAGGCCACACAAAGTCAGTTAAGCAATGTTGCAAAGTAGGAATGAAGGTTCTACTGCAGACCATAACGATTTGTGTGGCGCATATGTATTCAGTGTCTTGTGCCAACGTTTATGTTTGATTAAATAAATAAAATTCCAATCGGTAAGATTTTTGTGAATACATGATTTCATTTTGAATGCCTTACATACAATCGGTAACTAACCATTTTTGAAGTGAATCATTCAAAACTAGACGGAATTTCGCATAATTTTTAGTTTAAGTAATGTGGTGTACAACTCGATCACATAGTTGAAATAGCCGTTGAAATAAATCTCGCGATCAAATGCAATGATGATGAACATTCAACTAGCTGCAATCGTCAAACTTTACACATTAATTCAAACAGTTAATTCATCAATGATTTCGGTGAACTTTCAAGAATGCTCACATCAAAGAGATGTCAGGCAAACATATTCTTAGTGTTATTTAAAGTAAAACAAGTACTGGGATAATGCTTTCTTACCAGGTCAAAGTGTGTAACACATTTAAAATCTTACCGTATTAACTTCTAGCTCCATTTTCATATTATTTTAATCTCACACTTGTGTTATTGCTTATTTTTGTTTATTGTTTTCGTTATTAAATGTAATTGCATACAGTGTGCTTCATGAGTTGCTTACTTTATCTCTTGTTCTTTTTTTCAGATTTCTTCATACTGTTAAGTCGGCTTCCCGCGAACTCCAACAGAGCCCCCAGAGGCTCAAAAAGAGTCCCAACCAATCAGAGTACGACAGAACATTCTGGAGTTCCAACGTGGCACGCTACCATTGGTCAGTAGCAATATATGTCGTTTATTGGATTGGCTGAATTAGGATGTTGATTTAACTTAAGCAAACATCGATAAATACTTACGATTTTCTGTACAAAACTGATCCTTGCAGTAAAGGTTTTCTCTGCTACTCGTGTCTTCTCTCTGGTCTTCAAGTTGCTGAGTAGTGCTAGCCTGGGGTTATCCGTATAGCTTAGGATCTGGATAAGCGTTCAACCTACATGACATATCATTGGCGACGGGAAAATGACAATGAATATTTCTCTAGAGCAATTAGAAGCCTATATGGTGCGTCAAGAAAAGAGGTTTGAAGAGTCCAAAATTAGAATCATGGAAACCCTGATGCAGAAATTATTCCTGTCCGAGAGAAACCCTGCTTCCAGTGAATCACAAGTACCACATACTGATTCAGTCATTAACGCCATATATGAATTTAATTTTGATGGTGTAGCAGGTATAACTTTTGAGTCGTGGTTTAAGAAGTATGAAGATTTGTTTTATATTGATCTTTGCAACCTGAATGATGCTTCGAAAGTCAGAATACTTCTCAGAAAACTGGGGACTGTGGAACATGAACGCTACAGCAACTTCATTCTCCCGAAGAACCCACGAGATTTTAGTTTTGATGAAACAGTCAAAACCCTGTCCCAAATTTTCGGAGAACAATCATCTTTATTTAATATCCGTTATCAGTGTTTAAAGTTAACGAAAGAATCTGGAGATGATTGGGTGAAACATGCAGGAACTGTGAACCGTGAATGCGAGAGGTTCAAATTATCGTCCATGTCTGAGGACCAGTTTAAATGTTTAGTATTTATCTGCAGCCTGCGTTCTCCTGATGATGCTGATATCCGGACCAGAATCCTAAGTAAACTTGAACACTGCCCTAACATGACCCTACAGGAAGTAACTACCGAGTGCCAAAGGTTAGTGAACTTGAAGCATGATACTTCAATGGTAGAAAACGGTAACTGTCTCCATAATGTCAATGCAGTCAAGAGAAAATCCTTGCAAGGTTCCAGCACACCTAATTATCGTAATAACGGCGACAAACCATCATCTCCATGCTGGGCATGTGGAGGCTGGCACTATAAGAGGTTTTGCCCGTATAAAGAACATTGCTGCAGTAAATGTCATCGAAAGGGCCATATAGAAACCAGCTGCAGGAAAAGAAACTATAAACGACATTTTGCAAAATCTTACTTCAAGAAATACAGGTCTGGGGCATTAACGAAAAGAATATTGGTATCACATAACAAAGCTCGAAGGTGCCGCCAGAGAAAGTACGTAACCTTGAATATTAATAAACATCGCATTCGACTTCAGCTTGATACTGCTTCTGATATTACTTTGATAAGTCCAGAAACTTGGAAGAAGATTGGGCGACCCTCGGTGCATCGAACAACACAAATAGCACACAGTGCATCAGGTGGGAAGTTAAACATTGTTGGAGAGATACCTTGTATTGTGTCTAAAAATGCTGTAACAACAAATGCAACAGTGTATCTTACAAAGAAGCCAGCACTCGACTTAATGGGGTTGGATCTTATAGAAACACTTGACCTAGCAGACCACTCTATTAACAGTATCTGTAAACGAATCACAACTTACAACACCTCAGAGTGGAGTCAGAGAAATGCCATGCTACAAAAACACCGAGACGTGTTTCAAGAAGGATTAGGCGAGTGCACGAAGGCTAAAGCAGTGCTAACTCTAAAGCCTGCAGCTACTCCCATTTTTCGACCTAAAAGACCTGTGCCCTATGCTGCTCTTCCAATAGTCGAACAGGAATTACAGCGACTTCAGCAAATGGGTGTTATCGAGCCTGTGAACTTCTCGAACTGGGCTGCACCAATAGTGGTGGTCAAGAAGTCGAATGGAAGTGTCCGTCTATGTGCAGACTACTCCACAGGATTAAATGAAGCTCTAGAGTCACATCAGTATCCGTTGACCTTACCAGAGGATCTTTTCGCTAAGCTGAACGGTGGCAGATATTTTGCGAAATTGGAATTATCAGACGCATATTTTCAAATCCCGGTATCTGATGAAAGCAAAGATCTTTTAACGATCAACACACACAAAGGTCTGTTCCGGTATAACGACTACCTTTTGGGGTGAAGACAGCGCCTTCTATTTTTCAGCAAATTATGGATACCATGTTACAAGGTATTCCAGGGGCAGCAGCTTACTTAGACGACATCATAATTATGGCAGTAGATAAAATGGACCTGCAGAAGAAACTAGACCAGGTACTAGAACGCGTAGCCGATTATGGTTTTCGACTCCGAGCGGAAAAATGTGACTTCTATATGCAGCAAGTACGGTACCTGGGGTTCATAATAGATAAAGACGGAAGACGACCAGATCCAGAGAACATTGAAGCGGTGAAAACAATGCCTAGACCCAGGGACATTACCACCCTACAATCATTCTCGGGGTTGGTCAGCCATTATGGTACCTTCCTCCCTGATCTCCATCATCTACGTTCTCCACTAAACAACCTATTACAAAAGAATACGAGATGGAATTGGTCTTGTTGGGGATGTCAAATCCCCAGAACTTACTTGGTAAATGGCTTAGTTTTGTAATTTTATTTTGAAAATTTGAATTTAGCTGTTTCCGCGCCAAACGCGCTCTTTTTACCTTCACGTCATATCTCCCACTTGTAAACTGTCTTAAACGCTATTGGTCCATTGTTTCTTTGTGTGTGCTATTTACCAATGATGCTCAAGGACAAATTGTTGTTGTATAAATGCGCTTGACTTTTTCCCTTATTCGATTGCTTGTACTCGGCTGCTTACGGAATACATATATATTCCCCTACTTGCCTTGGACTTCTTCATCTAGTTAGCGGGGCCTGGGACAACCGATTAGAATAGCTTATCGTGTCATTGTGTCATTGGCTTATCGTTCGTTACCGCGGAATCGATTTAGTTTCAAGCATAACAGGTCTGCAGACTGCCAAGCGTCTTTCGAGAAAATCAAGCAACTCCTGACTTCCAATCTTTTATTGACACACTATGATCCTTCTCTACCGATAGTCGTCGCTTCAGATGCTTCTAACTATGGTGTGGGTGCAGTTATCTCTCACAATTTTCCTGATGGGTCTGAAAAAGCTATCTCACACGCTGCCAGATCTTTGACAACGACCGAAAGAAACTATAGTCAGATTGAAAAAGAGGCCCTATCAATTATCTTTGCAGTGAAGAAGTTCCATAAGATGATATATGGCCGACATTTTACTCTAATAACAGACCATAAACCAGTACTTGCAGTTTTTGGGTCAAAGAAAGGTATTCCAGTTCATACAGCTAACCGACTCCAACTATGGGCAACCACACTTCTTGGTTACGACTTCAAGATAAAGTATCAGTCTACTACCGCCTTCGGACAAGCTGAAACGTTGTCAAGATTAATAGGCTCCAAATCAAAAACCCCAGAGGAGACTCTTGTAGCAAGTATAAAAGCCGAGGAAGAAGTTCATCGGGTATTGGATGACGCAATCAATGGACTCCCAATAACCTCTGAAACTATCAAAAAGATCACTGAATGCGATAAGATACTGAGCACAGTCAAATGCTATCTCTCGTCCAAATGGCCAAACAATCGCCTTGACGGAGAACTTTTGCAATATTTTCGTCGACGGGACTCACTAATGGTTGTTGACTCGTGTATTATGTTCGGTGACCGAATTGTTATTCCGAAGTTATTACGTCACAAGGTTCTCAAGCAGTTTCACAATGGCCATCCTGGAATAAATAAAATGAAATCGTTGGCTCGTAGTTATGCTTATTGGCCGTCAATGGACAAAAATATCGAGAATAAATGCCGTAACTGTCCATCGTGCATTCAAGCCGCTAAAAATCCTGTGAAATGCGAACCTCAGTATTGGCCTACGCCTGCAGGACCCTGGGAAAGAATTCATGCAGATTTTGCTGGTCCAATCCAAGGAAAAATGTTTCTAATTATCGTAGATGCATTTACTAAATGGCCGGAAGTACATACCATGCCAAATTGTACAACCTCAGAAACAATCTACAAGCTGTCTATCCTGTTTAGCTGTTTTGGAGTACCAGAGACCTTAGTAACAGACAACGGCTCGCAATTCGCCGCAGAGTCGTTTAAGCATTTCTGTAAAGCAAACGGAATAACTCATCTTCGTTCTCCACCCTATCATCCACAATCGAACGGACAAGCAGAACGCTTCGTGGACACTTTTAAACGAGCATTACTGAAGGGGGGAGGCGAAGGGCCGACTGGGCAGGTGATCACGAAATTTTTAACATCCTACAGATCCACTCCGAATCCGAATGTTCCGGACGGCAAGTCTCCTGCGGAAGTCATGTTCGGAAGACGTGTTCGAACCGTCTTCAATGCCATGTTGCCATCCCAATTAGTTGATGAGCGCAGTCACAATCCAAGTATTCGGGACTTCAGTGTCGGCGACAAAGTTTACATTAAATCCTACATCGGGAAGAACCGATGGGAGCCAGGAGAAGTCGTACAAAAATTGGGAAGAATTCTGTACAGAGTTCGAGGAACTTTTGGGATGTGCATACGACACACAAATCAAATCCTTAAAGACAAAAGAATGATGCAGAATCGAAGTAACCCGCCGAATTTTCCGTTAGATTTAATCTTAGACGCACAAACGCCAAAGAACACTGGAAGGAAGCCGTGGACAGGGAAGACGACGAGAATAATGGGACGACGTCGAAACCCAGTTATCAAACTACAAGTTGACCCTAGGAAGAAGTCTTATTCGGGGGAGGTGTTAAGTCGGCTTCCCGCGAACTCCAACAGAGCCCCCAGAGGCTCAAAAAGAGTCCCAACCAATCAGAGTACGACAGAACATTCTGGAGTTCCAACGTGGCACGCTACCATTGGTCAGTAGCAATATATGTCGTTTATTGGATTGGCTGAATTAGGATGTTGATTTAACTTAAGCAAACATCGATAAATACTTACGATTTTCTGTACAAAACTGATCCTTGCAGTAAAGGTTTTCTCTGCTACTCGTGTCTTCTCTCTGGTCTTCAAGTTGCTGAGTAGTGCTAGCCTGGGGTTATCCGTATAGCTTAGGATCTGGATAAGCGTTCAACCTACATGACATATCACATACCCTCTCACCTTGGGACACAACGTATCTACTTTAAGGCTAGACGAGAACAGCTACATATTTGCAGTTTATTTGAAGGGTTTACTCCTTGGATAATGTCAGCTACGTGGTTGAGTTATACAGAACTTAAAAATACAAGCCAATAATAGCCCAATAATCATAATATAAGACAATAATATGATCTTTCACTAACCGGAAGGTGAGGAGCGATTACACCGCAGGCCGATACTAAAAGAAGCCTTCTGGATAGGTCAGAAATTGAACATTTATTTATTTGTAACCATAATCCCGGTAACAGTTCACCTTCCAATCGAGCAGGACCTATACAATAAAGATATATTAAAACAGAGTGATTTTTAAAAAAATAGGATATGAAACACTTCATATAAAATAATTTTGAAACCTTTTTATTTAAGATGTAGATTTACTATTAAACAAGTGAATAATATGCTCGAATTAGTGATAATAATATGCTAGCTTAATGCTGTGAATTCTAATTGCTTCTTTGACATCTAAGATCAAAAGTGAATAAACGATGTCATCAAAATGACAGTATGAACACGTAGACAACATGACCATGCTAGATAGCAAAAAGTGTTTCTAATTCCAATACTTATAAAGATAATTGATTAATGAAATTATTAATGAGTTAATAATAACTCTAGATTTCTGTCTATCAGTACAGATTTGGACTACCGCTTATTGAAATTCATAATCGGAAATGAATTCTGATAAATGCAAGTTGACCTAAAAAGCAAACTTTTAAAATGCAGAACGTTTTCGGATAGTGAAATGGTTTCTCTATCAATGATGTATAGAATTCAGTAAGTGTTAAGAGTCTTACACGTTTATATAAGTTTTTGTTATAACTTTCATTTTCTTGAGTAATATTAAATTTTATACATATGAGATACTACTGCCTGAACGTCTAAAGTGAATCAGATAATTTTCCTAGGGGGACCAATCTTTGAGTTTTTGACCCAGGGATCTAATCCATAAGACTATGAAGCAATTGACGTCAAGAAATGAAGTTCAATAATAACCAGTGAGAGAAATAGGTTCGTACATCATTCGTTTACTAGAATCCCAGAGCCTATTATGTGTACCAATGGTTTGATATAAGAGCTTTTTAACTTAATCAAACGGACTCTGTATTTGTAAACCCGGTTTAGGCTTTGGATGCCCGCCCATCAACCTAACTTTCATAAAAACACACTCATTAAGTGAAAGGTATAACGATTTCTCTACCATACGGTAAAAAGACACGTGGCCATTTGACAGAGTTTCAAGTGAGAGGGAAGACTCTTACTCGTACATGAGCATTAGGAAGTATCTTTTACTAAATACTATTCTTCTGTATTCATTCATAGACCTTACGACTTTCTCCTTAACTTTTTCTTCACTAGGTGATCACTTAATTTGTGTGGAGCATTTTTTGCACAGAAAATTACCTTGAAATATGTCGAAATTATATTTAACTGAGACATATTTACATTTGATTTTTTCCTAACAAATGTGTTTCAGGGAATTTAACGTGTTCTCAACATTCATACAACATACTAACTAATCCGATAGAATTACTAACTGGCTGAAAGTTATCAAGGATCATAGTGTCCTGTTTTATCTACAATCCTGTGCTGTCTATGTGTACATTAACTACTATTGAGGTCAACTGCTTGCTTTGAATCCAATTTACACCTTAATAACCCGAACGCGACAAACTTAAGTAATAAACGAAGTTATAAATTTTCTCACTGTTTCAAACATCTCGTAATAACATTAGGTGAACGGAGGCAATCGATAAGGAACACTGGACTTCAAATCTGTGCTAGTTGGTACTTTTAGTAGCAATCTTGAGGGAAGTAATGAGCGCCTGTGAATTCAGACATGGATCGCTCAGCTTTACAATCTAAGAAGTTACCACTGACCAGTTCGAAGAGCGACTGACCTCTTAAAGGACTGAAATATTTATACTGATCGATCAGTGGGTTATGGCTAGTGTAATATTCATATAATGATTAGTGTTGACCGAATCATATCAGTCAAGTTGCAAGTGGCTACTAGTTTAAGTGACTTAACACCGAATCCCCTATGTTTTTATGTTAGGTAATTTGCAAGCAGTCGATAAGAAACGAGTTAATTAGACTACTGATCACGCTGTAACTTGATCGACAGAGTCCGCTCAGGACTTCATACTAGACATACATGACACTGGTTACCAACCAATGATCAATCAATGTAAACATTGTAATAACTACTGTCAATAAGTGAACAAAAAACAAAATCTAGATGACTTTAATCTCATGATCTCAATGAAAAACAATAATCCCCACAACTCCTTAATGATAATTATCATGTGTTCACTAGTGACTAGCTTTGAGACGAAATTACCAGAGTCCTAGTGAAAAGCTGTGATCAGTGGAGTAAAATCGTGTCTGATATGAAGCAGTTACTAATCGAAGACAATCGGAAATGGTCACATAATATCGTGGATTGATTGCAGTCAGATACCAAGACTGTTGGATGACAGCCCAGTGGTTCATGGGTTAGGCGTTCGAGCACGAGACCGAAAGCACTAGGCTCAATTCCCGATTGCGGGGTTGAGGATGTGCGTTGCTGAGGAGTTCCATGCTAGGAAGAAGCGGTCGTCTAGTGCTCTCATGTTTTCAATGGTGGTCTTACATTGATCGGTTTATGATTTCCATGATTTTTATTTCAATATAATCTAACATTTCCCTTGTCCAGTGAGAAATCTAGAAACAAAACACTCATTTTTCTAACAGGCTGTCATATAAAATATAATTAGACAATTTTTCACTTACCTAAATATGAAGCTAATAATCGTAAAGCATTTAATATATGCTTAGAGAATTCATCATGATTTACACGACTAATTGAATCACAACCAGTATTCATTTTAATTAAACTAGGCGAATTCATAAAATCCACATGAATTTTATGCTCAATTGACAATAATGATGGTTGAGGTGATGAGGTAGGGGACGAGGTAGTTGAAAGGAAATCAAATAATAAGCAAAGAAATTGATCACGTACCGATGGATTGGAATGTAAACAAATAATTTGGACTAATAAGGGGAGAAAAATCTGAAAAATATCATAAGCAGTATACAAAACAGGACAGGATGAGAAGTGTTCCATTTCCTTGTAGAATAAAAAAGGTGAGGATAACACGTACATTTTGAGTAGAAACATTATTCTCATACAAATGATTAGGCCTTTAAAGTACGAAACTAATATAGCAAGAATTACTTACAAAGTACCATTACTAGTTGCGGCGTGCAAAAACAACGTCGGGTTTCCGAATCGTATTCATCTGCATTACTGATTATGGAACTAATTGTATATACCTATGGTGTTGTATTGACTAATTTACACCTTGGAAGATTCATATACACTCTAGAACTAAAAACAATGTGGAATACACACATTTTCTGATAAGTCATTAGTCCCCAATTCGGTTGAACAACTGTAATTGATTGAGTGAACTTTTGTATGGTTGATTTCAGAACCAGAAGTTTTACAAGTACTATTATTTTTATTAAAAAGGAACGAATCGAGCGAAATTTCTTTTCAATTAGTTTTTCATCATGGCTCTACACTAATATATATATATATATATATATATATATATATATATATATATATATATATGATTTACAATAATTAAATAACAGAGGGGGTTTTGTGGAGAATTTAGAATTTTTCACAGTTGAAATCATGAGTCAATTGAAGCTAGACCACCACCGTTTCGTCCTGAGGAGTCCCATAATAAGACGAAACGGCCGTCCAGTGCTTCGAGGTTTTCGATGGTGGTCTAACTTCAATTGACTCATGATTTCAAATGTGAAAAATACTAAATTCTCCACAAAACCCCCTCTGATCTATAATCATATGCTCACTAGTGACTGACTTCAAGAGATATTTCCTTGAGTTCTAGTGGGAAGCAGTGGCCAGTAGAGTTCTACCAGGTCTGTTGTACAGATATCATCTCACTGAAGACAATTGGTGAACGGTCGCTCAAAATCGTGGATTGGTTGAAGTTAGACATTAACACCGTTGGATGCCAGCTCAGTGGTCTATCGGTTAAGGGCTTCGGCTCGAGACTGGTAGGTCCTGGGTTCGAATCTCGCTCGCGAGAGCGGGATCGTGGATACGCACTGCTGAGGAGTCCCATAATAGGACGAAACGGCCGTCCAGTGCTTCCAGGTTTTCGATGGTGATCTAGTTTCAATTGACTCATGATTTCAACTGTGAAAAATTAAATAACACTCATGGAGTAGATACGTTACGTAATGATTATGTAATGACATCGATTATAAACTAACATTAATTGGAAGAGAAGGATTAATTCTAGACGTTAATTTTCATCCCTTGTATGTGTTCCGACAAATGAAACGGTTAATTGCTTCACATAAAGTTGACGATGCGTTCTTGAATGAAATATGAATGCAAATGTTACCAACGGTAGTTACACAGATTTTGAGCGCATCCAGTCAGCCTTTTAATTTAGAAAGTCCAATAAGTTTAGCATAGTATCTATCACGTAACATATCCCAAATATAATCAGATCCTTAAGTGTTAGGGAGTATAATAGCACTCCAATAAGTCTCACTTTGTCACCAGTTGCACTCATTGCAAACTGACTTGTGAATTGCAGTATCCATCTTTCTATTCTAGTCTACGTTTTTCCAGAGAGAATGAGAGGAGTGTAGAAAAACTTAATATTCGTTGCTTTACCGTTGATGACGAAAATAAGTAGGATAAGCTGAGGTATTTTATTTTTAGGACCAACCTTGTCCAACCCTATCCTTCAATTGTGAAAAGACAACATCGTTGCAGGTACTAGTCGTCTAATGGAGATACCATTAATATGTACAGGCAAACTTTTTCAGGTAGCATTCAGATAGAGGATGATTATCAATTTTAGTCATGTAGTCAAAGTTTAGCTGTCATTTAACTCTGGAACTAAATGAATAGATGAGATAATTCAATAGGTTACCTTTAAAGTATCACAATTAACAATGAAGTCTAAACCTTCTTTATATTGTTTTGAGACTTGATGAAATAATTTCGTGACGCATCTACGACCCCACAGATGATTAAAACTACGACCATTAGATCTCACAAATAAAGTTTAATTGTTAGACCCGTAAGTTAGTATTCAATAGTACATATTTTTCTACACATTAATTAATGGACTAACTACTTCGATTCTGCACAACAATAAGAATGAATGTGAAGTTCATCCGAGATATCGATAATCGAACAAAGTGGTCAGATACTCTCAGATCATAAAAGCTAGGTTTTTCAAAGACAGAACAGAAATGCTTGTACCAATATGTGGTAAACGTAATCATTCACGGCTGAACCAAGATCGTGATGGCATTAAAAGTAGCTGGCTTACATCCATTACACTCATCATTGTGCAATGATATGAAGCAATTAGAGATATTTATTCAAAGTTAATGTTGGAACTTAGGATTTATTCCATTTTACTTTTTAACTAAGTGAAATTGAAGCCTATTGATCAGCTCTACTGTTATACTTATCATCTTTTGTCTAATAAATGTTAAATAATAGGAAGAAGTTGGAGTAAAGATAAACAAATCAGATAGTTCTACTCCAGATTTGGACTCATTATGACATAATATCAACTAATAAGTCTTTGAAAACCAATGAGTACATAGAATAACTGTTTCATACACGTTTTGTAAGTTCATAACAATTTGCATCCAATCTCCAACCATCCTACACATGATTAAACTTGAGAATTTCATAATAAGGATGATATTGCTTAGAAATTCACATCATATTTGGATTAGTCAGTTAACAATTCGTAAAAAAAAGGAACGCAAACAATGATAAGCAAAGATGGATAGTGGCTAGCAGTGGAATCCAGGACGAGCGTTTCGTCCTATTTGGGACTCGTCAGCTGGATGTACCTGCATCTCAGAGTTGATGTTTACTCTGGGACTTGAACCCAGTACTGTTCGCTCCAAACGCCATCGCGTTATCCACTCGGCCACTAAGTCCTGATAGCCACTTGCACAAACAATATTACTACTATGAAATAGAACAATATAAATAACTATTTTTCTATTATGAACACAATATACTTACTAATTTGCCTTTATCAACTAAGTATGATAAAATCTTTTCAACATATTGAGCTAAAAATGTGACAAATTCATCTAATGAATCGGTTAAGTGAAAATTATGATTAACTTCATTTAACATTAGGTCATCATCCGGTAATAAATGGGCAATATATCGAGAAAACTCTTTAGATAGTTTACTTTGAAAAACAAAAGAAAACAGAAGAAGGAAACGAGAAACATTAAGCGTACAATAAAATGAATAGTATAACAAGAATTAACTGATGGACTAGTGCAACTATGGTAGATATTGTTTTGAACAATAATACATAAATCATTATCAAACAGAATGACAATAAACTGACACTTATTGACTCTTGTTATAGCATGAGACACTGATCGATATCACGTGTCAGTCATCAATCAAAGTTCTAATTGTAACTTTTTTCCACATCGCGTCTACTATGTCTTCTATGAACTAGTATCCTAGACTTAACCAATTACACGTTCGACTTGTATCGTTAAAAGATTGAACAAACTTGACATTTTTTTATTACTCAGTGACTAATCGATTGTAACTATTTCAGTCTTACAGGATGGTCACGAATAGAATATCTCAGTAATAACACGTCTCAGACGGTAGAGCTGAGTGACGTTGTTTCGAACTCCACAAGGAACATAAGTTCCCTCAAGATCGCAAGTATACCTTAGCAACGACTGCTAAATAGCTCGAAACCTAAGTTCACAGTTTCCTGCCAAATTCCTTAAACTAGATAAGGTGAGGAATGTAGTTCGTGAAGATTACTTTTATATCAGCTGAACAAACATTGAAAAAAGTATTACTTAGGTGTTTTTTTGCACATTGGGACAGGGCGCCATCACGATCTCAACTTTGGGAATAGTTGAAACCAGGTCATTTAAGTTGTTTGGAGAGCAGGACATAATATACCACTGTGTCGGTTTAGCGTGGTGCACATTTTCGAACTTCAATTAATTTGCCACATGATTTAGTCAACACATACCAATATTTGTGAGTGACTGCTTTATTTACGATTTGATAAACTTTCTACACACCATAATTTCTCACTACGACATGGACAGAGCCATCTTTAAATTATCCGCTTATAGATGAAAATATAGATTAAACCAGTTCGAGATCTATATTGTATATAATACCATCGCATTTATATATTTTTTTCCTTAATTTTTCCATCTTTGGAAAAGTAAAATTTACGTGAACAAAGAACAACGCTAAGTAACAGTGATGTCTATACTACAAAACTTAGTATTCACAGAAGTTTTGGAGAATCATGTACTAAGTTAAATAATTAGTCAAGTGGTGGTAAATAAAATATATGAAATCATGTGGAATTTCGAATGAAATTCCATACATAATTCATTCGATCATCGTTGTCTCCGAAGGATTGCTGACATTCAGTGGCAACACCATGTTAGCAATGCAGAGGTTCCGCATCGTATGTTCGGGCGCAGAGACGATAATTCAATTGGTGTCACCATCTTGAAACACCGACTTCGGTGGCTTGGACATGTTTTACGAATGTCGTCCCAGAGAATTCCACATCGTGCATTATTTGCCGACTCTGGGACTGGTTGTAAAAAGCGGAGAGAAGGTCAGTGTATGACATGGTGTCGTGGCATGAAAGAAAGCTTCTGTTGGTCCTTCACGACTCCCTGGCTGGGGTCCGAGAGATGGTGCAACACAGTGGCTAAAGACGGATATGGCTCAGAATAGAAGCCAGTGGCGTGCCTGCTGTAACCTTTTACTTTCTTCATAAAGAGTGGCTATAACTTTCCTAACTGAGAGAGCTCTTCTGGTTATACATTTCAGTTCCCCCATCATTACTCTTCTCCTTTTCTTTTTTTCCTTCTTTTATATATACACATCTTCTTCCTTCTTCCATTCTCATTATTTTGTGTGGCGCATATGTATCCGGTGCCCTTTGTACCAATACATATGTGATTAAATAAATAAATAAAGTCGTGTTTTTGCTCACTACAATAGTAGTAGTAGTAGTAGAAAAGATTAGACATAAATGAAATATGATTTGAAAGAAAAGAGTGAATTCGTGTCTCTAACTTGTGTAATTGCATGTTCGAACAGCACTATTGACTCCGAGCTGCAGTACCCTCTCCATACTACGCTTTGAGTTCAAAGGTCAGCAACCAGCTTCCACCATACTTATGCTTCAAACAAACGTGGTTTGCATACAAACATACTGAACCGCATCACACCATAAAATGGGAAATAACGATTGTACATAAATGAGCCAAAAGTGACTGAATAGATCAAATTGTAATTAACGGACTAAGAACAAATCAGGAATAGAAGTTAAACCAAAGCTTATGATAAGTGGAATAAGTGTACATAGTAGTCTAGTTATTCGGTTTTTATTCAATAAAACTATAATAATAATTCGAAAAACTAGTTTCAACTTTTACAATATTTCTTCCGCTATAATAGAACACAAACCAGGCAATCTGCATCTACCTTCATAGTTCAGTTGAAAACCAAATGATTTTGTGTACTAACGCCATATTTTTTAGCCGTCCCTAGTTTTATTCCAGCTTACTCCTGCACCAGCGTGTCGATGCAGCTTGTGGTTAAGCATACGTATTACGTACCCCAACTTCACCGCAGTCAATGAAGATTCGCTACTGAATCAAATGTGTCTATTTAAGCAAAACGAACTAAACTAAATGTCGCATGATTCAACAAAGTTCAGAAATATGACCAATCATTAAGATGTAAACAGGAAGAAACTTAAATAGTCCACCATGCACATATACACACAAAGTTCGCTAATTAAACAACTAAACTATCTCAGTCAGTCATAAGCAAAGTAGAGCCTGACATAGGTGTGTTATATCACGTTTTCATGCCACATTAGCTAAATAAGATTAAATTATTTTTTTTAAAAATCCCATAGAAAAACAAACGACTTACCGACGAGATTTGTTAGTTCGATCAGCAAAATCATATTTTCCAGAAGAATATGAGACACTGTCATTGTCGCTTAGGTTTGATTGGTTATTGCATTCGTCATCTGAATCACTCACCTTTATCGCAGTAGCGTTTGCATTTGCCGTCGTAGTATTTTTATTTGATAGTGCTTTATCTATCATTTCAATGTGTTCACTAATGAGTTAAAAAAATACATAACATGCATTTTGAATAAACGATATGAATAACTGTAAAACGGTATACTCCATTTGATTTTGACATTTCAAGTAAATCTAATATTCGTAAGTAGCATTCGTCACGGATTGATCTCGTACAGAGGATCTTTGAAATCAAGAGGGAATGGACATCTCCCTTGCCTTAGAATTAGGATAGTGGTGCCGACCCCAACCAAGTAGTTTGCATCTACTAACATGGCTCGGACTAAAAGTTAGTGACTTTGTGGACTGATTCCACGTTTTGGTTTGGCCGCCACTAACTCTCTTCCAACCATCTCCAACATTAGTCAGCACTGCGTGTCGCCGTAATCGGTGTCCAGGCATACGTAATACACGGTCCAACCATCTCAGTCGATGTAGATTCACAAACTCATTAACTGATTTACCATCATTCCCCAATACCCTGCGTCTAACCTCATTATCACTTACCCTGTGATCGCAGCAGATGTGAACAATATTTCTGAGACATCTATGATCAAATACTAGTAACTTACGAGTATCCTCTACTCTTAGTGGCCAAGTTTTGCAGCCGTAAAGTAGAACATAACGAGCTGCTGCGCAGTATACCAATGGATCGACGTCCAATGGTGCAATTCCAACTTCAATCAATTCGTAACACAGTGGCGAACAGCCAATCCGATTGACGAAAACCATCTCTTTTCCAACATATCTGAACTCATAGCATTATAATGCAAATTGCATGAAATCTGAATTGTACTCCTGGATGGTGTTTTGATGGTTCTTATGGTCAGGAGGTTGCCATGAGATCTGTACACTTGGAAGTCGATCCTTTTTGTAGTTGTAAAAGCAGACTTCTGAGAAGTTCCGTACTGGGACGAAATAGTTGTCCAGCACCCCTGGTTTCCAATGGTACGCCAGACAAAATCAATCAGTGACAAATACTACCTACATATCAAACCAATCTTCATAAAACCTCCTCAGAATTCAAATCTTAGAATCCAAAGTGAAGGAAATTCTAAGATAATCTACAGACTTCTGATATTCATATTATTCTATAATCAATATATATGGAGACGAAGATCCAATCTATTAATCTATAACACAGAGGTCAATCAACTACATGGTCAGAGATAATGCCAAAATGATAACTAATAAAAATAAGACGCAAGCTTAGACCACTAAGAAAATTATACAGATACTATTGAATAATGAATATTGAAAGTGGTTTATAACTGCTTAACATTGATTATTAAATGAGTTGGTTAATTATTAGCATACAAACAACAGAGGTGTGACATCATCCGCGTGAGAACGAACAAAATTAACTGGGACAGATTACTTATGATGCAAGTAATACACTTACCGTTTAAGACAAATAAGTTGATTACGCAAATCCCTGATGTTTTGTGAAGCAGTTGAATACTGTAATTCTAGGTGATTGATTTTCGATTTCAACGATGAAATTTCCTCATTCTAAAAATTGTGCATAGTTGAAAGAAATACATTCTTAGAAATTTAATCAGTTAAGAAAGAACAATCGGAAAAACTGAGGCAGAGAAAAAAACACTAAAAGTAAATCATGCTACATCAAAAGACTAAGAATTCCCGATGAATTATCATTAAAGTTGAGTCTAGATGAAAATCTCTATTCAAAATTAAAATAAACTATCAGTTGACCACTTACTAACTAATAGTCCAACTTGATCGACGGAAATTGACTGATCAGCAATAAGGACTAAATACATAGGAAAGTAGTCATTACTTAGTGGTAAAACAATGTACGTATATTACGGTCTCAAAGGTCAACCACAATCCAGATATTCCAATGACAATGTCTGTGACTGATACGGGTTCAAATCCCTCGATAATTAATGTCAACAATCATAAAAAGAGACTTACAAGAGAATGCTAAATAGTTTTACTATATATAAATATATAAATATATATATATATATATATATATATATATATATATATATCAAATAATTCCACTAAAACAAATGTTAAATAAAATTATATTCATACAATTCAGTCAGTCAGTCACAACGTAGAACCTCGTACGTACGTACATCAGTTCGAGTTGTCATACCACATTAGCACACAGATACAGTTGTCCATTCAAATCCCATAGTGGTAGAAGTAGTAAGAGTATAAGCAGTAATCCGAAAGATTAGGGTTTGAAGATGTTATTGAAGGAGTATAATCCAGTGAAATAAATTTGGAAAGAGAAAAAAGATAGAGACATGTAGAATTCAAAAAATTAGAATTTGGCAGAACACAAAGAGTGGATGCACCTTCGCCATTGCAAACGATTTTGAGCCATGTCATTCAAGGTCTCTAACCATCGATTGCTATCATCTCGCGCATCCCAACCAGGTAGTCTACACCTGACAGCATGGCTCAGTCCAATTGTCAGTGACTTCATGCATTTGTGCCACGTTTTGTTCTGGCCGCCTCTAGCATTCTTCCAACCTTCTTCTACACCATGAAACATTGCACGTCGAGGCAGTCGTCCCAGCCATCTCAACTGATGGCTGGGACGTGTTCATACATACATTCATACAATTAAACTAACAACATTAAACAATTCAACGCAAAATAAGCTTTCCAAATAAATAAAAAGCTTTTAGTGTACAACAAACAAATGTTTTTTTAATGAAATTGAACTAAAGAAATATAATTGAATTCGAAAGCTCTATACCGCATAAAAATTCTAATTTTTTTAATCGATGAAAGAAAACTTAAAGAAAAATCTGTAAGTTAAATTAATTAATGTAACACCATAATACATAGAGATGGCCTGCTTTGATTCGAGCATCCGGGTTTTATCCTAACCCTCACGCAAATTGAATGATTTATATGGTGCATATCTGTTTGGTGCCTGCTTGTATCAATGTTTATGTGTTTAAATAAGTAAATAACCTAAAGATGAAACTGGTATTTGGCAATAAGATGTTTATTTTTAGGGTTTCAATTAGTTACTCTTGAAAACCGATCGTACACGACCGGGGTTTGGATTATTGAGTTCAACAGTAACTCCACGAAATTTATATCACTATATTCTTAGTCGGATGAATTTATTCTCTTCTAACTATTCAAAACAAGTAATATGTCACTAATTAGTGCATTCATGTGGCGTTGCAGTTTCATGAATTAGAAATAAATAAATAAAGACCATACTACTAGTTAGTAGTTAGGATCACGATAATAGGACTGTTAAGTAACAGATCACAACAAGGTATATATTTACTTTGATCATTGAGAACAGACAACACAAATGTTTGACCTGATAATCAACTATTTACCCTTTTTTCCTACATATTTAGACAATCAAAGTTAGTGTAAAGCCAAATTAGTAAATATAGTTTATCATTTCCATAGTTCTGGAGCAAAGAAGAGAAGCACTCTTCAATTGAAGGAAAGTGATACGACCAGTCTACTTAAATCGATGTAAACGAAAATACAGAATTTGAATTCAAGACTCAGTGGTCGAAAGTCAAGTATATGAAATATAAAGTAACCCTTCTACATTACCAATATGTAACAAGTGCTTTACACATAATTCAGCGATAATTTTACTATTAATGTTTTTCAGTGTACATGCTCACGCTAATTGATCAATACTGAATAGTAACTGATATTATATTTTTAAATCCTAACACTGATCGAACTCTGACTGACATTGAGTGAAATGAGTTCAAACCTTACTGACAAACTGCCAATACACTTTCCTAGCAAGTGCTAACTTGAGTGAAATCTACGTCCAAAGTGGTCCATATAACTGTCTTGAATTACTTAATACCAAATATAGTGGATCTTGACGTCAAGGCACTAAACCTTTTGATCACAGTGAAACTTGATCAATTGAATACGATCAGCAATAATGATAGGTTTTGTAACTAGATCTAACTCACGATACATAATCATTCCTGCTAACCTCGTATGATAGGATAACCAAAACAGCTTCGCCACTACGATTATCAACAATGTCTAAACAGAAGTGGAAATACGAGGTGTCAGATAGTAGTGTATTGCAAATGAGCTGCTGTAACGATAGATCAAGCGTGCAAAGTTTAAAAAAGCAAAAGAAGTGTGTGTGTGTGTATTTTGAATGATGTTGAAAGTAAATGAATACAAAATATATGTATTGAATAAAAATAACTCATAGACTTAATGCAATAAGATAGATACAATTGAAAATGTGCATGGATAAAGTTTCATAATTAATCATATGAATAAATACAAAATAACTCATAAGATAGAAATGATGCATTTACTTTTCGCGTGATTGTCTCGTCTTACACTAGCTCATACAAGTATATAGGCTTGTAAAAACTTGTCCTGTAAGTTCATTACAATATGCTTGCATACTTAAGCAGACAGATGTTCTCTATGTTCGAAATGAATGAAATGAGCCTAGTTACACAAAACAATGTGATATCAATTACAACTAAATGATCTATTAGCTTAAATTATCATTCACAAACAATGGTTAAATGATAACGTTCCATGAGGGTTTAAATAACTCAATAATAATTACAAGTATTTAAAGAAGAGATACAATTGAATTTCATCATTCTCGATTCTTATTATTATTTACCTAAAACCGATATTTCTGTTGTAACACTAAGACTGCTTAACCTGTCCATATACATTACCTCGCTCTTTTTGTTAACTCAACAAGAATAAATATGAATAAAGCTACACAAAATTTGGACTATTCGGCAACATCTGACTAAGTAGATAGATAGGTTAAGAAGTATCACAAACTCATTTACAAACTACGAATGTTATTATTACCAAAAGACCATCCATAAGTAGTCATAAACAATGTAGAATCTACCACATATGTGCACAGCGCAGAAAATGCAGCGATGCTATAGATGATGCCGGTATAGTCGGCAGCCTTCGAACCTAAAGTTATTGCTTTTAGTATTAACGTTATCCGATTAACCTATTTGGTATGGTAGAATCTGAAAGAACAAGTGTACTAGCAAACACAGCTCGACTTGGTTATTATAATAGGCACGCCCGACCACTGCGTCAAGATAGCAGCTACGGTCGTGTCAATAAATTGTAAGACTTAAGAGAGAAGAAACTAATATTAATTTGGTATCGATTTAACCCAATTTGTTTAGTTTGCTACACACAATGAGAACTAAATTACAAAGTATTTAACAGGTACTTTTACAGCAAGTAAATTATTACACCTTAAAAAATAAACTTGAGAAAATGTATGGATACTTTCACAAAACCCAAAAACCACTTTACAATTATGCATAGTTACAATTATATATGTAGTTAGAGAACAGTTTATTATATTGACATCACATACAACTCATACTAGGACATGAGAACAAACCTAAAGTACTCTTACAAGATTTCGGACTAAACTGTATCGCGGGCGTGATAAACTATTTCTATACAATAGTCTTAGTAAAATTTAAGATTAAGACAATGCAAGTGAGCACATACTTCAGGATTCAGAAGAAAACAGTTAAAAATGACAATAACTAAGTCAAAGATTTAAAATAGGAATCCAACTACTAACGTTATTTTCTTTGCCGTACACTCTAGACAGAGTCTAAACGGAGACTGTACTAATCTACTTTTTTATTGTAGTCAGCATTTGTCTAAATAACATTAAAAAATATAAGGTAACAATAATGGCTATGGATTTAAAAAAACTTTTTAATTACAGATAAATAAAATAAACCAAGTGGAAATATCTTTACAAGAAGCTAATCATACTTTTGCTTGAATTTCTATTGAGGAATATTCATTAAAACCAACTGTAACATTATAAACATTTTGATCAGATTCAGTTTGAACAGCAACTTCACAAAATTTACAATTTGGTACATCTAATCGATTTGGTGAAATTTGTGATGATTGTGAAACAGAAGAAGGATGCCAATATAACCTGAGTAAAGATAATAAGCTTGGAGGTTTTCGTAAATTTATTGCAACCTTAAATTAGATCAAGAAAACACAGATAGCAAAGTAATTTATAACACAGTTTGGAATACAAATACAAGATAAACTGAAATGAAAACTTTAGAATTAGAAATTCAACACTTTATCTGTTTGATTCATTTAGTCAGCAGTATGTCGAAAAAAAAACATGTAAGGATAATTACAATAAGACATCAATTATTGACTTGCTTTGAACCATATGTAAAGGTGTGGTTGCCTAAATGGGATTCACTACATCCACGCAACCTACCCATTCCAAGTTCTTGATAACTATTTTAAGAATTTATAAACCACTCTTTTTGTTCGCATCAAATAAAAAGCTAAAGCAAAATATTACAATCGACAACATTGATAGTACATGTGACTATAATCGACAATAACAGCTTAGCGTGTTAAAGTGTAGGTCACAATTATAGCTGCTAGACAATGCTAGCTTAGTGGTTACAGCGTTTGATGTTCAGCGATTGAGCTCCCGGTCAGGACCCTGATATCCCATCCAACTCGGTTTGGACAACCGAGTAGGATCGTTAACCCTCATACTTAGAATGTGGCCCACATCCAATTACCTAGTGAATGAGTTCATTTACATTGGCATTTTGCTGCACAAAACCTACTGCTATAAATCAAAATTACTAAGCCTATAAAAGATCTGTTGAATGCCAAACTATCAAGCTAAATAACTTGAAATTCATAAGTTTTTGAAGATTATACAATGAAATGAACAAATAGATCATATACAATGGTGGGTTGTATTCATAAAAATCAATCTGTTTTCAAAATACTTAATAATGTGGCACGGGAAACTTATATCAAGTTCATATAACTCATGAATGTAAACAACAAAATAATAATGATAACAACTCAAAGACAAATGATTTCCACAAATCTACACACACGTACATAAATAAAGCAAAATAAAATTAATTCAGTTGAAGGGATTTTGTGGAGATTAGTTTGATTTGTAGGTTGTGTTCGTCACAGAATGATCGCAGATAAGGTACCATTAAGAAACAGATAGAATTGGTTAGCTGTTTCATTTCAGTATGGGACTTTCCATTAGTGTATATCAACAATCCCAGGACCTTTAGTTCTCGCAACGAACGCCTAATCACCAAAACCATTAGGTTAATATCCAACGGTTAACCTTCACTACTGAGAAGCTCAATTAATAGAACTGAAAAGCTGTCCAGTCTTTATTGATTCTGAATGGTACCTCAACTAACATAAATCCGTGATGAATACGACTAATAAAATAAAATAAATTTATTAATCACGTTTGTAGATTACAGAGATTGATACTACATGCTCATACAAATCAATCTAAATAGAACACGACCTCAAACCTAGAAATGATGGTGAAAAATTACATGTCTACACTTTTAAATAACAGTTGTAATTATATTAAGTGCATGAAAGATGTAGTTATTACTTGGTACACGCCTAAAAGGTGAAACAGAGTTTACATTTTGTGTCAATACAATAATGTATGTGAATGACTCTGATAATTATCTCTAAAAAGTTATTATTTTCAACAATTACTTCATGCCATGATTCCAGGCTATGCAAACCATGTTCTTCTACTTCTTCAGCAAATTGTATTGCAGTTAAACGAAAATTTTGTTCCAAAAAATATTCATTAATTAAAAATGATATTGCACGTAGTTCATGAGGTAGCGTTTTTTGTGTACCATTGTTAAAATTCGACCGAAAATGGTTGTTCAAAGTAGAATCTGAAAAGGAAAAATAAGGAAACGAAATAAGTCAATGAAAAGTAAAGGAACAATTAAATGTTCAATACTTGTTTAAGTTATACGAAAAACAAAATACTAAATCAATCCATTGATTAAAACTGTTAGCCAACGATTTCACCAATATATATCACACTAGAATTCTATGTTAGAAACAGGTAATTTTAGAAAAAATTAATGGAAAGTAATCAGATAATTAAAATAACTCATAGTGTCATTGAACAAGAAAAAAAGATTTTCATAGTTGAAATCATGAGTCAATTGAAGCTAGACCACCATCGAAAACCTGCAAGCACTGGACAACCGTTTCGTCCTATTATGGGACTCCTTAGCAGTGCGCATCCACGATCCCGTACTCGCAATATTCGAGCCCAGGACCTACCAGTCTCGCGCCAGAGCAATTAACCGATAGACCACTGAGCCTGCATCCAACGGTGTTAATGTCTAACTTTAACCAATCCACGATGTTTGAGCGACCGTTCACCAATTGTCTTCAGTGAGTTGATATCTCTACAACAGACTTGGTTGAACTCCACTGGTCACAAAGATTTGTCCAGCCTCTCACCCTTCCTTGGCCCTAATTCCCTTAATGGGTATGTTTTTGGCTGTCGTTTTTTCTCTTTTCTGCACTTTTATTTGATTATTATCGGCTTTTTGTTTTTTTAGTTACTGTTTTACATTTTAAACTCTAATCAGTTATAAGCAAAGATGGATAGTGGCTAGCAGTGGAATCCAGGATGCGCGTTTCGTCCTATTTAGGACTCGTCAGCTGGATGTACCTACATCTCAGAGTTGATGTTCACTCTGGGACTCGAACCCAGTACCTTTCTAACCAGTTATTATTATTATTACCTTATACAAGTTTTCTTGGTTATTATTCAGTCTATTATTATGACCTTTGTGTTTTTCGCTTTTCTTCATATCTGTCAATTGGAGCATTTAAATTAGTTTTTCATCACAAATAAAAAAGAAATGAATTGTGTGAACAATAATAGTTTTTTTAGCTACGATAAGTTTAACTGAAAAAATTTAAAAACAAAGAAAAAACACTGACGATTTCAAAATTATTAGTCTACAACAACTAGTTATGACTTAAAATTCAACAGCCGTTGATTTTTCTGGTTAGCACGGAATACAATGGACAACTCAGAATCAATTAGAAGATTTGGATTTCACAGATGACCTAGCCCTCCTATCTCATACACATGAACAAATACAGACGAAGACAGCAAATGTAGCAGCAGCCTCTGCATCAATAGGCCTCAAACATACACAAAGGGAAAAGCAAGATTATCAAATACAACAAGGAGAACACTAACCCAGTCACACTTGGTGGAGAAACTCTGGAAAAGGTAGGAAACACTCACGTACCTGGGAAGCATCATTGATGAACAAGGAGGATCTGATGCAGATGTGAAGGTGAGGATTAGCAAAGCAAGGACCTCATTTCTACAATCGAAGAACATATGGAACTCAAAACAACTCTCAACCAATTTCAAGGTCAGAATCTTCAATACGAACTTCAAGACAGTCCTACTGTATGGAGCTGAGACGTGGAGAACCACTACAACCATAGTTAAGAAAATACAAGCATTTATAAACACTTGTCTACGCAAAATACTCAACATTCACTGGCAGGATACTATCAGCAACAGCGTTTTATGGGAGAGAACAAACTAGCTTCAATCTGAAGAGGAAATTAGGAAAAGACATTGGAAGTGGATCGGACATACATTGAGAAAATCACCAAACTGCATCACGAGGCAAGCCCTAACTTGGAATGGTGAAGGGAAGCGGAAAAGAGGAAGGCCAAAGAACACGTTACGCCGGGAGATTGAAGCAGATATGAAAAGGATGAATGTTAACTAGAAAGAACTGGAAAGGATTGCCCAAGACAGGGTTAAATGGATAATACTGATGGGTGGCCTATACTCCTTAACGAGGGGTAACAAGCGTAAGTAAGCCGTCGATTTAATTGAGGCAAAAATTACATCTTGAATTCCCTCAGAATAAACACTAACAAATATAAAACCGTTTTTCCATAATTGGTCACAAGAAGTGGTCTAAATTGATATAAATATTTTAGGTTTTTCTTTGGATGATGAGTTGAAAATTTTCCACTATTTCCGATTTTCATTCATACTGACACGTGGTTTGGATAATTCTATTGGAAATTATATTCCACTGTTAAGTTGATCAACCTACATCATTCGACTGTTTTTTAACATTTTAAGCTGGTTAAAAAGGTTTATGAAGAGTTCTATTTTTGTTGAACAGCAATTATTCCTTAATACTTACAGATCAAATGTCGTCTTCTGAAATTACTGTGATTCAGAGAAACATAACGTACTGGAAAGAGGAAGGGAAATCGTAATTGTTGTCGACTCTTTTTGTTTCGTACATTTTATACAATTATATTAGTCTACTCAATAATATCAGTTGGTTTAAATCATTTAAGTAAATTTTATGATCGAATGTGTGCTTTATTTAATTCTCAGTTCAGTTAAAATAATTGGAGACATTTATCTTTGATATCTAACAAGAGTGCTTGTGGTGTAAGAATTACTTTTTCTAGACCCAGAGACTGCAATTTTTTAAAAATACTTGCATTTGAATCAGTCATGTTTTCAAACAAAGCCATATGAACTAAGGTCCAATTACCTTTAGACAAAAATATAGCTTGAAGGGTATGATGAATGCATTTTTAATATTACAAGACGCACCTGATAACAAATTGTTTAACCACAGCATGATTTGTCACCTTCAATAATCAGTGTGCAACTAAATAAGAACTGAGAATTATAACCCAATGACTTTACTACTAGTTACATTTGGTTGAGATCAAGCTTCAAAGTGTTTTATGCGAGCATGTTTGAGGTGTGATTCTCGCCTTCTAAATGTAAAATATTAAATCAGGACTTGCTTGCGTCATCGCCTGAAGTAGTTTGGCGCATCGACTACTCCACTCCCATCAATCCTGATGGTCTGATACCTGACAAAATCTCAGTGCGGATTCAGAAGGCCCGATTAGCTTGTGTATGTCAGGACCATAGAGTAACTGATTTCTGGGTTAGGGATAGGGTATTAGGTTAAGTTTGCAAATCAATTGGTGAGGTAGTAAATCTTCACCAACTGAAGTGATTGGGATGTTTTGCGTACGCCCAACTACCACATACCTCAGCTGGCGATATTACCTGGTGTAAGAGTAGGTTGGAGGGAGCTAAGGGTGGCCAAACCAAAACGTACCATCCGCCATTGCGAATTGGAGTGAACTATGAAATAGGTGGACCACATATCTGACTAGGGTGAGCCTGATTATCGTAACCAGTGGTTAGAAATTTTGAATGACATGGCTCAAAATCGTTTGTGATGGCGCAAGTGCATTCACTATTTGTATTCACCTAGATTGTAAGTTTCTAAATTCCCTATAATTTTTTTTATTTTACTAGTTTATATTTCTTCCACGAATCATATCTTCGATGTTTAGTCTGTTTTATTATTATTATTTTTTTTTTTATTATTTTTATTAGTACTGTTACTAACTCTCCGATTTGTCCCAACAATTTTCTCTTGCCGTGATGATGGGTTATGGAAACTTGGGAGGATGTACACACACACCAGTCCCATGTTACGTTTAACTGACTAATGGACTCAAGGTGTTTTACATCAAATTATTCGAAACAGTGGGAAAAAAGAGGCGTACAACTGTTGAAGAACTGCGAAGTTGTAGGCATCAATTTTGTGACCTATAATTGAGTATTACATCTAGTTTTTTAACATTATAATTGTATTTCAAAGGTGTTTTAACATTCAATACTTTAAGCATCTTTATAATGAAAATAAAAATGGTTCTACTGAGTGTTCTGTAACCTCTTTTTTCTAATCCATGGAACCGTGAAAGTGGTTTCGTAATTGTCTTAACATGAATTTATACTAAGTAAGCAGCTCTCTTCTTGTTTCGGATAAGGAAAATTGAAACTAACTACACTTAATTCCGTAAGATATAAAGTTGGGCAAAAATAACCTGTAAATAGAATTACCTGAAGTTTGTGAAGATGGTACATCACTTTTATATCCGCATGCTACCAAACTGGTTAACTCATTCCGTAATGCACTTATTTCGTCATTTTTCTTGCGCAACTCATATTCAAGTACTAGAAGTAAATAAGGATAATTTACTTTCGAACTTAAAAAAGATACCTTTTAGTTTTTCTTCAAGCGTATTCCCATCATCTGATACCCGTCCAATGTCTGACGAATCCAAAGAAGATAGGCTCGGATATTTCCCTACATACATAATAAAAAAATACATATTTGCTTACCCATTAGCAAACTGGATGACTCCGCAGAAGATAAGTTCAAATTATCAACAAAATTTGGACTAGTGAAGAACTCATGCAAAAGTTTTATACTTTTGCCACGCTCCAACTGTTCGAAATAGTACTCGAGAGCAGATAAAAAGAGCTTTTTATCCAATAAATACTCGGCAACTTCTATAGACTTTCGACTATCTTCATTTTTCTGAGATTCCTCATTGAATTCGTGACTCTGAATAAGATTCTCACTGCGATTTGTAAAGGGTGTATTTTCTATGTGTACTGACATTGAATAAGGTGACTAGAGGAAAAAAACACTAAATCTCAACAACAATTTTGAGTAAAAAAAACCCAAAGTTTAATGGATCTATAAAACAAAACCTTAGGGTTGATCAAACTCGTTTTGACAATGATCCGATAGTGGAGCGTTGGTAAGCTTTCTAAATGTAAGGCTTGATACTGAAACATGTATTACATGTACCATAGGTACCACCTGCTGAGACGCGCAATCCTAACTGACAGCAGGTTGTATAGAATCTAATGGTACTCATAACAAGGCGTGTAGTCATTTTATGAAGTTATTAACTATTACCATAAGCCATGTTCGTAGATGCAGACTACCTATCTCGAGTGATGGTTTAAAATCAATAGCACTAAGGTAGATGAATTTTTATTTGGGGCTGAATAATGGGTTTCAATATAGAAGTATGCATTTTTTATTTTGTAAATCTATACCTTTTAGAACAATATTCTCTATTTGTTATATTTACCAGTATTACTACTTATGCCACCTTAACGTTCATTTTGTCAATTTCATCTCGCTATGTTGATACGGCGTGACAATTCGGACCGATGTACATTTGTGTCAGGTCCTATATTGACTGCACATTATTCCATGCTTCATTCAGGTTGTAAATAAAATGCATTAGATCGTGCTTACCCAGTTTTCTTTGACTTGAATAATAGTCCAAACGTGACTACTAAAGCACGAACTGGACTGCTATGGGTATTACTAGTTAGCATACCGAACTCAACTAATTATAATCATGGCAAGACTATGTAACCCTCTAATTGTGTGAACTGGTATGAAGCCAGATGAGTATGCAACCTTAAATAGATTATTTTACCCCAATGGTTATTGTTTGTTAATAATGACTAGTTATGAGAAAAAAACAATTAACTTATTCAGCAAGTATTTCGGTGTGAGGGCTAATTATATTACTCGGTTACTCGAACCGAAATAGATGGATCTAGACTCAGACTTAGTGGAAGAAAGTCAAAAGCACTTACCACCACTGTGCTAACTATGAACTATTCACGTACATTTTATGGATACATAGCCACTTTTATGTATGGCTTGCCATTTAATTACGTTGTTTATGAACAGTATTTATTCGGTGCACATACTATTCTTTCAATCAACATGACATACATTTTTCGTCTTTTTACACGTTCAGTCTGTTGTTGTAGTGGGCTTGAAATACAGCTATCCTAAAAGCATTACTTACCTTACTTTTTGATATCGCGTTATCGATTTTAAATGATTACACAACTGAATCGGTCTAAGTAAACAAAATTGGCAATAATCCAGTACTAGTGGTGTCAGGTTGTTTCAGATGAAACTGCCAAGTGAGAGGGAGTCTGCACCGTAATGGACAGTTACGCATCACGTAACGAGTCTTCACCTACTGATTACGAATACTGTGTAGGTCCCTACCAAGAAATCTCCACCTAACGATGAAACATATTATAAATCAGTGGTCTCGTGAGGTTCCATGTTTTCATTTGATCACTCAGCGTTTCGTCAACTTATTTCTATACCAGTATGAGTTAGGTGTTAACGGAGGAAGTGGTTAGGATTGTGTGACGTCTTAACCGCACTCGATTAGCATTTAGAACCTTATCAATGGGTATAACCTGCGTCTAACCACAGTATTATTCATTGTGATTATTTCATACACAAGCAGTGGGTTAAGGATGCCTCTTCAACCTTTACAAGACACGTTCTGAAGTTGTATAGCGGTACGAAACATTTGTGAAGTGTACTTCCCCGCTAATTAAGAGATGGAAACTTAACTCGAACCACCTACGATGAGATTTGAATGTTTTTGAAGTTATAGGTGTATAATTGACGTAGGTGTACTACCTCCCTATTAAGTTGATCAAATATCGACGAATATTTCTGTAAATTGAATATAACGGGCACTCCAATTCCACCTTTGAACCATAAATTATGAAACAAATAACCCGGTGACAATGTTTTGAGGACAGACTAATAGCATAATCCACCATGAGCTTTGGGCTGAATTCGTTCATCTTTCTGACTACAGAACATTTTCGCTTTATAGCCCATATCCCTTTCTGGATGAAAACTCTTAACCCGAACTTTTGATCCTTAACGTGGTTAAGTCTGTCTCCATTCCCTTAAAAATTTGAGAAGATGGAGAGCTGACATTCAAAAGGAGGGATCTCTTGATTGTTTTACGATTAACAAGCAGAGGAACCTGTAGGGCGAGACCATCATTTATGGACGAGCGAATCAGAAGCGTTTGAAGGATTTCAAGGTCACCGCACCAATTTTAGTATCTGATGCTCATGTACAATCGGTTTGCAGAGGATTTTAGAGAAGACATGACAATTAAGCGGCTACAATAGATGGGACCATTAAAAAGTTCCTTTATTTGTAATTGCGGTAATTATTTGACTTGTAGACCTTGTGCAGACTATCCTGATGATGATATCCTTCAATGTAATATATGTTAGAGGAAGAAGTCTGCTAGAATAGGAACTTTTTTCTCTCGATCCAGATTGAGACTAAGGCAAATTACAATAATTGCTGCGGACTGTGTGATAAAAGCACCAGTATTATTGACTGCAATATTCGAAGATGTTACTGAAGCGTCGGCTGTTCAGATGTATGAGTATTATAGGGATATATGCTTAATAAAAATGACAAACTTACACAACCGGAGTACATAAAAACAATATCGCGGTAATGTAGTTGAGGCTGAGAAAGCTTTTGTGACCTTATTATAGCTCCAGAGACCGAGTATTATGGAGCCATATGGCTGAGTTCTTATATAGAAGAACTCGTAATGCATAAGGTATACCTTATGCATTACGATTTTAGAAGCTTTTTCAAATAGTCCTCAACCATTTGAACTTTTACAAGTTTTTGGATCATGTAAAAGAAGTGTATCTACTCTAATTCTTTGGTTTTGTATAATATACTTCTACTCTATACTAACTGTTACCTGATAGACTTATATTCCTCAAGGTCACTTAAAATTTGTTCAAAGGTCGTCCATAATTTATAGTCTCGCCACCTGTAGAAAACGTCCATTGATTTGTTAATTATGTGAAACCTATCTGTTATTCGCATTAATACCTTTTCTCCACAAAATATGCCACTCAATAAGGCTGTTTTTGGGTTAACAACTAACTACTACCACTCAACTATGAAGGCAACACCATTTCAAAATGTAAAACCTATTATTCACTAAAGCCCAAAATTTGGTATTTCCACAACGGAAATGAGTTACCAGGTCAAAGCGGCTTTGACAACCAATTATGGACACATTACGCGACCTCGACACCAAATAAGGACTGACGCCCAGATGTAGCGTACACCCGGAATATAGCGCTATTCCATTCAAATTCAGATTTATGTAGTGAGGACAGAAGGTCTACGGCTTATGCTATTCCTTTTCTAGTATGCTTCTGTGAATGTCCAGTTTTCTCTTGAATGAGTCGTTTCAAGGAGCGGACACCACTGCTTCAGGTAGCAGGTCCCAAGAATTGATGACTCGGTCTGAAAACCTGTATGCCACCTGTATTTTGTTCGTTATTGGCTTTTCTACTCGCTTGCTATGTCCTCTGAGATGTACCAATGTAGTGAGAAGAAAACGAGAGAGAGTAAGTTAGGCCCAAAATCATTTCCAATAAGCATGAAAATCAGGTCACCTCTTAATCTGCAGTAGGACATAGTAAGGTGGTCTAGCTTTTCATGCCTGATGTGTGCCGAAATGATAAATTCCATGTATATAATTTCACTACTGAGAATCAATCCTTAAATATTGATGTACTTTCAGTCATATACATCCGTAGCGTGTTAAGAACGCATAACTTGTTAGTTTTGTTGCAAATTATGAACTTCAGACAACTATCGCCTATTGTTCGTCGAGGAAGAATTGAAGAAAAGAGTTACGGATGAATATTTACATGTATCTAAACGTGCGCTGTACACTTAGATGGGGCTTTAAGTTTGCGTACACACGCTTTCATGATGGCTTTGACACGTTTCATAGGGAAGAGATAGACTCCAAAAGAAATCTACAGTAGCGACGAAACTTTGTTGGGGCATCTTCTGAATTGCGAATTAATATGAGTGTACAGAAAAAGCGTAGAATCGACGGCTTCACATTTGTGGTGTGGATACATTGATATTTCGACCGTACACTGGCTGACCATCGAGGAGTAGTTCGGGAAAGATTGGTGCGCTCTCCTCGGAAGATTCTGCCAACCATTTTCGATCAACAAGTTTAACATGATGGCAGTTTATTAGCCTGCTTTGTAAAGATGGATAGAACTTTAAATAAACACCCCATCGTTCCTGTGACGTCGTATGACAACAGTGATTTAGCACTCGCATCCAATACCCTGATGCTACTTAAAAATTGTGGTGGTTTTGGAATGCAGTGCGGATAGGTATTCGAAACAATGGAGACAGGTAAACTTTCTAGCTAGTACCTTCTGGTATCAATGGATGGAGGAATACGTGCCGTTACCGTAAGTGTGCCAGAAATGGTTTTGGAAACAGTAATTTAAGGTAGATGATTTCATGTTTGTGGCTAACAGCGATACTATTCACAGTTCGTTTCCAGTTGGACTGATTGCTAAGTTCGAGATAGAATAAGATGGAACAAGACATGTAAGCGAACAATTGTTTTCAATTAGATCGTCATCTTTAATATTCCAAAACAAGATGTTTCAATAAAATTTTAGTCGTATTTATGGAAGAATGGATAGTAAGAAGAAATGTGCAAAAGCTCCGTCTTCTGAGGGAGCCAAATAACTGTAGATAGAAGGTTGGGTTTATGAGTGTACAGGCGTACTGTTATAAGTCATGTGCTTCCCACTGACAAAGTAGTTAGTTAGGAGATCCATGACTAAATATACTTAGACGTGTCTTGGCGTAACTTGGTCAAATATTTACCTTGAATCATCTAATTTCGCTGTTACGTGTTGCCGGACCATTGTTCACAAAGTCTTGCTTGGCCAAACTCAAGGTCACGGTGTGATCCTGTGGATTACTATGAAGGTGCCACAGGTGTTTGGAATCTGACAAGTCTTTAATAAGTAACACCTTCTATTATAAATCGCACCCACTAAGTGAAATCAAAAGACAGAAGTGAGGAGGATCGAAGATATATTTGATTGGCTATCAATATATCGAGGGTTGACTGATTTAATCTAGCTAGCGATTGCAGGGGATGTTGAGCACAGCGTTTCCACTGATGATCTGATGCGGATGCATGACCGAGCGCCTTCAGCTAGTTGAGTCCATTAAAACTAATGAGGTCAGCACCAAATGTCCAAGAATTACAGTGCTAATTGTTTTGGGGACTTATTTACCGCTACAGATCACTTCCCGTTTAGTGGGGTAGTGATGACCCTACGACGTGGCCAGACAGAAGTTTAAACTGGACGCGTTTGTCGTTGGTAAACAGTCTTCAGATAGCTTGCTATGTTAAGCAGCATCTAGTCGTCTATCCTTAATATAAGAGCCCATGAAATACACTATAGTAATAAGGAAACAAGGTGCAATCAAAATTTCGGTTCCTCGTAAACTTCATCGTTATTTTTACCATCCTTTCTAGCCGTCCTGGTAAAGAAAAAGGATATGTAAGTGCATGTCGAAATACACTCGTACGCGCGTAAAGACACAAAGCGGGCAAAGAAAGTTAAACTCATACACATGCGATAGCGTACATGCGATTTTTAAGGAATATTTTTTGTTTTTTTTAAGAAAAAGAAATAAATATGCACATAATAGCAAAAAATTGTTAGTTTATTTCTTTGGAATAAATATAAAAGTATAATCATATTAAATTCTTTATAATACATAACGCAAAGAAAAATCGAGATAAAGCCAAATGTTAGCTAGTGTCATACATGTAATGATCGCCCAAATGTTTTGGATGTTTTATTCTTTTTCCAGAACGCGTTTTTCCAAGTTTATTTTCAGATACCGCAGAAGTATCAACGTGTTTTTCGTTGTCGGATGAGACATTAAAAACGTAGGAGCCGTGTCGTTCGGTTGTACGGAAGAAAATCGAAATGGATAAGATTACCTTCTAAATACGTTGCTTTGATTCTGTCGATGCTGATGCTATCGTTAATGATATCCTTATCGGCCATATAGTACTTAGGTTCATGCTTTCGAACTTTGAGGGGTGCTTCGTATGCTCATTCAAGAGATCGTTAATGTGAGTCTCGACGTACGAAGATATGTGTACTACATCGTAAATCAGGTTGAACGAAAACATCAGGCCGAATGTAAACAGGTTTAATTGAACTCATTGCGTTTATAAGCCTACTCGTATAGGAGCTTAGATCCATATTCATTAAAGACGATGAAGGATCCACGAATTCTTCTGGAATTCGAACTGTCGTTCCATAAACGAGTTAAGCTGCAGTGTACTTAGTGTCAGCTTTCACTGCATTGCGAATACCTAGTAAGACGACTAGAAGGGCGCCAGTTCACCATAAAATTTCTGCAGCTGATAGTGAGGCTTTAATTGTTGGTGAGAGCGGTTTACCAACCCGTTTCCTTGTGAGTGGTAGGAGGACGTTCGGAAACGAGCGATTCCTAGTAGTTTGATCAGGCAACAGCAGTAATGTCCTTGATAGGTACTGCTTCTGGCTATCGAGCAAAACGGTCTACGCAAGTTAAAAGATAAGAGTATTCATTTGAATCTGGTGAAGGTCCTACCAAATCAAAATGAACATGGTCGAAACGAGCATCAGTAGTTTTAAAAGAGCCTTAGGGACATTTGTTATGCCTAATCACCTTAGATTTCTGGCAGCTTACAAAGGATCGGGCCCGCCTTCCTGTTATGACTCGTATAACAATTCGTTATTGTATATGAAACGTGCAATGATACAGAAAATACGTACGAGCAGTCTTGATTGCTATTCGGTCCTTCCTAACTGCCTAGCCCAGCCAGTTGAGTCCAGAACACAAATAACAGCCTCGGAAATATGAATCATTATTCACAAGCACACTGGGTTATATATACTAACCAAACAGACCCAATTATACCAAAAAATAGAAAAATAACATTTGTACAGTAATTGGCCAATGTGGCTGTAGCTAGGGGGAAAGTAATCAATAATAATAGTTCCAAGGTCAAAACAAAGGTTGTGATAAGAGGAACACGGAAACGATTAGGTCACTTATTTAACAACTATCCAATAGGGAATGGGCATATTGTATTTGTCCATAAATAGACATCAGATTTAGGTTACTCATTTAACAACTATCCAATAGGAATAGGCGTACTACATTTGTCCATAAATGGACATCAGATTTATGATTCATAATTCGCCAGGGGATACAACACCTCCCCTTTTTGAGAAATCCGGAATTTTAATTTCCTCGAATTCACCCTCCCCCACGAAAGACTGTTGGATCCTCATATAGCCAAGCTACTATTAATGCGATATGTTTGTCACCTTTAACAGGGAATGCATTAGAACTGAAGAGATCATGAGGATCGACGACATTTGATTCGAGGTCACCAACATTTGATTCTTCTGAAATAGTTTTCTTGAATTTCCTCGGAACCTCATTAGTAGATAATGAATCATTAGGATAATCAGTATCTATGAGAGTTGTATTGGATTCTTGATTATCATTAAATACATCTGACATTTTTCTCTCATTTTTATAAGAGAATTCAACAGAAACATATGAATCATCAAAATAATCTAAATCTGGTAGAACAATTACAGAATTTTGATCATTAGATTCATTAGAAACATTTTCCGTATCATGATTAATTTCATTTGGTGCCACTGTATTCCATATACTGCTCGATTTGTTTCCCGTTTCTTCGTGGGCGGGTACTGCAGCAATTTCATGAGCATTTTGCAAGACATTTACTTTCTGTGAATAGGATAATTCATTGTTTGCACGTCCGTTTTCGGGATTAATAAGACTTGGACCGTGTACAGGGCATGTCTCTGAAACAGGTAGTACTGGGTTACTGGGCTGATCATGTATAACTGCTGCGCTTAAATTATTGCTTTGTATGGATTCATTGAGGCTTTCGCCGGCATATTCATTAGTTCTGTAATTGTTTTCCAGCTCTGTACGCAATTTTGAAATTATTGCGTCAACTTCCGTTTCACTCCCAAAGCATGGGTGATTCAGCAGCTTCGCGTGTAATTTGTCAATGAAATCCAATTGACTCTTTCTGAAGCGCTGCTCTTGTCGCTGGATTAGCAACTGAAATTGGTCGGAAGTTAAGGCCATTTTTTTAAATGTAAATAATAATAATAAATCCAAAAAAAACACCGGCAATTATTATGGATTATTTAATTCCGAAATGATGTATTTTTTTACAGAATCCCCGTCGCCAATTGTTATGACTCGT